CGCTTCCTCGGGGTCTTCGTCAGGTACAGGAGCAGGTTCTGCTGCTACTTCTTCTGCTTCTTCTTCTGCCGCGGTGGTCAGCATCAACGCCAAGAACTCTCTGTCGCGAATTTCAGAGAGCGGGATGTTGGTCCCAGGGATGGTTCCAGGAACAAGGGTAGGTTGGCGTGGTTCAGGGGCAGGTCCGTAGATAGTGCGACGCGGGGTTGACGGCTCGTTGCCCCAGGTAATGGTATCCCAAGGGTCGCGATGCGGGGGAATGTCTGCAGGAGGTGGTGCGAGGGGAATGCGGCGCGGGGGACGACCGAGAGGAACGACTGCAGGTGCTGCTTCGGTCTCCGCGGCTTCTTCCTCTCCCCCCCTTCGTTCTTCGCGGGAAGTGCCCCAGCCGCTATTGTCGGCGCCAGATGCGGCGCCCCATCCGCCGCTCGCGTTGGCCCAGGTGCCGCCGGTGTCACCCCATCCGCCAGTATCACTGGTCCCCCATCCACCAGCGCTTCCCCACCCCCCTTCATTGGAGGCGCTTGCTTCTTCCTCAGCTCCCCAGGCGGTGCAAGCGAAGGTCCCGCGTGCTTCCGCGAGGCTTTGCTGGCGAAGCTCCTCGGCTTCGCGGCGCGCCAGTTCTTCCTCCTGTTCCACGGCGATTTCGGCCGTGTGGTCGCGCCAATGGGGGTAAATCTTTTGAAAATCTTCGCGGGAGTAGGGTCGCGGCACGCCATGCGCATCGAAGGTGCCGACGCCAGTTCCGCGGAGCATCCCTCGAAGGTGTTGAGAGGGCGGACCGGCAAGAGGGTACTTAGGCGTGCCGAAGACGCCATGCGTGGTGACTTCAAGTTCTAATTGCGACATGCCTTCTTCTGGTGGCGCGTGATGTTCTGCTTCGGCGATGGCGGCGAGTCCGCGGCCGGCAATGGCGCTAGTTGACGTCGTCGGCGTGTGGCAGTCTTTGCACATGCCGTCTGCGTCAGGGTCGTGCAGCGCTGTTTCTCGTGGGTGTGGATGATGTGGCACCCACGGTCTCCCGTCAGGGTGCTTCCAGTCCCTGCGGTGGATGTGCTCGAAGCGTAGTGGCACGAGATCGATTAGTTCGTGCGAGTCGCCGCTGCAGTCGGGGATGTCAAAGTCTAGGACGTACACCCCATTGTCGGAGTGTGCTCGTCCGATCTGCCGGCGGGGGAAGTTGCGCGCTTCGTAGTGCAACAAAATATCGCGCGTCGCGCGGTCCGTGCTGAGTTCGACGCCGCAATCCATGAGCTGTGCGGCGGACAGGAGGTTGAAGCGCAGGTTCTGGACGATCAGCACATCGTTGAGCGTGATGTGCGTGCGGCTCCCGCGTGCTTTGAGCACGACGATGCCTTGCGCGCTTGCGCGCAGGCGCGTGTTGTTCGCCACAGTGACATAGGTGGCGGTAGGAGTGGGGATGGCGTTGGATATGTAACGCTCGGAGCCCACCATATGCTGGCCGCAGCAGCTGTCCAGGTACCAGGTGTTGTAGCGCTTGTTGTCGTCACGGGCGAGCAGCGCCAGTCGCGGTGTGACGATGTGCGGAGTGTCGAACTTCAAAAATTGCTCGCGCGAGAGCCAATCAATTGGCGCCACCCGCATATCAGGTACGTGCGGGGGACTTTCAAGCAGCGGGACTGGAAGGTTCCAGTCTTGGTCGTCGTCGTCGGTGAAATCGTGGCGCGGGTTGAACGGGTTGTTGTTGGTGAACGCGCCAATGGGGTGCGGTGCCGGCTCGGGTGAAGGCGAGCGGGCACGGCGACGACGCGATTCGCTGGTCATGGCCATGTTGCTCATGACGTTGCGAGCTGGGGCAGTCGGTGACGGCTGCTGCTGCTGATGCTGAACCGCTGGGTTCAGGTTGCGCGCGGAAGGGGGCTGATACCCCTGGGCATGACGCGCGTCGCCTCGTGCGTCTTGACGGCCGGACCAGGTGCTCGGATTGGTCTGGCGAGGGCGGGATCGGTTCTTGCATCGATCCGCCAGATGCCCGAAATTTCTGCAGATTTTGCAGTAGAGGCGCCGTGGCTTTCGCTCTTCGGTGTTGTCGGCGTAGAAGGCGAGCCTTTCGCGTTCTCGTCGCGGCGCAGGTCGCTGCTGATCCATATCCCTCTGTTCGACGAGAAGGGCGGCGCAAAGGGTGGCCCCCGAGATGACCCCCTGCTATCGAAGAAGCGCCTTGCAGGGCCGCCACTCTGGGCCGAGCCCTTGAAGCACGATATTCACGAAGATTTCTTCCGAAATCGAGCTTCCCAGCTTCGCGATTTGATCGCGAAGGCTTCGACAGCGATTGATGTAGCTGTTGGCCTTCTCCCCTGGGGCCATTTTTGTTTCCAGTAGCTGCTGAAGCAGCCGGCTCGAGGAGACGGAGTCCTTCGGCTGATACACACCGTTGAGGTGTCGCCAGGCTTCAAGGGCTGGGGCGGCCGAAGTCTTGTATGAGCGTATGCTCAGTTGCTCCGTCGGTGCCATGTTCCGCAGGAGCACCCCGTACGCCATTAGGGACTCGTTGTAGTAGCGGGTCCTGGCGTCGTCCGTGTCGTCGGCAGGCTCCGCGTAGCTCCCGTCGAAATAGTGAAAGATTTGGGCGTTCTGCAGCAAGAGCTCCAACTCGAAGCTCCAGGTATAGAAGTCTCTGCCGTCAAAACAAGTACTTGTCTTTATTTTTGATATGCTCAGAAACTTTGATTGAGCAGAGAGAATTGCCTCTTCACTGGGACGGGGAGCCTTGGGGGTTGAGCCATTGGTGTCGAGAGAGAATGTGTGCGGGGCGGCGTTCTGGCCAGTTGGGGCCGGTTGGGATGGTTGCGAGGATGTTCCCGCATCGCCGTTCCGCAATGTTTGGAGTCCTTGCTCCAGGCTGGTGAGTCGCTGAAGGAATTGTGCGAGAACTTCGGTGCTGATCGTCGTCGTGTTTTCGCTTGTCGCAGCCGGGTTGGGTTGCGCTTCAGCCGTTAGATTGGTCTGACCACCAGATCCTCCGGCCATCTTCACTCGTGAGCGTGTGCCGGACGCCACTTTCCGAATGTCGCAATTTTCGGGAGTGGCAGTGCGAAGGATTCCTGAGCCGCTCTCATACCATGCTGAGATCAGAAGTTGATCGTAGCCCAGGATCTACCCAGGAAGGTTCGCACGTAGTGAGATAGTTTGGTGGGCCCTTGACCTCAATAGCAGAGTGAATGTAAAATGCTTTGAGATGATTAAAACATGCAAATACAACGATATAAATATGAGTACAGGGGAATACGAAGCGACCTAGCTAGCCATGTACTCTAAGGGGTACATTCCCTTATTCGAATTCAAACCAACCGTGCGGCCCGAGCAGTTACGAAACTGTTCCCGCCAGATTCATTGTCCCTGCAGCTGCCCGATGCCGTTTTTCTCCGACGGTCTAGATCCACCCTAACCGTCTGACGCTTCGAGTCAACTCTGACTCCTCGCATTCGTTCTCGATACTGCATGCCTCTTTGCTGCGGTGAGGAGTGCACAGTAATATCAAGTATTACTATTCGTAACATGTACCGTATTCCCCCGGACATATCACCCCCCGAAATAGAGCACCCCCCGGGTGGCTTGTGCGGGGGGGGTGCTATAGCGGGCCTCGTTTCTACTATACCCCCCCTTTTGGGGGCATCCTATATAGCACCCGGGGGGGGGTGTTATATACGGGTATAATTGCAGTTTTTGCCTAAGTAGCACAGAAAGAAGGATCAACTCCTTCACAGTTCAATGACGTGCCCGCCCAGCGAGGCAACCGAGGCTGTTGCGGGGACTCCGCCATTGTCACCTGCATGAATCCTCGTCGTGCGACGAGGGGGTGTGATTTCGTCCAATCAGGGCCTGACAGTGGGCCTTGTTGGAGCTTGCAATGTGGCAGCTAAGGGCGCGTGTCCTTGAGTTCGAACTTAGCCAAAGTTCGAACTTCTAGAAAGGTTGTACACGGTAGTATACAGTTGCGAAACGTGTTGCCACGGTACAAAGCGGTACTAGGTTCGAACTTCGCCAATCTACACCACAAGACACGCGTCCTAACCCTCGCGCAAAACGTTATCGCCCAGTCCTCGGTTTTGCGCACCCAACCAGCAATCTACCACCACGGCACAGATGTACATTTAGTACTAAACGTTTTACGCTATAAAAAAAATATACATTATGTAAAGACCCGGGTGCAATGTAGCTTTTTCCGATGACAAGACCCCCCCCCCCCCCCTTTTTTGTGTAGTTATCATAGCACCCTAGGGTGGTATATCCGGGGGAATACGGTAGTACCTAGCCTCGAAGCTCGCCCACAGTCCCGTCACAAGCCTGCAAAAAAGGACCTAGGTGGCAGGTCCGTACAGCAAACCCGTTATGGGACAAAGCGTAGCTTTACTGGTAGCTCGACTTCCCAATACTTCCAGTGATGAATACCTCTTGTCAAGGTGAGATACGATCCTTTGACCTTTGCATGAAAATATGTTTAAACGCAAGTATCAAAACACATATCAATGCAGGCTTGTGGGGCTTGGATGACAGTAGGGTTCTCTTTGTACTTATCTGAAAAAAAAAAAAATAATAATCATAAAACGATGATTGATGTGGTACACGGTGCCTAGAATGACGTGAATATCAGAAACGTTTTTTGCTCTAGTGTGCACAACTGGTTGTAGCCTCAAGTTTAGCAAGCAAAATCAATTTAATACTCTGCCAGAGATAAACCTGCACAGACGCAAACCACGTATGTGCACAAGCAGAACGGTTTTGCTACCTCTAGAACGGTTTTACAAAAATCCAGTGCAATTTTCTCTGCCAGTAAACCAGTTGCACATGTCCACATGCTACCTTCACATGGTCCCAACATTGCTGCCTCTGCTGGCGACGAGTCCAACATTCGAACCCTACCCCCTCTCATGCTGATCTATCTCTGGTTTAGCAGAACGGATGTCAAAAGCTTGTCAGATGCCTGTATCTTTTCAGTATCTCCTACAGTCCACATGTCCCCAAGAGGCCTAGGAGCTTCAGACCCTGGCCGCAGCTGCTGCTGTCCGCTCACATATAAATGCGTTCCCTGGCTTCAAAGCGTAACCCTTGTCGCACACGCAGGAAAACCGCCAGCGCACCTTCCCACCCACTGGCGTAGGTAGACAGGTGCCATGTCCCCCACACGGCCCTGATTTACCGTTCGCACCGCAGAAAGCCGCACACGAAGCAGGCCTGCGTTGCGATGTAACCTTGCAACCAGGCACCTGCGACAGGCAATTACGAGCAACAGTGAGGTACACCGTTGAGTCATCGGCAGGCTTCCCCGTCTGCCCTTCGATCGGGCAGACTCGCTTGCCCCACGCCTGTATTTCCGGTCTGCCCGAGAAGAAATTGTCACGCAGGTCCAGATTGTATTCCCCTTCCGGCGTACCGAAATTGGGCAAACCTCCCGCGAAGAAATTATTCGACATGTTCAAAACCTGCATGTGGAGACCCTTGAACGGATTTCCTGGAATTTCGCCCGATAGAATGTTGTTCTGGATGTTCAACCATGCTAATTCAGGCGCGCCTGCTACCGCAGCCCACGGGAAGCTCCCTGAAAGCCTGTTGAAAGATAGATCGAGTCCATACAGCTTCGGCTGATTGGCTAGTAGAAACGCAGGAATGGGTCCAGTCAGTTTGTTTCCCGCCAGATTCAGGCTCTGGATGTTTTTCATCTTCCCGAGGGTTGCGAGGATTCGCCGAGCGACCTTGTTTTGGCTCAGGTCGATGTCTCTAAGCTTCGGGTGGTTCGCGAGAGGCGCTAACGATGTAACGACGAAGCTGTTACGCTTGAGCGAAAGACCCTCCAGCTTCGGGAGTCGCAGAAGAGTGCTCACGGGAAGGGGACCCCCCAATCGGTTGAAACCAGCCATCAGCCTCACCAGACCGGTACACGCCGTCAGACTCGACGGCAGCGGCCCTTCCAGCCGGTTATTCTGAATCATCAGGTACGTCAGCGCTTTCAGATTGCCGATCTCCGCCGGAATGCTACCAGCCAGCCGGTTGTCGGTGACGCCTAAAGTCTTCAAAACGGAAAGCGCGCCGAGCGATGCCCCGGGAATGCTTCCTGTGAGCCGATTGGCGGACAGATCCAACGTGTCGAGTTTCTTCATCGTCCCGCCGAGGATAAACCCGGGAATGGGACCCGAGAAACGGTTGCGCGAGAGGTCCAAGTAAACGAGGTTCGTCAATCGGGAGAGCGTGGCCGGGATGGGTCCGCGCATGCCGGGGCCGTTGTCGGTGATTCGCAGCTCCTGCAGGCGGCTTAGCAGGCCGATGGACCACGGGAGTCGCCCCGTGAGCGTGTTGCCCCAAAATAACAGACTCGTGAGGGATGTTAGATTTCCTATCGCGGGCGGGATGGTGCCGTTGATCCACGCGCCGGATAAGTCGAGGCGCGTGACGGCGCCGGATCTCGCGTCGCAGGTGACTCCCTGCCACGTGGAGCAGTCTGTGCCAGCGATCCACGAGTCCGCGTATTGGAAGCCGGGCCAGCGTGATTTCAGGAAGAGGAGTATGGACTGATCCGGCTTGTAGACTTTGACGGCTTCGCAGAAATAAGGAGACTCCCCGTGCGAGGTACTTCTGGGGAAGAAGCGAGTGGATGGAGCGACGAGGAGGAGGGAGAAGAGAAATAAGCGTGAAAAACTACATCTCTGTTTACTACTGACTGGTGACGGCATCTTGCTATGGAGAGAGACGTCGACGCGATGGTGAGGGATACGGGAAGCAAGCGGAAGAAAACGCTAGTAGATCGTTGTAATTGTAAAGTTAATCGTGTGCGAGGATATCTGGGTACTAGGAGCGCACGGTCTTGGTCACCTAGCAGCAACTACAAACTACAAACATCTTAGTCCTAATATGTTTTGTTTTATGAAATATCGACTTGTGAGAGTATATGCTGGGATTGATGAGGACACGGGCAAGTGGAGTGCCGAGCACGGCTCGGTCGTATCCGAGGCAGTAGGAAGGTGCAGGTCGCGTGGATCCTTGCTGGATGACAGGGAGACAGGTTGCGCAATAACCGTGGGTTGGGAGGAGCTGCCGGGAGGGACACATCTCGGGCCTGTCTCCTCTGCTGAGCTGTTTCAGGCCCGTGAACAAAAAAAATGAGCTGGGCCGCTGCCGTCGAGCTCTCCTCGGGAGTGTATTGAAAAAAGCATGTGCCGTCAGTGTGCTGCTGTGCTCGTGAGTCTTGCGTGCCTTGTGAGGAGGGCACATCACGATTCCCAAGAAGTGGAGTTGGGTTTGGGATATGATGGGGAGGGAGAATTGCAGGGATGCACAAACAAGGTAAGAGAATGCAACAAAAGCCGCGTCGCCTGCTCTTGGTGATGTTCCTCGCATGGCGCCGCGTCGCGATCAATTTCGATCACTCCAGCTCAGCAGGAACCGAGTCGCGATGTTGTCATAGGAAAGTCGGGGCGCGATTCTTGGTGGGATGACTGCGTGCTGCAACACACATGCCACGTCATTTCTGTCAGCTTCGGGGCGCTTAGAAGCTGAGCTGGACGAGAGCGGTTCTGGCGGCGATGAAAAAAAAACCTCAGAAGATACATTATATAGTTACATTATACAGCAGGTATAGTTATTTGGGAAATTGCTTCTGTGAGAATATATCTCATAAATACCACAAAACACAACACATACATGCAATGGAGCATTCAGCCATTCACTTGAACCCCAATGCCATGTTTCACGTCAACATTTGGCCTTGCTCTCGAGCAGAGAGCTGTGACCAGGTGCATTGAGCTGGGAACAGTCATTTGGCAACAGCAGCGCCCACCAACAATGTGTGTAGCGAAGAGTCAAGTGAAATGCGCAGGGCAGTGCCGTGCCGCATTTAGGGGTGTGATTCGAGGATTGGGGGGAGAGGAGGCAGAGAGAAAAAAGGTGGGCGGGGGGGGAGGGGGGCGGGAAACTAATGCGGCGGAGGGATGGAAGTTGATGCGTGCGTATCCACACGCCTGGAGGACCGAACGTGGCTGTTGACAGTTTCACTGTGAGAAGCTTGATTCTGTAAATTGTGACTACGAAGAGTGTGACTATGTTGAAGGTGAAAAGCTTGTTCTCTCCTGGCCTGTGCGTGAGCAGCCTCGGCATGTTCCAGGCGAGTTGCGAAGAACGAGATGGGTGAGGGAGAGGAGGAGGAGGAGGAGGAGGAGGAGGAGGAGGAGGAGGAGGAGGAGGAGGAGGAGGGCAAAGAGGACGGCACTGGCGACGTTTCAGCTTGAGGGAACAGATGTGACGTGCTTTGAGACGGCCTTCGCGGCATTCCAAAAGGCGACAGCGATGACAAGGATGATGACGTGGACGATGACGAGGACGATGACGAGGATGCTGACGAGGATGATGACGAGGATGATGATTCAACACGAGGGAACAGATGTGATGACGTGGCAGCTGAAGGAGGAGAGCTGGGCGGCCTTTCCTGTCTGGGCTTGAATGAGCCAGCAGGGGGTGGGGCTACACGCTTGGGGGTAGGTGCAACTGGGGAGGGTGTTTTTGGTGTGGGGAGTTTGGGAGAAGGTGCCTTGGGGGTAGGTACAACTGGGGAGGGTGTTTTTGGTGTGGGGCTTTTGGGGGAAGGTGGCTTGGGTGTTGGGGCCTTGGGTGAGGGAGGAGGGAAGGGGGGAAAGGAGACCCGCTCAGGCCTGCACAAGGGAGAGAATGGTAGGCATCATTGGTAGGGATGTGAGGGATTGATAGGGATGTGAGGGATTGATAGGGATGTGAGGGATTGATAGGATTTGTAGCATTGCGAGCAGGAGGAGGGAGCACATGGAAGGAAATTGACTAAGGAAGAGATTGACCCACTTAGATCAAGGAAGAGATTGACCCACTTAAATCAAGGAAGAGATTGACCCACTTAAATCAAGGAAGAGATTGACCCACTTAAACCAAGGATGAGATTGCCCCACTTAAATCAAGGAAGAGATTGGCCCACTTAAATCAAGGAAGAGATTGACCCACTTAAATCAAGGAAGAGATTGACCCACTTAAATCAAGGAAGAGATTGACCCACTTAAATCAAGGAAGAGATTGACCCACTTAAATCAAGGAAGAGATTGACCCACTTAAATCAAGGAAGAGATTGACCCACTTAAATCAAGGAAGAGATTGGCCCACTTAAATCAAGGAAGAGATTGACCCACTTAAATCAAGGAAGAGATTGACCCACTTAAATCAAGGAAGAGATTGACCCACTTAAATCAAGGAAGAGATTGACCCACTTAAATGAAGGAAGAGATTGACCCACTTAAATCACAGACCAGACCTACTCACTCACCAGTGTCGCAGAGCAGGACCAGGGTATTCTTTGGAATTCTCACAAGTGACACAAAGGAGGAACTGACCTTTTTGAATCACAGTCCCGACCGACCTACTCACCCGCACTGTGCTGCCATGGAGTTGATGAGCCAGCGGGTGTTAGGCTTGAGGGTGAGAGGTGAGGTGAGGTGAGATGAGGCGAGGTGAGAAGAGGTGAGGTGAGGTGAGGTGAGGTGAGGTGAGGTGAGGTGAGGTGAGGTGAGGTGAGGTGAGGTGAGGTGAGGTGAGGTGAGGTGAGGTGAGGTGAGGCGAGGTGAGGTGAGGTGAGGTGAGGTGAGGTGAGGTGAGGTGAGGTGAGGTGAGGTGAGGTGAGGTGAGGTGAGGTGAGGTGAGGTGAGGTGAGGTGAGGTGAGGTGAGGTGAGGTGAGGTGGCGCTGACAAACTCACCCGCACTGGGCTGCCATGGAGTTGATGAGCCAGCGGGTGTAAGGCTTGGGCGTTAGGGAGGCCCATCCGCGCACCTGGGAGATCAGAATGGGGGGTGAAAGAAGGGGAGTTAGTACGTGTGTGGGTGCATGTGTGCATGTGTGCGTGCGTGCATGTGTGTGTTTATGAGTGATGTCATAAGCTGAGAAGCGTGTACATATGAATATGTATGTGTGTGTGTGTGTGTGTATGTGTGTGTGTGTGTGTGTGCGTGTGTGTGCGTGTGTGTGTGTGTGTGTGTGTGTGTGTGTGTGTGAGTGTGTGTGTGTGTGTGTGTGTGTGTGAGTGTGTGTGTGTGTGTGAGTGAGTGATGATTGATAGAAGCTCACCTTGGGAGTGGGGAAGAGGAGGCCAGTGGTGACGCCATACGCTGATATGAACTCCGTCAGAAGAGGCGCGCGTGTTTGCATGTGCGCATGCATGCGTGCATGCATGTGTGTTTGTACGAACAGAGGGAACTCACCTTGGGAGTGGGGAGGAGGAGGCCAGTGGTGACACCATAGGCTGATATGAACTCCGTGAGAAGAGGCGGCACTTGTGCAAGTGAGGTGAGGGGGGAGGGGAAGGAGGGGGAGGAGGAGGAGGAGGAGGAGGAGGGGGAGGAGGAGGAGGAGGAGGAGGAGGGGGAGGAGGGGGAGGAGGGGGAGGAGGGGGAGGAGGGGGAGGAAGAGGAGGAGGAAGAAGGGAACGAGGATGAAGAGGAGAGGTGGGGGAAGAGAGGTCGCAAGTCTGGGTCAAGAGCAGCGGCAGCAGCAACAGCAGCAGCAGCAGTGGCATGAAGAGAGGAGGCTGAGGAGGAGGAGGAGGCGGAGGAGGAAGGGAGCATGGAAGCTGCAGCGGCCTGAAAGAGGCTGCTGGCTCGGTTGGCAGAAGGGGCAATGGCAACACCCGAGAGCAGCAGGGACGTGCATGGGACGGAGCGGCTGCAGTCGAAGAGAATGGCGTGTGTGCCGTTGGCCGTGCCCTTCACGTTAATGAAGCTGATGTCCGTCACTGCCACTGCCTCGTTCCTCACCCTGCACTTGCTGGGAGAGGCGTCGCAGTAAAACTGTGATGGGGTGGGATGGGGTGGGGTGGGGTGGGGTGGGGTGGGGTGGGGTGGGGTGGGGTGGGGTGGGGTGAGGGTGAAGGGTTGGGTGATGATGTCCGTCACCGCTACTGCCTCGCTCCTCACCCTGCACTTACTTGGCGAGGCGTCGCAGTAAAACTGATAGTTGGGAGAGGGAGGGGGGGAAGCGGGAGGGTGACACTTCACGTTGATGAAGCTCACGTCTGTCACTGCTAGTAGAGGGGACGAGGGAGGGAGCGACCGCAACCTGAGACCCCAGGGAGCAAGAGAGCATGAGAGTATGAGAGTATGGCAGGTTGTTTTCTGTCTTTCTTAGCCCTAATAAGTTTGCAGCTCGCTGAAAATATGTCTGAAGACCGAGGGGACGAGGGAGGGAGCGACCGCAACCTGAGACCCCAGGGAGCATGAGAGCATGAGAGTATGAGAGCATGAGAGCATGAGAGCATGAGAGCATGAGAGCATGAGAGCATGAGAGCATGAGAGCATGAGAGCATGAGAGCATGAGAGCATGAGAGCATGAGAGCATGAGAGCATGAGAGCATGAGAGCATGAGAGCATGAGAGCATGAGAGCATGAGAGCATGAGAGCATGAGAGCATGAGAGCATGAGAGCATGAGAGCATGAGAGCATGAGAGCATGAGAGTATGAGATTATGAGAGCATGAGAGCATGGGAGAGCATGAGAGTATGAGAGCATGGCAGGTTGTTTACTGTCTTTCTTAGCCCTAGTAAGTTTGCAGCTCGCTGAGAATATGCCTGTAGACCGAGGGGATGAGGGAGGGAGCGACTGCAACCTGAGAATTCAGAGAGCATGAGAGCATGAGAGCATGAGAGCATGATGAGAGTATGAGAGCATTAGAGCATGAGAGCATGATGAGAGTATGAGAGCATGAGAGCATGAGAGCATGATGAGAGTATGAGAGCATGCGAGCATGATGAGAGCATGAGAGCATTAGAGCATGAGAGCATGATGAGAGTATGAGAGCATTAGAGCATGAGAGCATGATGAGAGTATGACAGGAGAGACCAGCTGCAGTTGAATAGAATGGCGTGTGTGCCGTTCACGTTGACCGTGCTTTTGTGAGTCGACTCAAAAGTGCTCTTGCCCGTCCCCTTGTTTTTTTGAGTCAACCCAAAAGCGCCGTTGCCCGTGCCCTTCGTGTTCACGAACCTCACTCACATCACATCAATGCAAGCCCCTCGCCTCGCTGGTAAGTTTGGTACGTGTGGGGTGTGTGGGAGAAGCACCACACTGCACCACACAGCACCACACTGCACCACCCTGCACCAAACTGCACCGCACTGCACCGCACTGCATACCTGATCGATGATTATCGGCCATGTGACGTCAGAAACTCGAATGACTTTATAGGTCACGTTGGATACAACCCCTTCCCTCCCTGATACGTCTTGATGCGCAGGGCGTTGTTTGACCCCGTGAAGCTCACATTCCTTACAAGCACATCCGACACACACCCGGTCTCTTGGTCCTCTCCCAGGCTTCCGATGCTGCCAGGGGGGAGGGGAGCCAGGAAGAGCGTTGTTTGATTTGAACATGAAGCTCACGTTCCTTACAAGCACGTCCGACACACACCCTGTGTCTTGGTCCTCTCCCAGGCTTCCGATGCTGGCAACGCCAAGGGGAAATGGGGGGGCATGGGGAGGCCAAAGGGGAGATGGGGGAGGGGAGGACGGGGAACATAACATGAGAGGGGGAGCAAGCGTCGTTGTTTGACCCCGTGAAGCTCACGTTCCTTACAAGCACATCCGACACACACATTGTCTCTTGGTCCTTTCCCAAGCTTCCGGTGCTGGCAAGGCAGAGAGCGGAAAGGAGAGGCAGGGAAAGAGAGGTGAGAGGCAGGGAACGAGAGGTGAGAGGCAAGAAGAACCTAGACAGACAAGCTGAGGAAGAGCTGTCAAGATAGGACAGGTGGGCTGCGAAGGCCTTACTTCCACCCGTTAGCATTGAGGTCGTTATTGAGGCGCCTCAAAAACGACCTCAGGTGGGCTGCGAAGGCCTTACTTCCACCCGTTAACTCGTGTTGTACTTGGACAACTAAACAAACTCCATGAAAAAATGGCGGACGGAGCCTGGTTGTGCGCTAGCTTAGAACGTTGTTTAGAAAGCCAGTTTGAAACAATTCTTCACTAAAGGAGAGGCAGGGAACGAGACGTGAGAGGCAAGAAGAGCCAAGACAGACAGACAAGCTGAGTAAGAGCAAGGAGGAAGGAAAGAGATGAAAGGAAGATTTTAAACATGAAGAGGAAAGGAGGAGGAAGATGAAGGGTAAGGGACAACAATGAGGGTGACAGGGATAAAAGTGATACGAAACAGTTGCACAAACATGACTGTTGACGCAATCACCTTGCTTCGTAACCGTTGATTTATTCACAACATGATCCTCTCGCCTCACATTGTGACCGCTCATCCCCTCACCTCACTCCGTGGCCGTTGATTTCCTCACCTCACTCCGTCCAAGGTCGTTGATTTCCTCACCTCACTCCGTGGCCGTTGATTTCCTCACCTCACTCTGTGGCCGTTGATTTCCTCACCTCACTCCGTGGCCGTTGATGCACATGAGATTCTCAACCAGCAGATTATGGCAGCCCTCATTGATTGCCACGTTGTCATCTCCTGATTGGCCGGGAGGGAAAGGACGAGGGTTGGGGCAAAGAGGAGGGAAAAAGAGAATGAGGATGGGGAAGGGTGATCACCAGACATAATTATTATTGGGATAAGCTACTGTTGCTTGTGTTACATATGCATCAACGTATAATGTAATCTTACGCTGCAGGCATTGATATATTCAGTCTTGTACACTCTGGATGCAACCAACTTATATCTGAATGAATGAAAACCACCTTGTAACTACCTTTTTCCTTGCTTAAAGTTGATTGAAATGGATTGTTCTTTTCTTCTTCTTTTTCTTAACAGGTAGGAGTAAGCAACAGACTCACCCCCCTGCAGATGGCTGTTTCGTATCCCCTCTAAACTAGGAATTTCCAAATACTCTGTCCTCATTATAAGCAAGTTGACTCATCGCCTCGCAAATGACTGTTTCGAATGATGCCATTCTCGACCTTGGTAAGCTGGATGGTGTCCGTGTTGGGGCTGTTTACCCCTCTATTAGCAGTATGTGCCTTCTTATTTGTCCTCGCTATAAACAAACCACCGCCCTGCAGCTGGCTGTTTCTTATGATGCTATTCTCGACCTTGGTGAGCTGAATGCTGTCCTGGGGTTGTTTATCCCTCTATAAGCAGGATGCAACTTCCCATTTGTCCTCGTTATAAGCAAACTTACTCACCACCCTGTAAATGGCTGTTTCTTATGATGCCATTCTCGACCTTGGTGAGCTGAATGCTGTCCGTGTTGGGGCTGTTGAATGGGCTGCGAGTGGTTATCCTCTCTATAAGCAGCCCGTTACTGCCATACACCTTTAGGTGTACCTTGCCTGGATTGCTGTAGACAATAACAAGAGAACAAACAGGGGAGGACACGAAGGGGAATTGAAGGGAAGGGAGAAGTGAATCAACAAATGGAAACAAATTGAAGGGCTTAAGAGTTTACGGAAACAGACGAAACGAATTTTTTACTTTGGCACCAAATGTAACTCACGTCAACCCCACTCCCTGCACTGTAGCATTGTCACAGTGCATCAGAAACAGCAGTGCTGGTCGCTTGCTCCCCTTGCCCCGCGCCCAGAACCCCGCCCCCCGCCCATCCATCCACCCGCCACCCGTGATTGCGAGGTTCGGAACCTCTCTGAAAAACAGCAGCCCCCACGCATTGCTCTTGCGCGGCTTGGGGTAGGAGGTGACATTGGCAGCACCAGCAATGCCGCCGTTAATCTGGTGTGTGAGAGAGCAGAGATGAACAAGGGAGGAGGGAGCGTTAGACCGGGCAGGCACTGCTCGGGAGAACAGCAGCGCCCACGCGTTGCTCTTGCACGATGTGACGTTCTGAGGCGCCTCAAAACTAGGCTTGGGGTGCGATGTGACGTTCTTCGCCGCGGCAATCCCCCCATTGATCTGTCAAGCAGAGAGCGGACAGGGGAGGGAAGAGGACAAAGGAACAATAACTTTCTGTTCAGAGGACAGGGGAAGGTGGGGAGGGAAGCAACGGATAGAAATGAGAACCCTCAGGGTTTACGAACAGCTGGTTGAATCTGTTCTTTGAGAATAAAAAAAAAACGTGGTGATTGCCAGACAGGCTGTCCAGTCCATCCACCCGCCTGCTGTGATTGCCAGGTTCGGCACCTCTCCAAAAAACAGCAGTCACCACGTGGTGAGGTGAGACTCGCTGCGCAAGATCTGGAACCGGCCGCACGCAGGGAGGGACTGCCACCCACTCCCCTTCCCCGTTCGCACACGTTTTCCCCAGAGCACCCATCCCCCATTCCCGCCCGCCCATTGCCGCCCGCCCATTGCCGCCCGCCCATTCCCACCCGCCCATCCCCCGCTCCGCACCCACCTGAACCTCCAATCCCGCGCCGCACGGCCCCTCTAGCACGATCGGAAAGATCCGGAACAGCCCGCTCGCGAGGACCACCATGCATTCTCCTTCGCCCATTCGCACCGCTTCCCACCCACCTGAACCTCCAAGCCAGCGCCGCACGGCCCCTCTAGCTCGATCGGGAAGATCTGGAACAGCCCGCTCGCGGGGACCACGAGGCGCGCGTACGTCTTTCGCGCCCTTCCCCACGCGCACGCGGTCATCAACGCGCGCCGAAACGCGTCCGTGTTGTCAGTGCGCCCGTCCGCGCGCGCCCCAAACTGCAGCACGTTGAAGACTCCCTGCCCGTTGATTGGCCACGGCTGGAAGAACGGCGGAGGCGGCGGAGGCTTGACTGGGGGAGGCTTGACTGGCGGAGGCTTGACCGGCGGAGGCTTGACCGGCGGAGGCTTGACTATCGGAGGCTTCGCGGTCGGGGGAGGTAATACTGGGGGGGGCAGGCTCGCAGGAGCCGGCGTTACCTGGCTCGGATCACGAGGCTGCATGAAAGCGAACGTGGAGACCAGGTTCGGACCAGACGAGAGACTCGGCGCGGCGGAAGCGCGCGGATCTGTGGCGGAAAGAGCGCGGCGATCAGGGGAAGCTTCAGCATCGTCGCGGGCTGGAGGAGCGACACGAGGAACGGCTAGCCGGCTGGATAGACCGAGTCGCTGACGCGCGATGCCAGGTTGCAGTCGCATTGGATTCGTGCTGGCGGGATCTGCGGAAGACCACGTAACCGGCGCGTTCGCTTCATGACTGTGTTTCGAACCGTCAGAATCCGCGTTATACGGCGCGACGGTATATGGGCTACCATCTGCCGAGCTGGCAGTGGCGATTGCGGTCAAGAGGAGAATCGCAAACGGCACGACCATATTCAAATGCCTAATACGGAATGTAGCCCGTGAGGGATCCCTTTTCTACGGTGAGATGAGCGGCTCCGCCCGGAATGGCGTATACTGCGGAACTGTCTCAAAGAAATAGCATCACGATAGTCAGTTCAAATCGAAGCTCAGATCGATCTGCTCTGTTCTTTTTTTCGTCGTAACTCGCTCCTCGCCAAAGCTCTCGTTCGGATCGGACCACGTCGAGAGAAAAACGCATTTCATTTGAACTGGATCTCACTTCGCACAATCCGGAGCGCGCGGGGATTGTATATGATAGAAAAAACTAAACTGCTTGGTCGCGAGAAATTAAAAGCAGACCGACCGACATTTGCTTGGTTTCCTGGCTGGTCAAACCCAGGGTGGAATTGTACTGTACTTTGCAGGGAACAGCACCACCACGTGTCACCACCAACAACCAAGGCTGGTGCGCCGAACCTAACCGAACCCGAACCCAGCGAGCCGCGGCCCAAAGTTGGGAAGTTGGCGACTTCGAGCTGAAATGTGTAGTACTGTAGTGAATCGAGACAGATTCGAGGCGCGTATGCCTTTGCAGATCATACAGCGCGGTTTCATACGTGAAAATCACGTTTGGATACGGTTGGGAGCGAAGAGGGCTGCTGTTGTTTTGTTCATGATTCTTCCGCCGCCTTTCTGTTGCGCACGAGTCGCGGTAAATTTCTTGTAACGAGTGTCATTTATCCCCTTCGACTCTGTGTCCCACACATTCGTACAACAAATAGAAAGTTCTGCAGATATCACTAGAACGGCTTACAGTAAAATTGCTTAAATTACAATCAGGAATGGAATTACACACACACAAAAAGATTTAATGGACATAATTGTTAAACATTTCTGATTCATCAAACAGAAAACACGTACAGCATCTGATGCATCGGGTGGGTTCAAAACCTAGGGAGAGCCCTGGTCAATTCAAAAGTTACTTGTAACTAGAGAGGGGGGGGGGGGGGGGGGGGGGGGGGGCTTGAGGGAAGACAGCTTGGGTATTGCGATCCCTGGGGGGAGGAGGAAATGCGACACAATGGATGGAAATGCGACAAAAGGGATGGGAGCGTGATAAGGGAGAAAGGAAATGTGGCACAAGTGGGGAATGTAATTCAAGGAAGGAAAACGAGGGGAGGGATTGTGATACAAGGGATGTGGGGAGTGGGGAAGGGATGGGGAAAAGCAGAGTTATGCGAATGGGACACACCCACACAGACAATCCCCCTCCCTCACACACCCACTTCGACACCTAAACTCATATGCAGACTCACACGCAACCTCCCCTCCCCCCTCTCCCTTCTCCCACTCCCACACGTGACGCACGTCTACTCCAGCCATGCTGCTGACGGCTGCTCTTGCTGCAGCAGAGGGTTGTTGAGTTGACTTGGGAAAACACACACCCACTCACAAACACACATCACTCGCACCCCCCCACACACGGCTGCACTCACGTCCACCTCTCAGCCATGCTGATGACGGCTGCTCTTTTGAGACGTCTCAAAAGTCCACCTCTCAGCCATGCTGCTGACGGCTGCTCTTGCTGCAGCATGCGGCCAGGCACCCCTCCCACTGCCCCTGCGCCTGCTGGTAGTGCTGCGGCTGTTGGTGGCGCTGCTGCTGGTGCTGCTGCTGCTGGTGGTGCTGCTGCTGCTGCTGCTGCTGCAGCTGCTGCTGGTGCTGCTGCTGCTGCTGCTGCCAAATCCAAAGAGATTTGCAACTTAGCTGACTCCCTTGACTCGTGCTACACTAGGATGGAAATGGAAACGGTACAAATGACAAGTACTTGTAACATGAGGGCGTGGCGGGGAGACAGCTTCGTTATGGGGCCCTTAGGGAGAGGAGGGGGAGGAGGCGAAGGAGGAGAGGGAGGAGGAGAAGGAGGAGGAGGAGGAGGAGGAGGAGGGAATGGTGGGAAGGAAATGCTCTCGGACCTGCACAAGGGAGGGAGCGAAAGGGAAATGTGAGGGAAGTGGGGAACTGGACTTGAGGCAGAAAAGGCACATAAGGGGCAGGAAGGGGCAGGAAGGGGGGAGTGGGGGAAGGAGATACTCTTGTATCTGCAGAAGTGGGGGAAGAAACACTTTTTTGAGACGTCTCAAAACACTTTTTTTTTTTATCTCGAGCGAAATGTGTCAGAAGGGAGGTGGAGAATGCGAGTCACCTGCATTGTGCGACCATGGCTTTAATCAGGTAGCGGCTGGAGGGGCTTATGGGGAGTGTGTTGGAGCGGCAACAGTAAGGGGTGCCAGGCAGCGGAGGCACGATACAGAGATGGAAGGCAAGGCAAAGAAAGAGAGAGTGAGTCAAATGCACAGAGAGTGAGTCACGTGCAGAGAGAGTGAGTCACCAGCACAGAGAGTGAGTCACCAGCACAGAGAGTGAGTCACCTGCCTTGTGCGACCATGGCGTTCATGAGCCTGCGGCTGGAGGGATATATGGGGAGTGCGGGGCGGTGCAAGGGTGAGCAAAGAGAGATATGATTGTCTCCCATGCTCACTGTGCGTCCTACACTCTCACACTCACCTGCATTGTGCGACCATGGCGTTAATGAGCCTGCGGCTGGAGGGATCTATGGGGAGTGCGCCGTCATAGGAACACTGTTTTTGGGACGTGTCAAAAACAATCTTCTATCACGTGAACTTGGTGGAAGGAAAAGCAAGAGAAATCGCCTCACCTGCACAGAGAGTGAGTCACCAGCACAGAGAGTGAGTCACCTGCATTGTGCGACCATGGCATTAATGAGCCTGCGGCTGGAGGGATCTATGGGGAGTGTGGGCCATCCATGCACCTGGGGGGCGTGAAGGAGGGTGGGAAACACACGGGAGATGGGGAATGTGACTCGCCTGGATCTATGGGGAGTGTGGGCCATCCATGCACCACCTGCGGGGTGTGTGAAGAATGTGATATAAAGGAGGGTGGGCAAACCCACGGAGGTGGGGAATGTGATATAAAGGAGGGTGGGCAAACCCACGCAGGTGGGGAATGTGATACAAAGGAGGGTGGGCAAACCCACGCAGGTGGGGAATGCTGGGTTCATATGCTACGACTGGAGGGATTTATGGGGAGTGTGGCCCACACTTGCACCCTGGGGAGTGTGACGAGGATGAAGGGGAGCCAGGAGGGGGAGTGGATGGAAGGCGAGTGGATAAAAGGGGGGGGGAGTGGAGGTAAGGAGAGCCAGGAAGGGTATGCTAATGCTTAGTTCATAAGCTGATGCATGTGTGAGTGTGTATGTGCTTGCGTGCACGCATGTGTGCATGTCTGGTGTGTGTGTGGGGGGGGGGGGGGGGGGGGGGGGGTGTGTGTGTGTGTGTGTGTGTGCGTTCCTATTGTGTACATGTGTGTGTGTGTGTGTTCCTATTGTGTACATGTGTGTGTGTGTGCGTGCGTGCGTGCGTGTGTGTGTGTGAATGCACACATGCGTTTGTTCATGTGTGCACTGCACTAGGATCCTCACCTCTTGAGAATTCTCAAAAACGAGCCTCACCTCAGGTGTGGGGAGAAGGAGGCCTGTTGTGTTCTATAGTGAAGAGTTGATCCATACTGGCTCTCTATGCTTCTGTTCATGTGTGCACCAGGAGCCTCACCTCAGGTGTGGGGAGAAGGAGGCCCGTTGTGTTCCCATACGCTGACTTGAACTCTGAAAGAAGCAGAGGCAGTTGAGTGAAAGAAGCAGAGGCAGTTGAGTGAGAGAAGCAGAGGCAGTTGAGTGAGAGAAGCGAAGGAGGAGGGAGGAGGAAGTGAGCATGTCAGAAGCAGCTAGCACTGTTGGTAGAGGGGGAAATTACGACATCAGTGGAAGAGGAAGAGGAAGAGGAAGAGGAAGAGGAAGAGGAAGAGGAAGAGGAAGAGGAAGAGGAAGAGGAAAAGGAAAAAAAAGAGGAAGAGGAAGAGGAAGAGGAAGAGGAAGAGGAAGAGGAAGAGGAAGAGGAAGAGGAAGAGGAAGAGGAATAGAAAGAGGAAGAGGAAGAGGAAGAGGAAGAGGAAGAGGAATAGAAAGAGGAAGAGAAAGAGGAGGAGGAAGGGGAGGAGGAAGGGGAGGAGGAGGAAGAGGGCATAGAGGCAGCAGCAGCTAGTCTGCCAGCCCTGTTGGCAGAGGGAGCAATGACAACACCCGAGGCCGTCTGGGACGTGCATGGGACGAATCGGTTGCAGTTGAGTTGATTTTTTAGTCGAATGTGAAAAGTCAATTTTTGAGTCGAATGTGATAAATCGATTTTTTAGTCGAATGTGATAAGTCGATTTTTGAGTCAAATGTGATAAGTCGATTTTTTTAGTCGGCTAAAAAATTGTCTGGGACGTGCATGGGTCGGATCGGCTGCATTTGAGTTTTGAAAAAAATTGTTGTTGCAGGTACTCACAACTCACCTGCAGCGGCTAGCCTGCTAGCTCTGTAGGCAGAAGGGGAGATGGCGATATCAGAGAGCATGAGGGACGTGCATGGGACGGATCGGCTGCAGTTGAAGAGAATGGCGTGTGTGCCGTTGGCCGTTCCTGTCACCTTGATGAAGCTTATGTTTGTGACTGCTACTGCCTCTTCCCTCTCCTGGCATTTGCTTGGGGAGGCGTCACAATAAAACTGTGAGGGGGTTGGGTTGGGGCATGGGAAGAGGAGAGGAAGAAGGGTGGTTGGGGAAAATTGAACCCACTTTTCTCATCGGAAGCTGATGGGGGGAAAAGGAAGAAGGACGACAACTCCATCAAATCATGCCAGCTTCATCAATTAATGCCAGTTCCATCAGCTCATGCATGTTTTCTTAGCTCATGCAGACGACAGTAGCTGATGCCAAATCAGTCAAATGTTGCCAGTACCATCATCTGATGCCAGTTCCATCAACTGATGCGAGATCAATAAGCTGATGCTGATTGATGTAGAAACTGATGGAACTGGCATGAGTGATGGCTCTGGAACATCTGATACAAACTAGCATGGGCTGATAGTTCTGGCAACATTTCATTGGACTGGCATGAGCTGATGGAACTGGCATGAAATGATGCACACGCACACAGTAAATTGAGAGTGATAAGCCACGTGAAAGAGTCGGAAATGCAACAGACTCAAGTTATAATGATAAGCCACGTGAGAAGAGTCGAAAATGCGCCTAACAGTTTGATAACAATAGGAGCAACAAATTGAAATGATAACGATGGGCGGACTCAAGTTCCTCACAAAATTCTCTCACGTAAACCACAAGCACATTTCTGCTCCGATACAAAAAAACATGCATGGGGTTAGGATCGAGCACCACACTGCACTGCACTGTACTGCACTGCACTGCACCACGCTGCACTACATACCTGATCAAGTGGGGGTACTCACACTTATCTGGTTGATGATTATCGGCCATGTGACATCAGTCACCCGGATGTCTTTGTAGGTCACGTTGGACACAAGCCCCTTGCCGCCCTGGTACGTCTTGATGTCATTAGCTGACCTGATTGATGATTATCGGCCATGTGACGTCAGAAACTCGAATGTCTCTGTAGGTCACGTTGGATACAAGCCCCTTCCCTCCCTGATACGTCTTGATTCGCAGGGCATTGTTTGACCCCGTGAAGCTCACATTCCTTACAAGCACATCCGACACACACGCCGTGTCTTGGTCCTTGCCCAAGCTCCCGATACTAAGGGGGGAGAGGAAGGTGGAAGCAGGGACAGGGGAAGGGAGGAGAGTCCTCCTTGGGAAAAGGACAAGGACAAGTCAAAACAGACACGCATATAGCCTCATGTGACTTTTGAGTCGACTCATATAGCCTCACGAAATGAGTAATTTCACAAAGCAGGGATAGGAGAAGAGAGAAATGTTCTCCTTAGGAAAAGGACAAGGACAAGACGAAACAGACCATTGCTGATTCCTGGGCACTGGGCAAGGACCAAGCAACAGCATGTGTGTGGCGGCGGATGTCCTTGTTTGGATATTTTTCAAAACACACAAGGCGGGAAATAGGTTGAGGGAAGAGACAAGGACAAGACGAAACAGACCACCATTGCTGATTCCTGGGCACTGGGCAAGGACGAAGCAACAGAATGTGTGTGGCGGCGGATGTCCTTGTTGGGATATTTTTCAAAACACACAAGGTGGGAAATAGGTTGAGGGAAGAGACAAGGACAAGACGAAACAGACACATGCATATGACCATTGCTGATTCTCGACCCTATTTCAAGCTTCTGATGACCGTTGATTCCCTCACCTCATTACGTGACCGTCGATCCCCTCACCTCAATCCATGACTTATGCTTTTCTCACCTCAACTTGTGGCCATTGAGAATTCTCAAAAACCATTGATTCGCTCACATCACCCCGTGACCGTTGATTTTCTCACCTCACTCCGTGACCGTTGATGCACACGAGATTCTCAACCAGAAGATTATGGCAGCCATCACCGATCGCCACGTTGTCGTCTCCTGATTGTTCAAGGAAAAAACGCAGTAGTTCAGATGGAAAGAAGAGGTTCGGGGAAAGGACAGAGGGCTAGGGGAAGAGGTTCGGGAACAGACAAAGGTTGGCGGGGAAAGAAGAGGATGGATGGATAAACCTTTTTTTTTTTTTCCCATTAATGTCATTGCTAGAAGAAACATATAAGTACTATTCGTTTATTCTGACTCACCGGCCTGCAAAAGGCTAACCACAGCATTGTTGGGGCTGTTTATCCTCTTTATAAGCATGATGTACCTTCTTATGTGTCCTCGTTAGAAAAAAACTCACTCACCACTCTCCAGATGGCTGTCTCGTACAACGGCATGCTCGACCTTGGAGAGTTGAATACCGTCCGTGTTGGGGCTGTCGAACGGGCTGCGAATGGTTATCCTCTCTATAAGCAATCCGTTACTGTTGTACACCTTAAGGTGTGCGCTTCCTGGGTTGCTGTACACAATAATGGGACAGGAAAAAACAAAAACGGGGAGAGCCGAACAGGAAGCAGGACGAAAGAGATGCTGCTGCTGAGAGAGAGGGCGAAAAGGGAATAAATGGGGAGAGATGAATGGAACAGGGAGAGATGAATGGAACAGGGAGAGATGAATGAAACAGGGAGAGATGAATGAAACAGGGAGAGATGAATGGAACAGGGAGAGATGAATGGAACAGGGAGAGATGAATGGAACAGGGAGAGATGAATGGAACAGGGAGAGATGAATGGAACAGGGAGAGATGAATGGAACAGGGAGAGATGAATGAAACAGGGAGAGATGAATGAAACAGGGAGAGATGAATGAAACAGGGAGAGATGAATGGAACAGGGAGAGATGAATGGAACAGGGAGAGATGAATGAAACAGGGAGAGATGAATGGAACAGGGAGAGATGAATGGAACAGGGAGAGATGAATGAAACAGGGAGAGATGAATGGAACAGGGAGAGATGAATGGAACAGGGAGAGATGAATGGAACAGGGAGAGATGAATGAAACAGGGAGAGATGAATGGAACAGGGAGAGATGAATGAAACAGGGAGAGATGAATGGAACAGGGAGAGATGAATGGAACAGGGAGAGATGAATGGAACAGGGAGAGATGAATGGAACAGGGAGAGATGAATGAAACAGGGAGAGATGAATGGAACAGGGAGAGATGAATGGAACAGGGAGAGATGAATGAAACAGGGAGAGATGAATGAAACAGGGAGAGATGAATGGAACAGGGAGAGATGAATGGAACAGGGAGAGATGAATGGAACAGGGAGAGATGAATGGAACAGGGAGAGATGAATGAAACAGGGAGAGATGAATGGAACAGGGAGAGATGAATGAAACAGGGAGAGATGAATGAAACAGGGAGAGATGAATGGAACAGGGAGAGATGAATGGAACAGGGAGAGATGAATGGAACAGGGAGAGATGAATGGAACAGGGAGAGATGAATGAAACAGGGAGAGATGAATGGAACAGGGAGAGATGAATGAAACAGGGAGAGATGAATGAAACAGGGAGAGATGAATGGAACAGGGAGAGATGAATGGAACAGGGAGAGATGAATGAAACAGGGAGAGATGAATGAAACAGGGAGAGATGAATGGAACAGGGAGAGATGAATGGAACAGGGAGAGATGAATGAAACAGGGAGAGATGAATGGAACAGGGAGAGATGAATGGAACAGGGAGAGATGAATGGAACAGGGAGAGATGAATGGAACAGGGAGAGTGGAACAGGGAGAGATGAATGAAACAGGGAGAGATGAATGGAACAGGGAGAGATGAATGGAACAGGGAGAGATGAATGAAACAGGGAGAGATGAATGGAACAGGGAGAGATGAATGAAACAGGGAGAGATGAATGGAACAGGGAGAGATGAATGGAACAGGGAGAGATGAATGGAACAGGGAGAGATGAATGGAACAGGGAGAGATGAATGGAACAGGGAGAGATGAATGAAACAGGGAGAGATGAATGGAACAGGGAGAGATGAATGAAACAGGGAGAGATGAATGGAACAGGGAGAGATGAATGGAACAGGGAGAGATGAATGAAACAGGGAGAGATGAATGGAACAGGGAGAGATGAATGGAACAGGGAGAGATGAATGGAACAGGGAGAGATGAATGAAACAGGGAGAGATGAATGAAACAGGGAGAGATGAATGGAACAGGGAGAGATGAATGGAACAGGGAGAGATGAATGGAACAGGGAGAGATGAATGGAACAGGGAGAGATGAATGAAACAGGGAGAGATGAATGGAACAGGGAGAGATGAATGAAACAGGGAGAGATGAATGAAACAGGGAGAGATGAATGGAACAGGGAGAGATGAATGGAACAGGGAGAGATGAATGGAACAGGGAGAGATGAATGGAACAGGGAGAGATGAATGAAACAGGGAGAGATGAATGAAACAGGGAGAGATGAATGGAACAGGGAGAGATGAATGGAACAGGGAGAGATGAATGAAACAGGGAGAGATGAATGGAACAGGGAGAGATGAATGGAACAGGGAGAGATGAATGGAACAGGGAGAGATGAATGGAACAGGGAGAGATGAATGAAACAGGGAGAGATGAATGGAACAGGGAGAGATGAATGGAACAGGGAGAGATGAATGAAACAGGGAGAGATGAATGGAACAGGGAGAGATGAATGGAACAGGGAGAGATGAATGAAACAGGGAGAGATGAATGGAACAGGGAGAGATGAATGAAACAGGGAGAGATGAATGGAACAGGGAGAGATGAATGGAACAGGGAGAGATGAATGAAACAGGGAGAGATGAATGGAACAGGGAGAGATGAATGGAACAGGGAGAGATGAATGAAACAGGGAGAGATGAATGGAACAGGGAGAGATGAATGGAACAGGGAGAGATGAATGGAACAGGGAGAGATGAATGAAACAGGGAGAGATGAATGAAACAGGGAGAGATGAATGGAACAGGGAGAGATGAATGGAACAGGGAGAGATGAATGAAACAGGGAGAGATGAATGGAACAGGGAGAGATGAATGAAACAGGGAGAGATGAATGGAACAGGGAGAGATGAATGAAACAGGGAGAGATGAATGAAACAGGGAGAGATGAATGGAACAGGGAGAGATGAATGAAACAGGGAGAGATGAATGGAACAGGGAGAGATGAATGGAACAGGGAGAGATGAATGGAACAGGGAGAGATGAATGGAACAGGGAGAGATGAATGGAACAGGGAGAGATGAATGAAACAGGGAGAGATGAATGGAACAGGGAGAGATGAATGAAACAGGGAGAGATGAATGGAACAGGGAGAGATGAATGGAACAGGGAGAGATGAATGAAACAGGGAGAGATGAATGGAACAGGGAGAGATGAATGGAACAGGGAGAGATGAATGGAACAGGGAGAGATGAATGAAACAGGGAGAGATGAATGGAACAGGGAGAGATGAATGAAACAGGGAGAGATGAATGAAACAGGGAGAGATGAATGAAACAGGGAGAGATGAATGGAACAGGGAGAGATGAATGAAACAGGGAGAGATGAATGGAACAGGGAGAGATGAATGGAACAGGGAGAGATGAATGAAACAGGGAGAGATGAATGGAACAGGGAGAGATGAATGAAACAGGGAGAGATGAATGGAACAGGGAGAGATGAATGAAACAGGGAGAGATGAATGGAACAGGGAGAGATGAATGGAACAGGGAGAGATGAATGGAACAGGGAGAGATGAATGGAACAGGGAGAGATGAATGAAACAGGGAGAGATGAATGGAACAGGGAGAGATGAATGAAACAGGGAGAGATGAATGAAACAGGGAGAGATGAATGGAACAGGGAGAGATGAATGGAACAGGGAGAGATGAATGGAACAGGGAGAGATGAATGGAACAGGGAGAGATGAATGAAACAGGGAGAGATGAATGGAACAGGGAGAGATGAATGAAACAGGGAGAGATGAATGAAACAGGGAGAGATGAATGGAACAGGGAGAGATGAATGGAACAGGGAGAGATGAATGGAACAGGGAGAGATGAATGGAACAGGGAGAGATGAATGGAACAGGGAGAGATGAATGGAACAGGGAGAGATGAATGAAACAGGGAGAGATGAATGAAACAGGGAGAGATGAATGGAACAGGGAGAGATGAATGGAACAGGGAGAGATGAATGGAACAGGGAGAGATGAATGGAACAGGGAGAGATGAATGGAACAGGGAGAGATGAATGAAACAGGGAGAGATGAATGGAACAGGGAGAGATGAATGAAACAGGGAGAGATGAATGAAACAGGGAGAGATGAATGAAACAGGGAGAGATGAATGGAACAGGGAGAGATGAATGGAACAGGGAGAGATGAATGGAACAGGGAGAGATGAATGGAACAGGGAGAGATGAATGGAACAGGGAGAGATGAATGAAACAGGGAGAGATGAATGGAACAGGGAGAGATGAATGAAACAGGGAGAGATGAATGAAACAGGGAGAGATGAATGGAACAGGGAGAGATGAATGGAACAGGGAGAGATGAATGGAACAGGGAGAGATGAATGGAACAGGGAGAGATGAATGAAACAGGGAGAGATGAATGGAACAGGGAGAGATGAATGAAACAGGGAGAGATGAATGAAACAGGGAGAGATGAATGGAACAGGGAGAGATGAATGGAACAGGGAGAGATGAATGAAACAGGGAGAGATGAATGGAACAGGGAGAGATGAATGGAACAGGGAGAGATGAATGGAACAGGGAGAGATGAATGAAACAGGGAGAGATGAATGGAACAGGGAGAGATGAATGGAACAGGGAGAGATGAATGAAACAGGGAGAGATGAATGAAACAGGGAGAGATGAATGGAACAGGGAGAGATGAATGGAACAGGGAGAGATGAATGGAACAGGGAGAGATGAATGAAACAGGGAGAGATGAATGGAACAGGGAGAGATGAATGGAACAGGGAGAGATGAATGAAACAGGGAGAGATGAATGGAACAGGGAGAGATGAATGAAACAGGGAGAGATGAATGGAACAGGGAGAGATGAATGAAACAGGGAGAGATGAATGAAACAGGGAGAGATGAATGGAACAGGGAGAGATGAATGAAACAGGGAGAGATGAATGGAACAGGGAGAGATGAATGGAACAGGGAGAGATGAATGGAACAGGGAGAGATGAATGAAACAGGGAGAGATGAATGGAACAGGGAGAGATGAATGGAACAGGGAGAGATGAATGAAACAGGGAGAGATGAATGGAACAGGGAGAGATGAATGAAACAGGGAGAGATGAATGAAACAGGGAGAGATGAATGAAACAGGGAGAGATGAATGGAACAGGGAGAGATGAATGAAACAGGGAGAGATGAATGAAACAGGGAGAGATGAATGGAACAGGGAGAGATGAATGAAACAGGGAGAGATGAATGGAACAGGGAGAGATGAATGAAACAGGGAGAGATGAATGGAACAGGGAGAGATGAATGAAACAGGGAGAGATGAATGGAACAGGGAGAGATGAATGGAACAGGGAGAGATGAATGAAACAGGGAGAGATGAATGAAACAGGGAGAGATGAATGGAACAGGGAGAGATGAATGGAACAGGGAGAGATGAATGGAACAGGGAGAGATGAATGGAACAGGGAGAGATGAATGAAACAGGGAGAGATGAATGGAACAGGGAGAGATGAATGGAACAGGGAGAGATGAATGAAACAGGGAGAGATGAATGAAACAGGGAGAGATGAATGGAACAGGGAGAGATGAATGGAACAGGGAGAGATGAATGAAACAGGGAGAGATGAATGAAACAGGGAGAGATGAATGGAACAGGGAGAGATGAATGGAACAGGGAGAGATGAATGAAACAGGGAGAGATGAATGGAACAGGGAGAGATGAATGAAACAGGGAGAGATGAATGGAACAGGGAGAGATGAATGAAACAGGGAGAGATGAATGAAACAGGGAGAGATGAATGGAACAGGGAGAGATGAATGAAACAGGGAGAGATGAATGGAACAGGGAGAGATGAATGAAACAGGGAGAGATGAATGGAACAGGGAGAGATGAATGAAACAGGGAGAGATGAATGGAACAGGGAGAGATGAATGGAACAGGGAGAGATGAATGAAACAGGGAGAGATGAATGGAACAGGGAGAGATGAATGAAACAGGGAGAGATGAATGAAACAGGGAGAGATGAATGAAACAGGGAGAGATGAATGGAACAGGGAGAGATGAATGAAACAGGGAGAGATGAATGAAACAGGGAGAGATGAATGGAACAGGGAGAGATGAATGAAACAGGGAGAGATGAATGAAACAGGGAGAGATGAATGAAACAGGGAGAGATGAATGGAACAGGGAGAGATGAATGAAACAGGGAGAGATGAATGGAACAGGGAGAGATGAATGGAACAGGGAGAGATGAATGAAACAGGGAGAGATGAATGGAACAGGGAGAGATGAATGGAACAGGGAGAGATGAATGGAACAGGGAGAGATGAATGGAACAGGGAGAGATGAATGGAACAGGGAGAGATGAATGAAACAGGGAGAGATGAATGGAACAGGGAGAGATGAATGGAACAGGGAGAGATGAATGAAACAGGGAGAGATGAATGGAACAGGGAGAGATGAATGGAACAGGGAGAGATGAATGAAACAGGGAGAGATGAATGGAACAGGGAGAGATGAATGAAACAGGGAGAGATGAATGAAACAGGGAGAGATGAATGGAACAGGGAGAGATGAATGAAACAGGGAGAGATGAATGGAACAGGGAGAGATGAATGAAACAGGGAGAGATGAATGAAACAGGGAGAGATGAATGGAACAGGGAGAGATGAATGGAACAGGGAGAGATGAATGGAACAGGGAGAGATGAATGGAACAGGGAGAGATGAATGGAACAGGGAGAGATGAATGGAACAGGGAGAGAATGAGGAAACAGGGAGAGATGAATGAAACAGGGAGAGATGAATGAAACAGGGAGAGATGAATGGAAACAGGAGAGATGAATGAAACAGGGAGAGATGAATGGAACAGGGAGAGATGAATGGAACAGGGAGAGATGAATGGAACAGGGAGAGATGAATGAAACAGGGAGAGATGAATGGAACAGGGAGAGATGAATGGAACAGGGAGAGATGAATGGAACAGGGAGAGATGAATGGAACAGGGAGAGATGAATGGAACAGGGAGAGATGAATGGACAGGAGAGATGAATGAACAGGGAGAGATGAATGAACAGGGAGAGATGAATGGAACAGGGAGAGATGAATGAAACAGGGAGAGATGAATGAAACAGGGAGAGATGAATGAAACAGGGAGAGATGAATGAAACAGGGAGAGATGAATGGAACAGGGAGAGATGAATGGAACAGGGAGAGATGAATGGAACAGGGAGAGATGAATGGAACAGGGAGAGATGAATGGAACAGGGAGAGATGAATGGAACAGGGAGAGATGAATGAAACAGGGAGAGATGAATGAAACAGGGAGAGATGAATGGAACAGGGAGAGATGAATGGAACAGGGAGAGATGAATGGAACAGGGAGAGATGAATGAAACAGGGAGAGATGAATGAAACAGGGAGAGATGAATGAAACAGGGAGAGATGAATGAAACAGGGAGAGATGAATGAAACAGGGAGAGATGAATGGAACAGGGAGAGATGAATGGAACAGGGAGAGATGAATGAAACAGGGAGAGATGAATGAAACAGGGAGAGATGAATGGAACAGGGAGAGATGAATGAAACAGGGAGAGATGAATGAAACAGGGAGAGATGAATGGAACAGGGAGAGATGAATGGAACAGGGAGAGATGAATGAAACAGGGAGAGATGAATGGAACAGGGAGAGATGAATGGAACAGGGAGAGATGAATGAAACAGGGAGAGATGAATGAAACAGGGAGAGATGAATGGAACAGGGAGAGATGAATGAAACAGGGAGAGATGAATGGAACAGGGAGAGATGAATGGAACAGGGAGAGATGAATGGAACAGGGAGAGATGAATGAAACAGGGAGAGATGAATGAAACAGGGAGAGATGAATGGAACAGGGAGAGATGAATGAAACAGGGAGAGATGAATGAAACAGGGAGAGATGAATGAAACAGGGAGAGATGAATGGAACAGGGAGAGATGAATGGAACAGGGAGAGATGAATGGAACAGGGAGAGATGAATGGAACAGGGAGAGATGAATGGAACAGGGAGAGATGAATGAAACAGGGAGAGATGAATGGAAACAGAGGAGAGATGAATGAAACAGGGGAGATGAATGAACAGGGAGAGATGAATGGAACAGGGAGAGATGAATGGAACAGGGAGAGATGAATGGAACAGGAACAGGGAGAGATGAATGAACAGGGAGAGATGAATGAAACAGGGAGAGATGAATGGAACAGGGAGAGATGAATGGAACAGGGAGAGATGAATGGAACAGGGAGAGATGAATGAAACAGGGAGAGATGAATGGAACAGGGAGAGATGAATGGAACAGGGAGAGATGAATGAAACAGGGAGAGATGAATGGAACAGGGAGAGATGAATGAAACAGGGAGAGATGAATGGAACAGGGAGAGATGAATGAAACAGGGAGAGATGAATGAAACAGGGAGAGATGAATGGAACAGGGAGAGATGAATGAAACAGGGAGAGATGAATGGAACAGGGAGAGATGAATGGAACAGGGAGAGATGAATGGAACAGGGAGAGATGAATGAAACAGGGAGAGATGAATGGAACAGGGAGAGATGAATGGAACAGGGAGAGATGAATGAAACAGGGAGAGATGAATGGAACAGGGAGAGATGAATGAAACAGGGAGAGATGAATGAAACAGGGAGAGATGAATGAAACAGGGAGAGATGAATGGAACAGGGAGAGATGAATGAAACAGGGAGAGATGAATGAAACAGGGAGAGATGAATGGAACAGGGAGAGATGAATGAAACAGGGAGAGATGAATGGAACAGGGAGAGATGAATGAAACAGGGAGAGATGAATGGAACAGGGAGAGATGAATGAAACAGGGAGAGATGAATGGAACAGGGAGAGATGAATGGAACAGGGAGAGATGAATGAAACAGGGAGAGATGAATGGAACAGGGAGAGATGAATGGAACAGGGAGAGATGAATGGAACAGGGAGAGATGAATGGAACAGGGAGAGATGAATGGAACAGGGAGAGATGAATGAAACAGGGAGAGATGAATGGAACAGGGAGAGATGAATGGAACAGGGAGAGATGAATGAAACAGGGAGAGATGAATGGAACAGGGAGAGATGAATGGAACAGGGAGAGATGAATGAAACAGGGAGAGATGAATGGAACAGGGAGAGATGAATGAAACAGGGAGAGATGAATGAAACAGGGAGAGATGAATGGAACAGGGAGAGATGAATGAAACAGGGAGAGATGAATGGAACAGGGAGAGATGAATGAAACAGGGAGAGATGAATGAAACAGGGAGAGATGAATGGAACAGGGAGAGATGAATGGAACAGGGAGAGATGAATGGAACAGGGAGAGATGAATGGAACAGGGAGAGATGAATGAAACAGGGAGAGATGAATGGAACAGGGAGAGATGAATGAAACAGGGAGAGATGAATGAAACAGGGAGAGATGAATGAAACAGGGAGAGATGAATGAAACAGGGAGAGATGAATGGAACAGGGAGAGATGAATGGAACAGGGAGAGATGAATGAAACAGGGAGAGATGAATGGAACAGGGAGAGATGAATGAAACAGGGAGAGATGAATGGAACAGGGAGAGATGAATGGAACAGGGAGAGATGAATGAAACAGGGAGAGATGAATGGAACAGGGAGAGATGAATGGAACAGGGAGAGATGAATGAAACAGGGAGAGATGAATGGAACAGGGAGAGATGAATGGAACAGGGAGAGATGAATGGAACAGGGAGAGATGAATGAAACAGGGAGAGATGAATGAAACAGGGAGAGATGAATGGAACAGGGAGAGATGAATGGAACAGGGAGAGATGAATGAAACAGGGAGAGATGAATGGAACAGGGAGAGATGAATGAAACAGGGAGAGATGAATGGAACAGGGAGAGATGAATGAAACAGGGAGAGATGAATGAAACAGGGAGAGATGAATGGAACAGGGAGAGATGAATGAAACAGGGAGAGATGAATGGAACAGGGAGAGATGAATGGAACAGGGAGAGATGAATGGAACAGGGAGAGATGAATGGACAGGAGAGATGAATGAAACAGGGAGAGATGAATGGAACAGGGAGAGATGAATGAAACAGGGAGAGATGAATGGAACAGGGAGAGATGAATGGAACAGGGAGAGATGAATGAAACAGGGAGAGATGAATGGAACAGGGAGAGATGAATGGAACAGGGAGAGATGAATGAAACAGGGAGAGATGAATGGAACAGGGAGAGATGAATGGAACAGGGAGAGATGAATGAAACAGGGAGAGATGAATGGAACAGGGAGAGATGAATGGAACAGGGAGAGATGAATGAAACAGGGAGAGATGAATGGAACAGGGAGAGATGAATGAAACAGGGAGAGATGAATGAAACAGGGAGAGATGAATGGAACAGGGAGAGATGAATGAAACAGGGAGAGATGAATGGAACAGGGAGAGATGAATGGAACAGGGAGAGATGAATGAAACAGGGAGAGATGAATGGAACAGGGAGAGATGAATGGAACAGGGAGAGATGAATGAAACAGGGAGAGATGAATGGAACAGGGAGAGATGAATGAAACAGGGAGAGATGAATGGAACAGGGAGAGATGAATGGAACAGGGAGAGATGAATGAAACAGGGAGAGATGAATGGAACAGGGAGAGATGAATGGAACAGGGAGAGATGAATGGAACAGGGAGAGATGAATGAAACAGGGAGAGATGAATGGAACAGGGAGAGATGAATGAAACAGGGAGAGATGAATGAAACAGGGAGAGATGAATGAAACAGGGAGAGATGAATGGAACAGGGAGAGATGAATGGAACAGGGAGAGATGAATGAAACAGGGAGAGATGAATGGAACAGGGAGAGATGAATGAAACAGGGAGAGATGAATGGAACAGGGAGAGATGAATGAAACAGGGAGAGATGAATGGAACAGGGAGAGATGAATGGAACAGGGAGAGATGAATGAAACAGGGAGAGATGAATGGAACAGGGAGAGATGAATGGAACAGGGAGAGATGAATGGAACAGGGAGAGATGAATGAAACAGGGAGAGATGAATGGAACAGGGAGAGATGAATGGAACAGGGAGAGATGAATGAAACAGGGAGAGATGAATGAAACAGGGAGAGATGAATGAAACAGGGAGAGATGAATGGAACAGGGAGAGATGAATGGAACAGGGAGAGATGAATGAAACAGGGAGAGATGAATGAAACAGGGAGAGATGAATGGAACAGGGAGAGATGAATGAAACAGGGAGAGATGAATGGAACAGGGAGAGATGAATGAAACAGGGAGAGATGAATGAAACAGGGAGAGATGAATGGAACAGGGAGAGATGAATGGAACAGGGAGAGATGAATGGAACAGGGAGAGATGAATGGAACAGGGAGAGATGAATGGAACAGGGAGAGATGAATGGAACAGGGAGAGATGAATGAAACAGGGAGAGATGAATGAAACAGGGAGAGATGAATGAAACAGGGAGAGATGAATGGAACAGGGAGAGATGAATGGAACAGGGAGAGATGAATGGAACAGGGAGAGATGAATGAAACAGGGAGAGATGAATGGAACAGGGAGAGATGAATGAAACAGGGAGAGATGAATGAAACAGGGAGAGATGAATGAAACAGGGAGAGATGAATGAAACAGGGAGAGATGAATGAAACAGGGAGAGATGAATGGAACAGGGAGAGATGAATGGAACAGGGAGAGATGAATGAAACAGGGAGAGATGAATGGAACAGGGAGAGATGAATGGAACAGGGAGAGATGAATGGAACAGGGAGAGATGAATGGAACAGGGAGAGATGAATGGAACAGGGAGAGATGAATGAAACAGGGAGAGATGAATGGAACAGGGAGAGATGAATGGAACAGGGAGAGATGAATGGAACAGGGAGAGATGAATGGAACAGGGAGAGATGAATGAAACAGGGAGAGATGAATGGAACAGGGAGAGATGAATGAAACAGGGAGAGATGAATGGAACAGGGAGAGATGAATGGAACAGGGAGAGATGAATGAAACAGGGAGAGATGAATGGAACAGGGAGAGATGAATGGAACAGGGAGAGATGAATGAAACAGGGAGAGATGAATGGAACAGGGAGAGATGAATGAAACAGGGAGAGATGAATGGAACAGGGAGAGATGAATGGAACAGGGAGAGATGAATGAAACAGGGAGAGATGAATGGAACAGGGAGAGATGAATGGAACAGGGAGAGATGAATGAAACAGGGAGAGATGAATGGAACAGGGAGAGATGAATGGAACAGGGAGAGATGAATGGAACAGGGAGAGATGAATGAAACAGGGAGAGATGAATGGAACAGGGAGAGATGAATGAAACAGGGAGAGATGAATGAAACAGGGAGAGATGAATGAAACAGGGAGAGATGAATGGAACAGGGAGAGATGAATGAAACAGGGAGAGATGAATGGAACAGGGAGAGATGAATGGAACAGGGAGAGATGAATGAAACAGGGAGAGATGAATGGAACAGGGAGAGATGAATGAAACAGGGAGAGATGAATGGAACAGGGAGAGATGAATGGAACAGGGAGAGATGAATGAAACAGGGAGAGATGAATGAAACAGGGAGAGATGAATGGAACAGGGAGAGATGAATGGAACAGGGAGAGATGAATGGAACAGGGAGAGATGAATGAAACAGGGAGAGATGAATGGAACAGGGAGAGATGAATGAAACAGGGAGAGATGAATGGAACAGGGAGAGATGAATGAAACAGGGAGAGATGAATGGAACAGGGAGAGATGAATGGAACAGGGAGAGATGAATGGAACAGGGAGAGATGAATGGAACAGGGAGAGATGAATGAAACAGGGAGAGATGAATGGAACAGGGAGAGATGAATGAAACAGGGAGAGATGAATGGAACAGGGAGAGATGAATGAAACAGGGAGAGATGAATGGAACAGGGAGAGATGAATGGAACAGGGAGAGATGAATGGAACAGGGAGAGATGAATGAAACAGGGAGAGATGAATGGAACAGGGAGAGATGAATGGAACAGGGAGAGATGAATGGAACAGGGAGAGATGAATGAAACAGGGAGAGATGAATGGAACAGGGAGAGATGAATGAAACAGGGAGAGATGAATGGAACAGGGAGAGATGAATGAAACAGGGAGAGATGAATGGAACAGGGAGAGATGAATGGAACAGGGAGAGATGAATGAAACAGGGAGAGATGAATGGAACAGGGAGAGATGAATGAAACAGGGAGAGATGAATGGAACAGGGAGAGATGAATGAAACAGGGAGAGATGAATGAAACAGGGAGAGATGAATGAAACAGGGAGAGATGAATGGAACAGGGAGAGATGAATGGAACAGGGAGAGATGAATGGAACAGGGAGAGATGCTGCTGAGTTGAAAGGGGGCTGCGGGCAAGCGCCCAGAACCTCAAAAGAGGCACGAAGGGCTAAGCACAGCACATCACAGCACAGCACAGCACAGCACAGCACAGCACAGCACAGCACAGCACACAGCCAGCAGCACAGCACAGCACAGCACAGCACAGCACAGCACAGCACAGCACAGCACAGCACAGCACAGCACAGCACAGCACAGCACAGCACAGCACAGCACAGCACAGCACAGCACAGCACAGCACAGCACAGCACAGCACAGCACAGCACAGCACAACACAGCACAGCACAGCACAGCACAGCACACAGCACAGCACAGCACAGCCACAGCACAGCCACAGCACAGCCACAGCACAGCACAGCACAGCCACAGCACAGCACAGCACAGCACAGCACAGCACAGCACAGCACAGCACAGCACAGCACAGCACAGCACAGCACAGCACAGCACAGCACAGCACAGCACAGCACAGCACAGCACAGCACAGCACAGCACAGCACAGCACAGCACAGCACAGCACAGCACAGCACAGCACAGCACAGCACAGCACAGCACAGCACAGCACAGCACAGCACAGCACAGCACAGCACAGCAGCACAGCACAGCCACAGCACAGCCACAGCACAGCACAGCACAGCCACAGCACAGCACAGCACAGCACAGCACAGCACAGCACACAGCACAGCACAGCACAGCACAGCACAGCACAGCACAGCACAGCACAGCACAGCACAGCACAGCACAGCACAGCACAGCACAGCACAGCACAGCACAGCACAGCACAGCACAGCACAGCACAGCACAGCACAGCACAGCACAGCACAGCACAGCACAGCACAGCACAGCACAGCACAGCACAGCACAGCACAGCACAGCACAGCACAGCACAGCACAGCACAGCACAGCACAGCACAGCACAGCACAGCACAGCACAGCACAGCACAGCACAGCACAGCACAGCACAGCACAGCACAGCACAGCACAGCACAGCACAGCACAGCACAGCACAGCACAGCACAGCACAGCACAGCACAGCACAGCACAGCGCAGCACAGCACAGCACAGCACAGCACAGCACAGCACAGCACAGCACAGCACAGCACAGCACAGCACAGCACAGCACAGCACAGCACAGCACAGCACAGCACAGCACAGCACAGCACAGCACAGCACAGCACAGCACAGCACAGCACAGCACAGCACAGCACAGCACAGCACAGCACAACACAGCTCAGCACAGCACAGCCACAGCACAGCACAGCACAGCACAGCACAGCACAGCACAGCACAGCACAGCACAGCACAGCACAGCACAGCACAGCACAGCACAGCACAGCACAGCACAGCACAGCACAGCACAGCACAGCACAGCACAGCACAGCACAGCACAGCACAGCACAGCACAGCACAGCACAGCACAGCACAGCACAGCACAGCACAGCACAGCACAGCACAGCACAGCACAGCACAGCACAGCACAGCACAGCACAGCACAGCACAGCACAGCACAGCACAGCACAGCACAGCACAGCACAGCACAGCACAGCACAGCACAGCACAGCACAGCACAGCACAGCACAGCACAGCACAGCACAGCACAGCACAGCACACACACAGCACAGCACAGCCACAGCACAGCCACAGCACAGCACAGCCACAGCACAGCCACAGCACAGAACAGCACAGCACAGCACAGCACAGCACAGCACAGCACAGCACAGCACAGCACAGCACAGCACAGCACAGCACAGCAGAGCACAGCACAGCACAGCCACAGCACAGCCACAGCACAGCACAGCCACAGCACAGCACAGCACAGCACAGCACAGCACAGCACAGCACAGCACAGCACAGCACAGCACAGCACAGCACAGCACAACACACAGCCCAGCACAGCACAGCACAGCACAGCACAGCACAGCACAGCACAGCACAGCACAGCTCAGCCACAGCACAGCCACAGCACAGCCACAGCCACAGCCACAGCCACAGCCACAGCCACAGCCACAGCCACAGCCACAGGGTGACTTTGGAGTCGACTCAAAAGAGGCGCTGCTGAGTTGAAAGGGCTGCTGCAAGTGAGTGTCCAGAACCTCAATAGTGAGCTTGCTTCGGAGGTCTTCTTCACGGGCGCTTGAGAGAGGAGAAGCAAGCAACTAATTAACTCACGTCAATGTCACACCCTGCACTGTGGCGTTATCGCATCGGGAGAGGAACAGCAGCACCGGCCCAGCCGCTTGCTGCCCTTGCCCCGCGCCCAGAACCCCAACAGAGGCCCATCCCTAACCCAAATGCAAGGCACCTAAAGAGACTCACGTCAATGTTACGTCCTGGACTGTAGCGTTATCGCATCGGGAGAGAGAACAGCAGCGCCGGCCGCTTGCTGCCCTTGCCCCGCGCCCAGAACCCCGCCCCCCGCCCGTCCATCCACCCGCCCTCCCGTGACTGCCAGGTTGGGAACCTCTCTGAAGAACAGCAGACCCCATGCGTTGCTCTTGCGCGGCTTGGGGTAGGAGGTGACGTTGGCAGCACCAGCGATGCCGCCGTTGATCTGTTGTGTGAAGAAGAGAGAGGTAAGGGGGGGGAGGGGGGACAAGACGCAGTGAGAGGGAGGAGGAGGCGCAGGAGAGGGGGTATGAGGTCACGTTGGCTGGCCAGCAATTCCTCCGTTCTGTTGGGCGAGGGAGGGAGAGGACGGGAGGTTTGTGTGGGAGGTGGGGAGGCAGGGAAGAGGGGTATGAGGACACGTTGGCTGGGCCGGCAATGCCTACGTTCTGTTGGGCGAGGGAGGGAGAGGGCGGGAGGTTTGTGTGGGGAGGTGGGGAGGCAGGGGAGAGGGGTATGAGGACACTTGGCTGGGCCGGCAATGCCTCCTCTGATCTGTTGTGCTGCATCGGATGGGGTGTTGGAAGGTAAGGGGAAGGAAGAAAGGGACAGAAGGGGCAAACAATGACGGGTTGTGGGGGGCTTGTTGGGTTAGGTACGCTGGCTGGCCCGGCTGTGCCACCGTTTATCTGTGTGCCACCGTTTATCTATGTGTGCCACATATTTACCCCGATTTCTCCCAGGCTTCCCTCGGATCTCCCCTAATTTTCCCCCAGCTTTTCCCTCAAATTTTACCCCAACATCCCCTCCGATGACCCCCAGTTTTTCCCCCCAATTTCCCCCCAATTTCCCCCATTTTCCCCCCAATTTTCCCGCAATTTTCCCCAAATCCCCCCAATTTTCCCCAATTTCCTCCCAGTTACCCCCCCATTTTCCTCCCCATCTTTCCCCCAATTTTCCCGCAATTTTTCCCCAGATCTCCCTCTATCATACCCCCGCGCACCTGCACCTCCAGCCCCGCACCGCACGGCCCCTCCAGCTCGAGGGGGAAGATCTGGAACAGCCCGCTCGCGGGGACCACCACGCGCGCGTACGCGCCCCGCGCCTCCCCCCACGCGCACGCGGACTGCAGCGCGCGCCGAAACGCGTCCGTGTTGTCCATGCGCCCTCCGCGCGCGCCCCGAACTGTAGCACGAAGACTCCCTCTTCGTTGATTGGCCACGGCGGAGGCGGGCCAGGCGTAGGCGCGCGCGGCGGAGGTTTGAATGGCGGAAGCAGCGCGATCGGGGGGGCGACGTTGCGGGACTGGTAGGGAAAGGGGAGGGGGCGCAGGGTGAGGAGCCGCAACCTGGCGAGGACCCCGAGCCTGTATTTTTCGCGAATTTGCGACGGAAAGAGCACGGCGATCAGCGGAATCTTTCGTGCCGTCGAGTGCTGACGGAGCGGCACGAGGAACGGCTAGCCGGCTGGACAGACGGGCTCGTTGATGTGCGTTGCCAGGAAGGCGAGTTGCGTGATTCGTGTGAGTAGGATCCGCGGAAGACGACAAAAACGCCGCATTTGCGAAACGTCTGCTATTCGTGTTGTTACTATCATCAGCGTTCAAGTTGAAAGGTGCATTGTTATAAGGGCTAGCAGCTGTTAAGCTGACATGGCGTGCGGATACGAGGATAATCGCAAATGGCACGACCATATGGTGAAGGAGCCGCTTTTCGCGGCGAGATGACAGCTTTCGGATCATCAGTCAGTTCAGATCGAATCTCGATTTGATTCGTTGTTCTCATCGCAACGGGCTCCTCATTTTAGAACACGTTTGGACCTTCTTTGCTTCATTGAAGCGAGTTACGAAAAGAGCACTTTTGAATTAAACATCACTAAGTTCGAGGCGCGTGGGCCTTACGTCTGGTAGAACGGCATCCCTTGGCCATCACTAATCTCCACTCGAAAGTAAGGGTGCTAGCTATCCGAGGGACGAGGGCTTGTCAGATTCAGATAATCTCGAGGTCCGCTTTGACGAGGGCATGGTGTTTCACGCGCTCCGATCAGAACTGACCAAGGTTTTAAATCGGTGCGTTGCGGTACGATCTCACTACACATGCTATAAATATCATACACAGAAGCTACATACATCTACTGATAAAATTACACACACAGTGGTTGAGACGACTAATCCAGACCCTTTTCCTGCAGATTCTGGTAAAATTCGCATTTATTGCAAGTATGACAAAAATTGAATCTATATCCCACTACGTGACTACGTTGGAGCATATCACAGCATAGGATACAAGAAAATCAGGTGTGATCAATGTTCTAACAGAATTGGATGAGTGAACTCCCGCATCAATGCTGGCCGCCAAAGCTGACTTCAATGAAATGGGTGTTGGTCTGCAAAATTCAACACAACAATACATAATTACTCATGAGACGCTTCAAACCTAACCAACAGGATATGAAATGCAATATGAACACATCACTCACACACACATCCACACTTACACATGCACATACCCACAACATCACTCACATGCATGCCGTCTGTGCCTCCATACGCCTTGTTCAACACCTCACCTCTAACAGATCTGATCCTGATGGATCCGGTACTCACAACCCACACCCATAAACCTACACCCTCACCCATACTTGCAGATGCACTCCCCCACTCGAGGCACTCACATGCACTTGGCAGCCATGCTGCTGATGGCTGCTTGTGCCGCAGCAGGGGGGGTCGCACCGTCCCACTGCGCTTCTGCTCTTAGCACCAACGCCGTCTTCACACCCCCTTCCCTCACACACACAAGCTCGTGACTCACATGCATTTTGCAGCCATGCTGCTGATGGCTGCTTTCGCCGCAGCAGGGGGGGTTGCACCGTCCCACCGCGCCTCTGCTAGGAACACCGACACTGTCTTGACGTCCGTGGTTCCATACGCGTTGTTCAACACTGCAATCAGATCTGATCCCGATAGATCCGTTATTGCTGAGGTTCCAGTATTGCTACTGGTGGTGATGCTGCTGCTGCTGCTGCTGCTGCTGCTGCCAATTCCGAACAGCTTTGCAAGAGGGCTGACTCCCTTGACTGTGCTACTCCCTTGTTGACTCCGTTGACTTGGTTCTCCTGGTTCAGTAGCTCTAACGGGTCTGAACTGGCCCCTTGACTCCGTTGACTGGTCCTAACCCCTTGTTGACCCTGTTGACTTGAGTCTCCTGGTTCAGCAGCTCTAAAGAGTCTTGATCAGCCCCGTTGACTCCGTTGACTGAGTTGACCCCCACCCTGTTCTCCTTGAGGGTAGTGCTGAGCAACTGATTGGCTGGCTTGGGTTTGCGGGAGGAGGTCAGGTAGACGTTCGAAAAGGATATCCCAGAGCAAGGCACTGATTGGCTGCAGTTTAGAAGCACGCCGACCGTTCCGTTCGCCGTGCCACGGATGTTCTTGTAACGGACGTTGGTAACCGCTACAGCCGTGCTGCTGAGCTGGCAACTGCTGGCTGAAGCTGTCTTTTTGTCGCAGTAGAATTGGTTGATGAGAATCGGCCATGTAACGTCGGTTACGGTTACGTCCTCATATGTTACGTGCTCACGAGACCCACTCCCTGCTGGTAGGTTTTGATTCGGAGGCCGTTGTTGGAACCACGTAAGCTCACGTTCCTTACTGTCACGTCGGATACGCATCCCAGCTCCCCCGTCACCACCGAGGCTGCCGATACTGGGGTGGGGGAGAGTTACAGCAGGGGGTAGGGGAGAGGGGATGGAGAAAGGAGGGGATAGAGGGACGTTCTTGGATCCCCACAAGCTCACGTTCCGTACTGTCACGTCCGATACACATCCCAACTCCCCATCACCACCGAGGCTGCCAATGCTGGGGGGGAGGTTTAGTGGGAGAAAGGGGAGAGAGGGATGGAGAAGGGAATGAGACGATGGGAGCCGAAAGCTGGGATGAAAATGTCCCCCCCCGACTTTTCATCCCACGACGGGGAGTCACGTCGGAGTTGATTTTTGAGTGGACTCAAGAGTCACGTCGGAGTTGATTTTTGAGTGGACTCAAGAGTCACGTCGGATATGCATCCCACCTCCCCGTCACCCCGCCGAGGCTGACGATGCTGGTGAGGGGGGAAGGGGGGGGGGGGAGGGGATGTTCCGGCACCCGGTAATGATGGCAACATTGTCGTCACCTGGACAGGGGTGGTTGAGAAAACACAGAAAGGGCACGATCCTGACTCACAATGCCATCCAAGGTTACAATGTAACGAGGGTCGTGCTGCCGTTACAAATTCCCTTTCCTCTCACCTCCTACCTTTTCTTACCCACATCCTCCTTTCTACTCATCTCCCTTCCTTGCTGCTCACCTCCTTCCAGCCTGCTGTTCCGCACAATGCCATTCACCACCCGCTGAGGAGAATGCTGTCCGTGTTGGGGCTGTTATAGGGGGAGAGCGTGGCAACCCTCTCCATAAGCACATCAGTCGTTCCGTATATCTTCACGTGCTGTCGTGCAGGATTGCTGCAAGAGAATGTGCAGGAGAGGGGGGTAGGGGGGAAGGGGGGAGAGGGGGAGAGGGGGGGGAAGATGGGGCGAGGAGGGGTGGCAGGGGTAGTGGAGTTTGAGAGGACACGAAATGCCACGTGGAGTTTGAGGGGACACGAAATGCCACGTGGAGTTTGAGGGGACACGAAATGCCACGTGGAGTTTGAGGGGACACGAAATGCCACGTGGAGTTTGAGGGGACACGAAATGCCTGGGAAAGAAGGAGCATCTACTACATTGCATGGACATCTCCATAGGTTCCCACGTACCAGGATCAAGCATGTGAAGAGATACCACGTTCGCTGTTATTCTTTATGTTTGTTTTGCTTACGTGAAGAGAATATCGCGAATCGTGACTCCGTTGCAATTCGTGATCGACAGCAGCGCCGGCCGCTGCTGCCCAGGAAACTTCCAGAATCCCTGCCCCGCGCCGTCCATCACTCCGCCGCCCAAAATCTCCAGATTCGATATCCGGTTGAACAGTAACAAAGCCCACGAGCTCGGCTTCGCGGGTTTCGGATAGCTGCTGACGTCAGCGGCGCCTGTGATGATGCCGTTGACCTTGGGATTGGGGACGGGGGAGAGTGAGAGAGAGAGAGAGAGAGAGAGAGAGAGAGAGAGAGGAGAGAGAGAGAGAGAGAGAGAGAGAGAGAGAGAGAGAGAGAGAGAGAGAGAGAAAGGGAGATAAGAGGGTAAGCTAGAGAGAGGGAGAGTTGAACTGGGAGGGGTGAATGAGTGAGTGAGTGAGGGAGCGTGAATGAGTGAATGAGTGAGTGAGTGAGGGAGCGTGAATGAGTGAATGAGTGAGGGAGCGTGAACGAGTGAATGAGTGAGTGAGTGAGGGGGCGTGAATGAGTGATTGAGTGAGTGAGTGAGGGAGCGTGAATGAGTGAATGAGTGAGGGAGCGTGAATGAGTGAGAGCGAGGAAGCAGGGGGGCATCAGAAAACGAGAACCAATGGGGGGGCGGGGGAGGAGAAGGTTGGGAGGGGTGGGTGGGGAGAGGGGTCCAAGATGGGGGAAAGTGGGAGGGGGGAGGGGGGGAGGGGGGGTGGGGGGTGGGTGGGTGGGGTGGCGAGTGGGGGGAGGTGGGGGAGGAGGAAAGGGTAGTTATTAGGGAAGGACAGGAGACAACTGGGCGGAACTAGTGTTGCACTCACCACAAATTGTAGTCCGCTTCTGCAAGGCCCCTTTAAATACATGGGATAAATCAGGAACTTCCCCTCAGCAGGAACGACCATCCGCGCAAACACCCCCTCCCCCTGCCCCGGCCCCCGCGCCTGCCCCCGCGCCGGCACCCGTATCCCCCCCCGCGCCCGCGCCCGCGCCATTCCCCGCGTCCGCGTCCGCAGTCCACGCGCAAGCGGCGGCGAATGCCCTTAGGAACGCGTTCGTGTTGTCCGTCTTGCCGTCGCCCTTCGCGCCGTACGCCACGACGCTGAAATCCTTCCCCGCCGCAGGCAGCGGCACGTTCCCCGGCGCGCTTCCCGGCGCTCCAGGCGGCGGCGGCGAATTTTGCGGCGCTCCAGGCGGCGGGCTTCGCGGGACAGGCAAGGGCGGGGGGGTGGATGGCGGAGCGAAAACCCCGAATGGCGGGGCCTCTTCCCCCCTGATCGAACCGAGCGGGGGGGAAGTCGAAGGCGGAGCGGAAACTCCCCCTGGGGGGGAATTAGGTATAGTTGGCGGGGAATTGGGCGGGGATTTCGGAGGTTTGGGGGATTTCGGCGGTTTGGGGGATTTGGGGGGTTTCGGGGGAGATTTGGGGGGCTTGGGACTCTTAGGCGGCTTAGGCGACTTAGGTAGTTTAGGAGACTTGGGAAGTTTAGGAGATTTAGGAGGCTTGGGCGGGCTTTTAGGCGGCTTCGGACTCTTAGCAGACTTAGGACTCTGGGGCGGTTTGGGCGGGGACTTAGTTGCGGTCGTGGTGATTGCAGAGGAAGCTGGGGAGATTGAGTTCGAAGCGCCGCCGCTTTTTTGCATGACGGTTTTAAGAGCGTCGATTATGGGGAAATTCGCCGTGAGGGATCGGCGAGTACTTCGCGAAGAAAAAACCTCAGCGAGAGATCGCAGGCTTCGTCGCATGATGTGAGTCGTCGCCCACGGTCTGCGCACGGGAGAGGCAAGCGCACGCCCCGCGTCGTCCGCCGCATGGCTCGCCGCCGCGTTGCCGGCCGCGTTGCTCGCCGCGCTGTCCTCCCCCACCGCTACAGGATCAGCGTTTGTTTCGCTTTCCCCTTGCTGAAGCTCCGCCGACTGCTGCACGGATTCTTTCACCACTTGCGCGGGTTCCGCGGCGGTACTGCGGAAGACATATCTGGCGGAAGACCACGAAAGGGGGAACGTCGCGGAAAGAACCGCCAGGGAGGCTATGAGGAGGAGAGGCAGCGCGAGGAGCACAGTTGCGAGAGAATGCGACGCGGGCGACAGTCGCGGAGACGTCGCTCGTCGCATTGGCGACGTGGATTGCTCCCGTTCCATCGGCCGTTGCGACTGCGGTGCCGCCGATATCGCTGCTTCGCTCGACGGCGCCACGGATTGCCGAAAGCGAGGGAATCTGCACGGCATGGCGATGATACAGACAGATTCGATCTGATCCTGATTAAAGTCTGCGAGTCTCCTGCGTATATCAACGTCTGTTTACGTGCACTTCCGATTCAGTCCTGTACTAATGCTATTGCGTCTCTAGAGTCTTATACGCGGTAGAAAATTGGCCATGAGTCGAGTTTAGCTTTGGCTGGATGTAAACTACGATGAGAATATTATAATCGAGTTGCGTGACGCTGTATATCACAGTAAGCTAAATGCCGCTCGAGCATGGAACGATGTTTTCCCTGAGATCGCTCGAGCATCTCAAATTCAGTGATGCAAAAACGAAGAGGCGGGATGACACTGAATATGCCGATCAAAGCGAAGAGTTACTGTGCCAGCCATGCTCAGGACGCGCGTCTTTTTTGAGAATTCTCAAAAGCGACACTGAATATGCCGATCAAAGCGAAGAGTTTTTGTGCCAAGCATGCTCAGGACGCGCGTCGGCCAGCAATCGAGAGAACCCGAGTCCCGACTTTCAAACATCCGTGGATATGCGAGCCCCTGCGACCTTCTTCTGAGTCGACTAGAAAAATCCTAACACGATATTGTGTGCTATTGATGGCATAGGGGGTAGGGAAGGGATCGTATGAGCCACAGTACAGCCCGTACTAGCTACGGAAAATTTTCCGCCTGTCGGAGTCTACGCGGAATGCGGGATAGGCGGGTCTGTTACGACTACGAGTCCAAGCGAATGCAGCAATGCGCTGGATTCTGAGTCTACTGAGGCGCCTCAAAGGCGAAATGGCGTATGCGCGAGTCACTCACAAGACCACGAGTTCACGACGACCCTAAGCGAAACGTGCTAGAGGCAGGCCACCTATGGTCAGGACTCAGGGTACAACTGTTGATCGCAGTCCCTGGCCTGGACCCTGACGATCAGTCGGTCGGACAGTTCGCCAACGAAGCGCGTTTCCGACTTGGCAGTGACATTCTCGCAAGGGTGCTTTCTAGTTTCGTATAGTCGTGGTCGGTGGGACGGACCGTTCGTGAGTCGTCGTGACGGACTAGTGTCTGGTCCTGGTCTGGGTAGACTCCTACAGGCGAAGAGACGGCATCTAAGAGCATGGTATGGGGCATTCGTTGCTTCGCTCGTTTTGCGGTGGCCAGGACTGCTAGCTAGAGCTGGAGGGAGTAAGGCCTTACTTACCAGAGCGCTTTCAGACGCGGCGCGTCGGTGGCGAGAGCAGATCAGATACGTTCCCGAAGAGACTCATGTAAAAGCAGGAGCGCGCGACCCGAACAAGGCCACGGCTCGAAGAAAGCAGAATTCAGGGCTGGCTTGTGCGAGCGCGAGGAAGTAAGGTAAGAGGCTGGGGGGAGGAATGAGGGAACAAAACTTGATCTTAGCGTTGCGACAATGAGAGATGCTACAAAAGAGGGAGCGGTGCGAGGTGGGTGGGTGTCCCTCTGTGCGTGTGTGTGTGCTTGTGTTTGTGTGTGTTGAAATCCGCGCTCGGATTGGCTTGCTGAGACCAGCTCGACACAAGAAAGGCGCAAACAAGGGGCGAGCGGGGGCGCAAAATAGGGGCAAAGCGAGAGGGCTCCGCCAACATTCGTTTGTATGGAAAGGCGCGTGCGGGAACAGGTGCTACTCTCAGTTCCTCTGCGTAATTTGGTCTGATCTCGGGGAATAAATATGTCGGGTTTTGCCTCTGCATGGGCAAGGTTTTGGGGGGCGAAATTGTGCACCTGTGGGTTTGTGTTTGGGAACAAAGGGGTCTGCCCACATTCTGATCTGGCATGGCCTCGACGAATCAAATGTTGTCGGTTCCGCCTTTGAAATAACGCCTTGAATTTCCGCGTTGAACTTCCGCTTGAATTTGCGCGCCTTTGCTCGAGCTGGCCTGGGGAAAGCCCTTGCGTTGGTTTCTTGAGCCGCCAGGAGAGCCTTCAATGCTGGCGGCAGGGGCTTACCAGGGGCCCGCCAGTCCCGGCGCAATGTGCGACTCCCTTTCTATTGGCCAAGAGCAAGCCGAAACGCAGGTGTAACAACAACGGAATAAATGCGGCACGGGAGAAAGACCAGATCGCTCGTTTCTATCACGAGGTATTGCGGTTGGGTGATTGAATTTGATGCGTACAATGTAACAATTGAATTGAAATGAAATTCTTTTAAACTCAGCGAATTTGTATTACAAAATAACCACTAAGAATATAGAAAATTAACATCCATGCTTCAGAAACTGTACTTCATGTACAATTCGAGTAGCATGTGAATGGGGAACATTACAAAATATTCATTTCTATATTACTACGTATATGTTGGCAACCAGGCATGTTCTTTAGGTCATCTTCCATCCTACCCCCCTCCCTTGCCCTCTCCCAACTCATTACCAACTCTAGATGCCACTCTAGGGTTCAACTATCTGACTTAATGTTCATTGGACAACCGATATTACAATAGCTGTACATATACATAAACTGGTGCATGCGGTGCAAGTGGGAAAGGGTTATCTGCGTCCCCCAGCAATAGCAGCAGCAGCTACAGCGCCAATAACTGCAACAGCGCCAGCAGCAATGCCCACTCCGATCACTCCATCTGTATCAAAAGCACCAACAGCAATGACCAATCGAATCACTCCATATGTATCGAGCACATATGAGCAGTGTTTTGGGTGGGGGGAGACAGGAAGAAAGAAAAGAAGTAAGAAAGCAAGAGGTTGAGAGTACTACAGCCAAGAGTGCAACGATGACAGCTCCTAAGACGATGAACTTCATAGCAGCAATGACCACTCCAATCCAATCAGACGATGGTATAAACATCCAGAGTTTTCTGTGACTGGACTGACGATAAGCTGGAAGGAAGCGAGAGATTGGTTCTGAGGCTGCTCGTACCTGAGGCTATCTTGCTCTCTATGCACTTCTTGAGGCAGGCACCTTGGTGGGATGACGGTGACAGCTGGCCACAGTAGCGGGGTAGACAAAAAAGGGGACGATCCAAGAGGGATTAGAGCGTTTCTCTTAGGTTGCAGAGCCTAGAGGCTAGCTTGCTGTCTCCACACTTCTCGATGCTGGCTGCATGGTGTGATGAGGGTAGATAAGAGCATGTGATAGAAGCTAGGAACGGTGAGAAAAGATCCAGAGCATGCGATTTGAAGCGCATGGGACCCGGATGAAGACTGGTGCGAGTGATGATTGCGCAGCATGGGAATGGAGAGACTGTACATGTGTGCACCACACTCACTCACACTCTCACACACACACACACACACACGCACGCACGCACGCACACACACACACACACACACACACACTCTTTGAGACGTCTCGAAACGAGACTGTACAGATGTGCACCACACGCACTCACACACACACACACATGCACCCCACCTACTGTCACAACTCGATACTGTCACAATTTGATACTGTTACAATCCCCTTTTGGTACCTTAAGCGGCTCTTCCACGAGTTGCCTCACTTGCTGCAGATCGCCTGTCCGGTAGCACCCCACTGCTTTCAGGTAGAGCACCCAGCCACTCCCCGTCACATCACACCCTGTTACAATCACCCCAACTCTATCACACCCAGTTATTATCACACTGACTTTCTCTCACCTTATGCGCCTCTTCCACGAGTTGCCTGGCTTGCTGCAGATCCCCGGCCCGGTAGCACCCCACTGCTTTCAGGTAGAGCACCTCATCACTCCCAGTCTCACACCACAGCTCGTTACTTCGTTAAATTCAAACACTTCGTTACTGTCACAACTCCCTTTTTCTAACCTTCAGCGCCTCCTCCACCAGTTGCCTGGCTTGCTGCAGATCCCCTGCCCGGTAGCACCCCACTGCCTTGAGGTAGAGCACCTCGTGCCTGTCCTTGGCGTTGGTGTCCCCCCTCTGCTGCTCTGCTCGTTAGAAAAGGCAGGTAGAAAGGGATAAGAGCAACGGGGAGTCAGGTTATGAACTCACACCATACACCCCACTGCTTTCAGGTAGAGCACCTCGTGCCTGTCCTTGGCGTTGGTGTCCCCCCTCTGCTGTACAGGGTTCTGCCTGTACTTGCACCCCCCCACTCACCATCCAGCATGGCAATCCCTCGCACCACGTCCGCCTCCCTCCTTGAATGCACCAGTGCCCACTCCTGATCCCACCCAGAAGCATCCATTCCCCCCACAAGCTGTCCCCAAAGCATCCATTCCCCCCCACTCACCATCCAGCATGGCAATCCCGCGCACCACGTCCGCCTCTCTCCTCGAGTGTACCAGCGCCCACGCCAGCTTCATCAGGTTGTCCCTCGCTGCTGCCTGCTGCCCTGGATCGAGCATGTCCCTCTCACATGCCTGGCACAAGGAGGTGGGGGAAATGTGGGCGGTGGAGGGAAGGGACGGGCTTAGTTAGGAGAGAATACACCAGCGCCCATGCCAGCTTCATCAGGTTGTCCTTCGCCGCTGCTGTCTGCCCTGGATCCAGCATGTCCCTCTCACACGCCTGACAAGTGCGGAAGATGGAAAGGCGGGAGTGGGAGGGGAGGGGGGGGGGGGGGGGGGAGGAGAAGGGTGGGGGGGGAGGACGGGAGGATGGGCTTTGCTGAGAGAGAATGCACCAGCGCCAACGCCAGCTTCATCAGGTTGTCCTTCGCTTCTGCCTGTTGCCCTGGATCAAGCACGTCCTTCTCACACGCCCGGCAGTAAGGGGGAGAGGGGAAGGGAGAGCACAAAATAATAGAGCAGAATGGCTGTGCTTACCTGGAATTTTTTCTCGTCCGACAATGGCAGGCTTTCTGCAGGTGATGCATGAGTCCATTAGAAGAAAAACTCTCTGCTGTTCCCAGGTGTCACGGGAATGGGTGTACATGTCGAAACGCTTGTGCTGACCTGGATGGTTTTCTCGTCCGTCCAAGGCAGCGTGTCTGCCGGCGAGAAGAACGACGTGACCTCGTTCCACATAGACTGGATGTTCTCCATATCGGGGCCGCTGATAAAGGGGATGTGAGAGGGGAGGGAGGGATTAGGGTGGAATAAGGGCGAGGTGTCTGAATGAGTAAAGGGGTACCATACATCGCACTACAAAGACAGAAGGTTACGCTCGAATCACTCTTGAGAAATCCCAGAAGTGGAGGTTATGTAATTAAAGACTTGAGCACCGTGTGCTCTTTTAGCTTGCTGGTTCTCCTTATCCCTTCTTGACGCGCTTCGGTACTTTCCTTTTCCTCACCCTGAAATCAACACGTCTGATAGCCGTACTAAATGTCACGCAGTGCCAAGCCCGTCCTCGATAAAACGTACCTCAAGAACTTACAAAAGCGTCGCCACTCGGACACTCGCGAGCTTATGTGATGGACGGCCGGAAGAAGAACTGGATATGAAGTAGAAAAAAATGCTGTTTCTAAGGTTCCAGAGGAGAATCTTGATTCGAAGTAGCGCTACGCAAGGACCGTACGAAGCTTTTAGCAAAGACGAATGAAATCAACGTACAATGAAAGTTCGAGTCTGACAGCTTCAGGCTACGTGTGTTCAGCTTTCTATTCCACAAAGCTCAGATATGGCCGAATCTCAAATTCGTGTTGGGAAAGGATTCCTCGCAACTCTCAAGGAACCTCGAACTGGGACCACTAAAGCAAAGTCTAACCAATAGGATTCGGCTGACAGTCGCTTTTCCCAAGGCACGAAATAGAGTGGAAAAAGAGACCTCGAAGTTTGTGTTGGGTGTGACAGGACGGGAGGGGGGAAGATGGGACAGGGATGGATTGCGTGCCGCGGCAGGAAAACAGATCGGTGAAAGGAAGGACACTGGTGAGGGTAATATTCCGTTATAGTGAGAATCGGTACCATCCAAAGACAGCTGAATGAGTGTCAGGCAATAAAAGTCGATATGTAGAATGTAAATTCAACCTGCTCTCATTCGCTTACACGTGGCAGCGAAAGCTTTTCACGCTCCACGTCGACTTCTCCAGAAGCAGCCCCGCTAACACGTACATGCATCTTTCAAAGACTGGGTTGAACTGGAACCAGCCACCACACGAAAAACTCCAAAGCTCAGGCCAACAAATCGGTTTGAAAAGATGCTTTACGTTGCTAAACGATGTGCGGAAATCCGAAACGGTTGAGAAATGCCCATGTGCTTCCAGGCTTTTCCCTCTCAGGCAGTGCTGCAGCTTGGCAGTGCTTCCTTGGCAGGCAGCTAGACCCATTGCCACGCACGATACGTCTCAATTCAAAGCAGCCGATCCCTTCGCATCGCATCGCACTCAAGGATCCGAGAGTTCGGCGTACCTCTGAAGCTTCGATTCCATTTCTCTTGCAAAACGTCCACCATGGCTGCCACTGTTGCCCGGACCGTCGGTTCCCTGCGACTCGCTGCGAATTCTCTTCGCACGAGCTTCCTGCGATCCTCCACCTGTCTCACGGCATCCGTCGCTCGCGTCGCTGTAGCGCCATGCCGGGCGATCAGTCACAGCCAATCGGCGAAGCTGGGGTCTCGAGGGATCCACTCTGCATCCAATCAGGGCCGACCATCCACGCGGCTTCGCGCATTTGAGGTCTCCGGACCTGGCGCCGTCAATTCAGCAACGGCTACCGCGATGCGGGAAAAGGTACGGCGAGGGTCGTAATCTGAAATTTCGCAATAGCACCATGGGAGAAACTTTGTGGCGACTAAAGATAACTTCGAGTCGACTCAGAAGTCACCTGGTTCAGATCGGTTATTAGGCACTTTAGACACTATGACGAAGCTGGTGATTGCTAAGCGGAACGGAATACGTCAATGAACGAAAGCGCGCAGCGAGATTCTCAGTCCCTCTGCGTTGAGTCGCGGACGCATTTAGGGCTTCACCGCTGGCAGCACGCATTCGTGCGTGGGATCACGGACGCTTTCAGCACTCCAGCATGCTGCTGCGCCGCGCCGCTCATGCTCCGCTGCTGCACCGCTCTTGTGCTGTTCGCTAGCTGCATTGCACTTACACAAGGCATGTCTAATAGGCGCTACTCCCTTCTCCTTTCCCCTATTCTTAACCGGCTCCCCTGTTGAAACTCCTCTAGTCTTTCTGCTGGTTGGCCTGTGAAACCACTTAAGGCATTGACTGCTAGGCACTAGACCCAGCTTTTTCTTCCCTTTCCACCCTCTCATCCCCCCTTCTCCCGCTCTCTCTCAGCCCAGTGTGGCAGATTGACCTAGTTTTTGGCTGAATAGTGACACCTGGTATCGAGATTGACGTTCTTTAAACGCACTATGTCCTTCTTCCCCCCCCCCCCCCCCCCCCCCCCCTCCCCGCTCCCCGTCCCAACCCCTCTGCCCCTTCCTCCCCCCACCCCTCCTCTTTCTCCCTCTTATATAAATATCCGCATTCCCCTTTTTGACAGATTGCCTTAGCTCTGAATGCTGACTGACAATGTGACACTTTGTAACAACAAAGGCACATCTCTTAATCCTGTGCCATTACCACCCTCTCCCCCTTCCTTGTACCCTCCACTCCCTCTCCTCTACCCCCTCCCCCTTCAACCCTCCTTACACCCTCCGCTCCATCTCCTCTCCCCTTTCCCCTACCCTCCGCTCCCTCTTCTTTCCCACCGCCTCCTTCCGCAATCCCTCTTTTCTGGCCGCTCCTCCCACCATGGCAGATCGCCCTAGCTCTGGAGGCTGACAACGTGACCGTTGTGGATGTCAATGGCGACGGCCAGCATGTCAGGTACGACGCTGCCTGTTGGTGCAGTGAGATGAGAGCCCATTACTTCACACCGCTCATTGCGGCAGTCGTGGATGTCAATGGCAATGTGATCGTTGTGGATGGGAACAGGGAGTCGGGCCGGGATGGCCAGCACTGCAGGTAGGTCGTTGCCTGTTGGTAGGAAGATGCGAATTCATTACTTCACACCAAACATTGCGGCAGTCGTGGATGTCAACGGTGACGGCCAGCATGTCAGGTATGACGCTGCCTGTTGGTGCAGTGACATGAGAGCCCATTTCTTCACACCGCTCATTGTGGCAATTGTGGATGTCAATGGCGACGGCCAGCACGTTAGGTAAGGTGTCGGCGTTGCTCTTCCCCACTGCCTCTCAACCATCCCGACCAACGATCTGTTGTCAGCACATCCCCTTTGTTCCATGAATCTTCCTTCCCTTTTCCTACGCCCGACCAAGTTGCTGTAGTCAGGAAATCCCCCCTTCCTTATGGCCTTGGTCCTTTAGCTGACAGCATTGTGCCTGTCCCTGTCAAGAAACTCGCCTCACACTTTTTGCCTCACACTTCACTTGAATCAGTCCCCTCTCCCTTGGTTATATCCCGAGTCGGTAATGTCACACAGCTCAATTGATTTTCGTAAATCTCATGACATTTATCAAACACTTCTCTGTTTGCACCCAACATTATGCCATGCTTTTTTTCTTGCAGCATTGAGGTGGTATCCAAGCTGTTTGAGGGTAAGCGCAGCTTGGACAGGCAGCGCATGGTATATAGGGCTATATGGGAGGAGCTCCAAGGCGCAGTACATGCCGTTGACTCGCTCGTTACAAAAACGCCTTCGGAAGTGTAGTTTTAGATGCCTATGTCACACTGACCCACCATTTTTTAAGATTAATTGCTTATTGTTGAGCATATACCTGGATGTCTGTGTTGTATTATTGTTTCTCATATCGAGTTTTAGTATGGAAGTACTGTACTGGTTGGCTTTAATCCGAATTCGTTTGTAGGTTTCGTCAGGATGTTTCGTTCGGGGCGCCTCGGGATGAGGTTTGGGGGTGCCACGATCAGTTCAGACAGCGATTGATGGGTGCTTTCCACGATTTTTTTTTTCCAGTGTTCGCTGAAATGTTTCGAGAAAATGTTCCACTAGTTTGTTTGCATCTGTTCCACTGGCTGTCAAATCAGCGCAAAATGCCCAAATAATTTGCTGGCACTTGCAGTGAGTCCAGCAATGATCCTGCGTTCGCGGCAATGGAATGCTCGTGATTTTCCCGCGTACCTTCTTCGACCTCGGATATTGACCGTGAGCAGGTCTGGAACCAGGGCTTGAAATTCTGTCACAGCCAAACCGAAAAAAGCTGTGATTCCAGCCTGACTGGATATCAATAACCGTACTAAAGTACACTGAAACTTCTGCAACCGAGCTCAGTCTCATGCTTTCTCGGCTCGACAAACCCGAACCAAACAAGTGTCATCGTGCCTCCCCAAGTAACGGCCACGCCATTTGTCCAGCCCACGACAGTAGGTGCTGGAGGTGTGCGGTGCGGTGCCAACTGCACTGCGTCATGTTGGTCCTTGCCGAATGCGACGGTTTTCTTCAGCCCACGGACTCTTGCGACCGTTTAGTTCGCTTTCGCCATGCTGTGAGGGGAGGAAGTGGAGCTCGTAACTTCGTTACGAATATTCACGAAGACATATGACATCGTCTTGGATTCCTTGGCATTTCCACAAAGCGCCTCATCGTTCCCCTCCACCAGTCCCTCCCATCCGTCTTGTTCAAGGAAGGTGCATTATAGTTTCCCGAAGCTGGGTGTGGGTGGTATTTCCGCCACTTCCAGAGTTTTTTTTTTTCCGAAACCCTTACATTGTACAAAATCACCGTAGCATCGAACAACGCTGCTAGTTTACAAGGGCCGTTGTTGTTCTGATTGGTTGTGCCCACACACACTTTGTTCGTCTGTCTGTTCACCTGACCGCATCACATACGCATCGACAATTGTGCACACACTGGTTTTGGCTGATATGTAGATAGAGCATCCGCAGAGCAGATTACCTAGTGTCTGGCGAGGTCGCGTTAAATAACATCAATATGGGATGGATGTCAAGCAGATTGGCGTGCTTTTGAGTCGACTCTGAAGTTATCTAGTGTTAGGCAGGGTCGCGTAAAATAGCATCAGCATGGGATGGATGTCAAGCGAATTGGCGTGTGCCCACTCTCGTCTCAGCCGTCACTCCCGCTTTACCGAAGGCCAAACTCCGACCAGCACCCGCAAGTATGGAACCGACCTTGAAGGCGCCTCACCCTCTTCTCGCCACCCCCCGCTCTCCCTCCCCTACCCCCTTTCTTCCCACCCCTGCTTTCTAGCGTGTTGAAAAACCGCAAGATCAAACCATGTTAGTAGTTTTTGGCAAGTCCAAGAAAGGATTCAGCAAGGGCTGATTCGTCTGATGCCCTAATACCACTAATTCTTGAGTCGACTCACTCAAAGCTTTTGGGTCGACTCAAATGTCAAATAACTGGATTTGTCTAATAACCTCATACCATTCATTCTTCAAAAACCTTCTTCCTGTAAGCCTTGTGCCGTTCCTCCTCCCTTTTTCGCGCCATTTTCCGCCTTCCCCGCCTTTCTTGCTCCGCCATTGTTTCCCTCCGCCTCTCGTCTCCGACTGTTGCCATGCCATGAGGAATTCCCGTCTTCCAACCACCCTTCGTCCCCCTTTCCCTCCTTCGTCCCCCTTTCCCTCCTTCGTCCCGCTTTCCCTCCTTCGTCCCCCTTTCCCTCCTTCGTCCCCCTTTCCCTCCTTCGTCCCCCTTTCCCTCCTTCCTCCCCCTTTCCCTCCTTCGTCCCCCTTTCCCTCCTTCCTCCCCTTATACCTCCCTACTTCCCTTGCTGCCTCCTCTCTTCCGTTCACCCTCACCCTCCCTCCCCCCCCCCCCCCCCCCCCCCCCCCCCCCCCCCCCCTTCCCTGTTGCGCCTTCCCTGACTCTCACAGCAACCCCCCCGCTGACAATCAACGGCCAAGATTGCTGCAACGGTGCCGTGATCACTTTAGCCGTGTCGCACGGCAATGTTGGCCGGCGGACGCTACCGGTTGGTCTCCCGCCGAGCCGCGGCGTTGCTGGGGACTGGACGGCGGCATGTTAACCCCCGATTCGGAAATCGACGGCGATTCGGGCGACCTTGTAACGGCCCGAGACGGTGGCGGCGGTGGCGCTGCGGGAAGCAACCGTGAAGCTGACGCGTCCGCTGCGGGTGGCTCTGGTGTTCCTGGTGCTGCTGGTGATGGCGATGATAGCGCTGGCGGTGGTGCCGCCTCTTCGTCACGCAAGCAGCATCGGCGATCGAACAGCAGATCGTCCAAGTCCGTCGATTGGTCGCTAACGCCCTGTAACTCCGTCGCCGATTTCGCCGACCTGAAAATGGTCGGGCGAGGGCGGTGGGCGACCGTTTACGCCGCGACGCATTGCAGGACCGGTAGGAGGGTCGTGCTGAAAATTTATTCTGCCCGGCATCAGACGGCTGCGATGCAGAAGCAGGTCGAGCGGGAGATCTGGTGCATGCGCCAGACGCGCGGACATAAGCACGCGATCGGCTTTCTCGGAAGCTTCGCCGACGACGCGAGCAGGATTGAGAGTGCGATCGACGCGAACAGCAGGGGAGGCGGGAAGGGGAAGAACCGGTTAGGTCACGGCGGGATTTTCCGCAAGAGTGGCGGGAAGAGCGGCAGGAAAAGCCCGGGTAAAAGCGGGAGGAAGAGCGAGGGGAAGAGTGAGAGGAAGAGCGGCGGCGGGCGGGGGAGTGCGGGCGGGGGGAGTCGGGGAAGCGCAGGCGGAAGCAGACGGTTATCGTGGAGGAATTTGCGGCGGGAGGGGACGTTTATCAGAGGCTGATGAACGAGTTTTGCGGGCAGATGCCGGAGGCGATAGTCGTTCGCGAAATCATGTCGCCGCTGTTACAAATCCTGCGATTTCTGCACGCGAACGCGATCATCCATCGCGACGTAAAACCCGAAAATATTCTGTTCGCCGCGGACGGGCAGCTGAAACTCGCCGATTTCGGCCTCGCGATCTGCACGATGCGCGACCTGCCCGGCGCGCGCGTCGGCACACTCGATTACATGGCGCCTGACCTGCTTCAGTCTATTCCATCCGCTTCCGCGACTGCTTCTGCGACTGCTTCCGCGGATGGCGCTAGCGCGGGCGCCGGTGGTGTTGCGCGCGGCAGTTCCGCGGAATCCGCGAGTTTCGCGCAAGGGTCGAAGCTGCAGAGGCTGAAATCCAAAAAGCTCTCGTTCGCGCGACAGTCTAGCGGAAGGAATTGGAGTTTTTTTTCCGCACGGCGAAAAAGGGGAAGCGGGCGGGGGAACAGTTCGGGATGGGGGTGCGGATGGGGTTGAGGGTGAGGGGGAGGATTCGCGACGCGAGCACGCGGCTCCGTGCATGCCACTTGGGATGGATCGGCCAATCATTTGTCAGGAGGAGGCCTACCGAATCGCGTTACCCTATGACGAAAAAGTTGACGTCTGGGCGTGCGGAATTTTGGCGTACGAATTGCAGATGGGACGCCCTCCGTTTGAAGTGCCAGGCAGGCAAGCGACCTGCAAAAACATTTTGACCTGCCCGTTGGACACTCTGCCCGGGTTCAAACCAACAGTTTCAGCTGGTAAGGAAAAGGATCACGGGAACCCCCTGCTATCCCCCCATTGCATCTCGTTCTTAAAACGAGCGCTGGACCGAGATCGCCAAACACGTGCTTCTATCCGGGAATTACTGCAGCACCCATGGATCCTCTCCTTCGCCCAATCACCATCCTCCACGTCAGCATCAGCCACACCCTCCCCTCCCACCAACACCACCACCACCACCACCTCCTCCTCCTCTTCCTCCTCCTCCTCCTCCTCCTCCCCTTCCCCTCTTCCTCGTCTGCCCCCTCCTCTCGCTCCTCCCTCTCCTCCTCCACCTCCACCTCGATCGTCGTCCCCTCATTGCCCTCCTCCTCCTCTCATTCTTCGTTACAATCACATCCTCCTGGTGTCAACTCATCTGCCCCCTTCGGCCCCACTTCTCCCCAGAAGTTTATTTCTGACCGCCCGTGGGTAAGATTCGCACCTCCCCCTCTGAGAGGGGTGGAGGTATCCCAGTCCCCCCGCAATCGCAGCGAGTCATCGACGGGCTTTAAGGGAAAGGCGGGGACTGGGATTGGGGCGTCTGAGAGTGCGAGCTTGCAGCAACAACAGCAGCAGCAGCAGCAGCAGCAACAGAAAGGGCAGCCGTACCCACAGCAGCAGTATGCCAGACAAGCAGGCAGAGGAATGTTAGGTGGAGGAGGAGGAGGAGGAGGAGGAGGAGGAGGAAGAAGCGATGGGACGCTGACTAAGCAGCCTTCTTCTTTACCACGAAGTTCCAGTTGGATTCAGCAGCAGCAGCTGAAACTGCAGCTCATTTCTTGGGTAAACTCCATTTTTTTCATTTCTTCCACCACTAACACCACTCCTAACTCTTCCTCCTCCTCCTCCACCTGCCCACCCAACTGCGCCCGCCATTTTGCCTGTGTGCAAGCTGCTAGAAACCGCAGAAGCAACAACGGTTACAGCGCCAGCACCAGCCATTCTAGCAGCCTTATCCGCACCAGCCCATTCTATTCTCGCAATGCAACCAGGCGTTTCAGCACCAGTGCTAGTGCTAGTACTGGTGCTGCTACTAACGAATTTTCTTTCTTCACTAGCGGGGGAGGAATCTCCATAGGGGCAGTCAGCATTCTTGCGCTCTTTATAGCGCTCCTCGGTATTCTGCTGCAGGTGGTGGCTCTCTCTGTTCCCCGCTGGCCCATGGTTGTTACGCAGGTGCTAGGTGGGCCATTAATAATCGAGACCGCCCCCCATATAGTCACACCAGATACTTTGCTTAGCGGTAGTGGCTTTGGCAGCAGCAGCGGCGCTGTTGGCAAGAGTGGTAGCAGCAGCAGCAGCAGCAGCAGCAGCAGCAGCAGCAGCAGCAGCAGCAGCAGCAGCAGCAGCAGCAGCAGCAGCAGCAGCGGTGGTGGTGGTGGCGAAAGTAGTGAGGTTGGTGGTTCTGGCAGTGGCGATGGTGTCGAATCTGGTGACGAGATAACCTAACTGTCAGTAGAAGTAACAAAAGATTCAGGAGTAGTTGCCACTGCAGCCAACAAAGCTACTGATCAGTAACGAAGGCGGGCACTCCAACAGTAGCATATGATTTTGCATTCTCAGAAGCAGTTTCGATAAGACGGTTTGCCACTGTAGCTAGCTATGCCAAATCAGTATGCATTAGGGTCTCTGACAGTGCGTGCCTACCTCGCACCTTACAAGAACAAAAAAATCTGAGCCAATGTATCGTATACGGCAGCACGATGAGGCACAATAAGTCTAACCACCACCTTGGAGCAAGGCAAATGTAGTAAACAGCAGGTACAGTTTCATGTGTACAGATGAGATTAAACCAGTGAATGCTTGTTACAGTCCCCCAAACACCAAACATTGCTTCTCAGGCTTGCATGTGTCACCACTATTTGAGGTTTCTATTAAACCATTGCCTTGCTCGTCTTAACACGGCAGTCAAGCAGGAAACCATTCTTTAGAGGTGTTGCTTGAGCCACGAAGCCACAGTGAGCCATTGCTCAAACTCGCTCTGAGGCCTATGTTGGGGGGAAGGAGGGGAGGGGGGGAAGAGGGAGGGGGAAGGAGGGGGGGGGGGAAGGAGAGGAGGGGGGGAGGAGGGAGGGGGAAGGAGGGAGGGGGAAGTTGAACCTTCTCGAGACACGTACACAGCAGTCAAGAAGCCATTCTTTGGCTGTGCTGCTTGAGCCATGAAGCCACGGTGAGCCATTGCTTAAACTCGCTCTGGAGCCTGCGTGCATGGGAAGGACGGGACGAGGATCAGGGATAGAAAAGGTGGATGGGGGTCAAGGCAGGGGGTCGCAGGTGGGAGAAGGTGTTGCTATCAGTAACCCATCACTCACTTATCAATGACCCATCACTCACTTATCAATAACCCATCACTCACTTATCAATGGCCCATCACTCACTTATCAATGGCCCATCACTCACTTATCCATGGCCCATCACTCACTTATCAATAGCCCATCACTCACTTATCAATAGCATGCACATCTTCAGGCATCATGAGCACTCTAGCCTCCAGCCCCTGCGCCCGCAGCGCATGCACCAACTGTTGGGCAGAGGGGGGGCAGAAGGGCAAGGTGAGAAGGGCAAGGTTAGAAGGGGTTGGGCAGACTAGAAGCGACAGAAGCGTCTGCACACACAGCATCTTTAACAAGCAGCAAGTGCGTTCCAATAATTGGTTCAGACGACAAAGCTATCGGCGTGATGGGACGATAAGCATGATGCAACGCCCCCCCAACAACACTGCTCCTCCTGATGCTCACCTGTAGCCCGTTCGAAGAGGGAACACGAAGGTCCTTCCCTCCTAGGACGAACAGAGTCGGCACCTTCACCTGCACGAGAAAGAGGGAGGAAGGAGACGAGGACAAGGGAGAGGAGAGGGGCATGCTGAGAGCTTTCAAAACTGTGCTGTGCATAGATCCTTCCCTCCAAGGCGGCGACAATAAGTGGGAGGAGAGGGATGTGCTTTTGAGAATTCTCAGAAGCGACTGTGCTGTGCACAGATTCTTCCCTCCAAGGTGGCGACAATAAGTGGGAGGAGAGGGATGTGCCGGGAGGCTTTCATAAGTTGTGCTGTGCACAGGTCCTTCCCTCCGAGGACGAAGAGAGTCGGCACCTTCACCTGCGGGGTGAGGAAAGGAGAGGAGATACAAACAAGGGAGTGGTTGAAGAGTCAATTTTTCGCGTGTGATGAGCCAATTTTTTAGTCGACTCAAAAATCGACTCAAAAATCGACTCATTACAAACAAGGGAGTGGCTGAAGAGTCAATTTTTGAGTTGACTCAAAAGATCTGCAGCTGGGCGGCAGAGCTTGGAGTCGACTGAAAACACGTGATGCCCAGGAAGGTCTGCAGCTGGGCGGCAGAGGGTGAATCAGAGAAGGCGGCCGTGCCAGGCTGCGGCTAGGGTGGCTTGTGTGAGAGAATGAGAATAGGAGAGGAGAACGCAAGCGAAGAGATGAGGAGAGATTACAGAAGACACTAGAAGCATACCTTCGCTTCGACGCACAGGCTTTTGAGACGTCTCAAAAGGAGAGATTACAGAAGACACTAGAAGCATACCGTCGACGATTTTTTAGACGCCCCAAAAATCGTCTCAGCTCACGCGGATTTTATGTGGAGAGAATTTTAACTGCTTGGAAGTGTTCTCGTAACCTGCAAAGGTTACTGGTGCGTGCGCGGTTACTGAACCGATCAAGTCGTTTGAAGACTTTTCGTGAAGGCTGACACGGCACTTTGGGTTTACCCCCATGCTTAGTTGGCGATTGCTTATGAACTGCAATCTGGGTAGTTGGTGTACATTGAGTAGATCTCGAGGGCAGTAGCACGGTACTTAGCTAGCTTCTGTCCAAGACCTTTCTTTCTTGTTGAACCTGTAAGCAGCACTGATGAAGGTCTAAGGGGTTCTGTCCCGAAGGCCGAAACCGGTTTGCGAATAAGGGTTTTTCTGAGTTTGGTGGTTGTGAGATTTTCTTGAATTTTCTGGGAATCAGTTTCACAGTCTTGATCCTATTGCTTAAGAGTTTTTCACAGGTTTGCAGCTACTCCACGATGAACATTGATCCCTGGGCTCTCAAAAGGAGAGATTACAGAAGACACTAGAAGCATACCGTCGACGCATAGGTGCTGGGCGATGCCTTGAGGAAGGTTGGGAGCTCGGCAGCAGCGGTCGAATCAGATGCTTCTTTCAGGAAGGCTTGGAGATCAGCAGCAGCGGGCGAGTCAGAACACCCAGCATGGCCAGTGTGTGGGGAAAGAGAGGACAGACAGCTACCTTGGATACGTAGGTGATGGGACGCCGGGGCTAGCGTGACTTGGTTGTGAGAATGAGATGAGAAGAGGAGAGGAGCGGAAAGGAGAGGAGAGGAGAGGAGAGGAGAGGAGAGGAGAGGAGAGGAGAGGAGAGGAGAGGAGAGGAGAGGAGGTGAGAGGAGAGGAGAGGAGAGGAGAGGCGCAACACACCTTGGAAGCGTAGGTGATAGGAGATGCCTTGAGGAACGTCTGCAGCTCGGCGGCTGTGGGCGAATCAGAGAAGGCCGCCATGCCAGGCTGGCCGAAGGCCTCCACGAAGCACCAATCAGGGATGTCGGTGGTGCCGACCATGCTGGCGATGTTGGTAACCGGGTTACGAAGCACCGCTGTGCGGAAGCGATCGGGCTCCTGAGCAGGAACAAAAGGTTAAAGAGTGAGGGGAGGAAAACGAAGAGGGGGAGAGGGAAGGGATGAGAGCACCAATCAGGGATGTCGGTGGTGCCGACCATGCTCGCCAGGTTGGTAACCGGGTTACGCAGCAATGCCGTGCGGAAGCGATCGGGCTCCTGGCAACGGGATGAGATGGAGAAAGGTGGAGGTTCAGGAAGGGAGGGAAGAGAAGAGGGGGGGGGAGAAAGGGAAGAAATGAAAAGACCTGTGAGGGATGCCAGGGTTTGCCGCGAGTGCGATAACCTGGTTATGTCGCAGATATGATTTGCGTTACGCAGTCACTTCACTTCCCTTAACTTCCATCCTCCCTTTTCACCAAATTCAGTCGCACGTTTCTCACCTGCCCGATAAGGTGTGCAGCAAGGAAGCCCCCATGGGATCCACCAATCACAGCCATGCGGGCAGCGTCCACGTATCCCAGCTCCACCACCCGATCGATTGCCTCCACCACATCGGCCACGTCCTGATGGGGATTCAGAATCCAAGTATGAAAAGGGGTCAAATGAAGAGTATAGGAAGGAGTTAAGGGGAAAGGATCACTGGCATAGGACAGCATCCACGTACCCCAGCTCCACCACCCGATCAATTGCCTCCAACACGTCAGCCACGTCCTGGTGGGGCAGGCTGGGAGGTGTAAGGGAGATGCTGGTGGGAAGAGCGCCCAACACCGCATGCCCCAGCTCCACCACTTGATTGATGGCCTCCAACACGTCAGATGAAGAAAGGAGTGTTCTGAGACGTCTCAAAACACTCCTTTCTTCACCAATGGCCTCCAACACGTCAGACACGTCCTAATGGGGGAGGGGGATTGGGAGTCATTGATTGGGGCGCCCACACGCTCCCAATTGCAGCAATGCACAACCATCTGCACGCCTTGTACTGTCTATGTTTTTTGAGAATTCTAAAAAAAACATACGCAGCATCTGCACGCCTTGTACTGCCACCCTTATCACATGCCGTCACAATCTGGCTTTCTTGCCCCAATTCACTCCACCTGCCGCCCAATTTGGCTCACCTGCCTCCCGATGTGTTTAGGCAGAGACTGCAGTGCTTCCTCTCCAAACCCTAGCGAGCCCCTGCAGAGACGAGACATCATCAGAGAGGATTATATGGTGGGTTGAGTGTAATACTGGGGCTTGTTTTTTTTTTTTTTTTAAAGGAAGTTGACGTCATGATGTCATGGTGTCATCTCATCGCAATATGAATGTAGTCCACCCTCCCACTCATGAATGTACTCCCTCCACTCCTCCACTCATCCTCCTCTCGCTTCTTCCTCCCTCCTGTAGTTAACATGCAGCATGGCATATCCCAGGGCGCACAGAAAAAACACAGGGCATGACGAAGTTGGTGGTGCTACTGACCCTGAGGCAGGGGCTGTACCATATGGAAATCACTTTTGAGAATTCTCAAAAGTGGTGCTACTGACCCTGAGGCGGGGGCTGTACCATCCCATCTACACCAGGACCCAACCCTTTAGACACACACGCTGCTCACCTGTAGTTAACATGAAGGACAGCGTATCCCAGGGCACACAGGTACGCATAGGGCATCACGAAGTTGGTCGTGCTGACGCTGTGGGGGCCCCCATGAGGCACCACCAGCAGCGGGGGCAGCAGCAGCAGAGGGAGCACGAGCAGCAGCAGTGGGAGGCAAGGCATATGACTGACCCCTGACAACCCACACCCCGCTCACCTGTAGTTAACATGCAGCACGGCGTATCCCAGGGCGCACAGGTACGCATAGGGCATCACGAAGTTGGTGGAGCTACTGACCCTGAGGCGGGGGCCGTACCATCCCATCTACACCAGGACCAACCCTTTAGACACACACGCTGCTCACCTGTAGTTAACATGAAGGACAGCGTATCCCAGGGCACACAGGTACGCATAGGACATCACGAAGTTGGTCGTGCTGACGCTGTGGGGGCCCCCATGAGGCACCACCAGCAGCGGGGGCAGCGCGGCAGGTGCAGCTGGGGCAGGCGCTACTTTGCTCCCGGCTGGTGGGGGTGCAGCGGCGGCTTCGGGCTGTCTTCTCACGAAAATGGCTTCAAACGGCTGCTTGGCGCCTGGAGTAATGGGGGGAAAGGAGGGAGGAGAGGAAGGGATGGATGTGGGGGAGGAAGGGGGGGAAGAGGGTGGAAATGTGAGAATGCATGGTGGCAGCAGGTGCGGCTGGGCCCCCATACAACAGCCACCAGCAGCGGGGGCAGCGCGGCAGGTGCAGCTGGGTCAGGTGCCACCTTGCCTCCACCCCTCTTCCCCCCCGCCTCTCCCTTCTCCCATACACCTTCAGACAGACCCTGCGCCTTGGACGCGTCGTGAACCGACAGACATCGTGCGTGCTCTGCTCTCCACCCCACCCCACTTCTCTCCCCGCCTCTCCCCTCCCCCACTTCTCCCCCCGCCTCTCCCCCCCCCCACTTCTTCCCCCGCCTCTCCCCTCCCCCACTTCTCCCCCCGCCTCTCCCCTCCCCCACTTCTCCCCCCGCCTCTCCCCTCCCCCCACGCACCTTCAGTCAGACCCTGAGCCTTGGAGACAGAGGGCACGATAGGGATGACCTCAAACTCCGTTGACTTGAGTGCGTTCTCCACCTGGAAGAAAGCAGGTGCAAGCAGCACAGCACAGCACACACAGAGCACACACAACACAGCACAGAGTCAGCACAGCGGGGGGAAGAGTGTGAGACAGAGGGCACAGTCGGGAGGACCTCAAACTCCGTTGACTTGAGTGCGTTCTCCACCTGGAGGGGGGAAGATGGGGCGCGGGGGGGGGGGGGGGGAGAAGAATGGGGTCGAGGAGGCAGCACAGGCAAATGAGCGGGGAGCACACATAGCAGCGAGTGGGGGGAGAGCGTGAGAGAGAGGGTACAATGGGGATGACCTTGAATTCCGTTGACTTGAGTGCATTCTCCACCTAAAAAGAGGAAGAACGAGGGGGGGGGGGAAGGCAGCACAGGCAATTGAGAGCACGCATAAAAGCAGCGGGTGCGGGGAGGGGGAGCGTGAGTGGGAGCGCATAATGGGGATGACTTTAACGCATTCTCCACCTGAGAGGGATAGTGCAGGCAACCCAGCACAGCACACTCTATTTCCTCCATTCGCAAAGTCTTTCTCGAATCCTGTATCTTCTGGCTCGATCCAACAGCCAGCTGGAACACACACTCTCGTCTTCTTGCATGTCGCGTGCAAGGCCAAGTCCAAAAGCGCAGATACACACAAAGACCGGATCTTGCACGCGTCATGCGATTCGATGCCACTGATTGAAGATAAGAGCGTGTGTTCCAGCTGGCTGTTGGATCAAGCCAGAGCCACCCCTCCTGCTTAAGCTTGGTTGGGGTATTTCCCATGTCTCACTTTACCTCACTTCACCTCACTTCACCTCACCTCAACTCGCATCACCAAAACGAATTCGTCACAAGAGATTGCACTCACAGCATCGGCATACTCCACGTGGGGAGGGGAGATCTCGGACCACAGCCACCCCTCTTGCTTGAGCCACCCCGCATTCACCCGCCCCAGCATGAGCTTCGTTGGGCACGCTGGCGTGCTGGCGCCTGCAATGACACGAGTCAGTTGGTCACAAGGATTGGACAGAGAGTAAGTGGGACAGAGAGTAAGTGGGACAGAGAGTAAGTGGGACAGAGAGTAAGTGGGACAGAGAGTAAGTGGGACAGAGAGTAAGTGGGACAGAGAGTAAGTGGGACATAGGGCGGCAGGGCCAACGTGGAAAATCCTTCACGGTGCGGTGGAAGACGTGGCTTGGAATAGTGGTGAGGGAAGGGACGAAGGGTTAGATACACATACACCGTCGTCCGTATACAAATGGAAAGACAGATGAAAAAACAGACAGATGAAAAAACAGACAGACGAAAGAACAGACAGACAAAGAGTGTAATCCTCCTTTACTGCCCCCTCTGTCCCTCACTCACTCACTCACTCACTCCTTAGCACCTTATTTCCTTCCTCTGACTGCATACCCCCCCCCCCCTCCCCCCCAATCTTTCCCCCCACTCCCCCACTCTCTCACTTCCTCCCTCACTCACCAGCCACACCACGTTGTTCCGCACATCCAGCAGCACATATGCATTCCCCCTCCTCCCCCCCCCCCCCCCCCCCCCCCCCTTTGCCCCCCTTCCCTCACTCACCCGCCACCACGACATTGTTCCGCACGTCCAGCAGAACCCACGAGATGGGGCCCTCTGGGGTCAGCCTTGACACACGCCCACTGCAGGCGGGATAGGGGTGTGAGAATAGAGGGGTTAAGGGGGTGGAGGTGGTCCTTTGTCTGAAGGAGAGATGGGGTCCTCTGGGGTCAGCTGGGACACTAGGCAAGGGTGGGGTGGAGAGAGGTGGGGTCGGGTGGGGAGGATGGTGGTGCTTGTTTGTCTGGAGGCGGGCGCATGTATGAATTTGCATGAATGCATGGACGCATGGATGCATGGATGCATGTATGAATTTTCATGGATGCATGGACGCATGGATGCATGGACGCATGGATGCATTTACAGGCAGCCCACCTCTCCAGAACCCCATTTCCCCACAGTCCCACCTCTCCCCACCTCACCTCTCCGCGTGCACGGACATGATCACTTGAGTGCTCCGCCACGCAGAAGTGAGCAGCAGTGTGCGTCCATCCGCCATAGGCTTCGCACATGCATATACACAACCATAACTCTCCACTGCCCTTACAGGCAGCTCATCTCCCCACAGCCCCACCTCTCCACGTGCACGGAGATGACCGCTTGGGTGCTCCTCCAAGCTGTGGTGAGCAGCAGCGTGCGCCCACCCGCCAGCCACCCCACCAGGCACACAAATTACACGCACACATGAAGCACCCACAGCCACAAACACAAGCACGCCCCACCTCTCCACGTGCACGGAGATGATCGCTTGAGTGCTCCTCCAAGCCGTGGTGAGCAGCAGTGTGCGCCCATCTGCCAGCCAGGGGTTGGCGATGGCTCCAGCAGCATACAGCCCTGGGAACCCGCCCTGCTCCTCCGCCCTCGCCACCACACTGATCTGCAGTCAAGAGAATGAATAGGATTACGGCTTCGGTATTTTTCAGGTGTCAATGCAGACGGGAGGAGAGACGACTTTTAACGGCCCTTGTCCTCTTCCTTCCTTCGCCACACCAATAATCTGTTTTTGAGTCGTCGCACACCAATAATCTGCAGACAGGAACACGGAGAAACGCTGGCGTCACTTTTGAGAATTCTCAAAAGCATGCGGGAAGCAGTAAGCAGCATGTCAATGGCAAGAGCCCATCCGTGCTACGCCAGCCATTGGGAAGCCGCCCTGCTACCACTCTGATCTCACCATACCAAGTGAGAAGCGAGAGCAACGAGTAGGTAGCACCTCACCATGCCAAGGAGCAGCAAGGCACAGGCACTCACGACGACGGACACTTATGCTGTTAAAGGGGATGTCTATAACGGGGATGAGGGCCCTCCTTGGGTCAGAAAAGGGAGCGCGGCGGGTTGGCAGCACCTCACCATACCAACCAGCAGCATGACCGCAGATTGAGCAGGCTGCCAGAGTCACTATGCTGTTGATGGGGATGTCTATAGCGGGGACATCAGAAGGCCCTGAGCGAGTGTCCTCCTCAGGGTCGGCAGGAGGGGCGTGGGGGAAGGAGATGCCCTCCTTGGGCCAGAGCAGCGAGAGCAGCGAGTTGACAGCACCTCAGCACCTCACCATAACAAGCAGCAGCCTGCTAGAGAACACTCACTATGCTGTTTATGGGGATGTCTATAACGGGGACGTCAGAGGGCCCTGAGCGAGTGTCCTCCTCAGGATCAGCAGGAGGGGCGTGGGGGAAGGAGATGCCCTCCTTGGGCCACAGCAGCGAGTGCAGCGAGTTGGTGGCACCATGCGTGCCGCTGTCCACTGCTGCGTGCGAGGAGAGGAAGACCAGTAGAGAGCCGTCAGGGCTGATGGGAGGGGAGGGAGGGAGGGAAGGAGGAGACGTGAGGACATCGCAAGGGGTGGACGGGACAAGGGCAGAGTTGGTGTTGCCATGCGTGCCGCTGTCCACTGCTGCGTGCGATGAGAGGAAGACCAGCAGAGACCCGTCAGGGCTGATGGGAGGGACGGGAGGGAGACGGGAGGGAGACAGGAGGGAGACAGGAGCGCATGGCAGGGGGTGGATGGGTGGGGGAGACAAAGTTGGTGGCGCCGTGAGTGCCGCTGTCCACTGCTGCATGCTAGGAGAGGAAGACCAATAGAGAGCCGTCAGGGCTGAAGGGGAAAGTGGGAGAAACAGGAAGCAGATTGCACTACAGGGAATGGACCGGGGGTAGATAGGGTTGATGATGGCGCCGTGAGTGCTGTGCAGTGCTGCTGCGTGCGAGGAGAGCAACACTAGCAGGCTACGGTTGAGGCTGGAGGGGTGCGGGGGGGGGGGGGACGAGGAAAGAAGCAAGTGGGAACTTGGCAAGGGGTGGGCGGATGAGGGGAAAGATGAAAGGGAGGAAAGATGAACTGCTGGTTTCGTGTGTGCTGGTGTCTGTCCGCTGCTGCGTGTTGCTGTTGATTCAAACCAGCATGCATCATAAAAACGAGAGAGAAAACGAGGCGATTAACAGAAAAGAGGTGAGAAGGGGTATCGTTTGACTTTAAATAAGGGATGCATGTACCTGAAGCGGGGTGAGAAAGCGCTGCTGATGCCAGCAGTGAGCTTCATGATGCTGCTGCCGCTGCCTGGCTTCTTCCTGTAAGGACAGGAAATGACAGAAGGCCAAAAAGTAAGAGACAGGTGGGCCCTCGACACAAGCAACTTAGAGTTCCACAACTGCTGATGGCAGCAGCAAACAGGTGGCAGGGGCGGTTGGCACAGAACACAATGCCAAGGCGGCGAGCCGTGTTGAAGTTGGAAGGGAAGGGCAGGGCAGGAGAGGAGTGGTGCATGTGACCCCAACCCATACCCATGCACAACAGAAGCCTTCACTTACCCGGCAGCATCTTGGGAGGGCGCTTGAGCAGCAAACAGGTGGCAGGGGCGGTTGGCGCAATAGACGATGCCAAGGCGGCGAGCCGTGTTGAAGTTGGAAGGGAAGGCGGACCAGCCGACGAAGAGCAGAGTGTGCTGTTGCCCCTCCACTGCCGGCGCCCACACCACCTGCCCCGCACTGATGTCCCCTGGAATGCCCTCTACCGCCTGCACTGTGCCACTGCAGGAAGAGAGAGCGGTACAGAGCGGAAAAGATGGGTACAAAGCGGTGACAGCAGATGAGAGGAGGTAAGAGCGTGTGCTGCTGTCCCTACAGTGCTGGTGGCGCCCACACCACCTGCCCCGCACTGATGTCCCCTGGAATGCCCTCCACTGCCTGCACTTTGCCACTGGGAAAGAGAGAGTGGTACAGAGCGGTGAGAGGTCAGAGGTGAGAGAAGGTGAGAAGGAAGGCGGACCACTGCGCGAAGAGCAGCGTTTGGAAACAAAGTGAGAGGATTGGAGGGAGAGCCGCGGGCGGGTGGGCGGGGGGGAGGGAGACGAGATACGAGAGAGCACATGAGGATTGAGAGCGCATCTCTGCCTTTGTAGCTGGGCCCCGGCCCCCACCACCTTCGTTCCAACTGATAAAAGCAGAGTTTTGAGAACGTTTTCTTTAGCTCACAGTTAACCGAGCTCATTTTCCTCGAAACTTTACTTCTATCACATGCCTTCGTAGCTGCCCCCCAGGCCCCCACCACCTTGGTTCCAACTTCCGAAAACTCCTATGCTACTCACCTGACAGTGTTGAGTACAAACAGCAGCGGCCGCTGCTTGCTTGCCCGCGTATCTCTCCCCCCAGTCCTCCATCCGTTCCCCCTTGCACTTGAGACGTCTGATTAAATCACTGCTTTAACACACACACACATGACACTGCATATACCACTACAACCCCTTAACGCACCTGACAGTATTGAGTACAAACAGCAGCGGCCGCTGCTTGCCCGCATATCTCTCCCCCCAGTCCTCCATCCACTCTCCCTTCCCCTTCCACGTCCCTGCCTCCGCCGCCCCGTTCTTCCCCTTCCCCGCACCTCCCGCCGGGGCTGGCGCCGCTGCAGCTGCGGCTCCGAACCTGCCCCGAGCCGGGCCGGCAGGTGCGGCAGGGGGGTGCTGGGCGGCTGACGTGGCAGCGGGCTGCCGCGATTGGCCGAAGACAGGCTTGGTTGGCGCAGGCTCTTCTGCCACGTAGGCAACACAGGTTTCATCATCGTCGTTCCATGACACACCCTCGAACCTGAGAGAGGGGAGATGGAATGTAGCAGTGGCGGGAAGGGAGGAAGGGGAGCAGAAAAATGGTGGTTGATAGGAAGGAGCAGTGAAGGCAGGGTCCTCTGCCACGTAGGCAACACAGGTTTCATCATCGTCGTTCCATGACACACCCTCGAACCTGAGAGGAGATGGAATGTAGCAGTGGCGGGAGGGAGGAAGGGGAGCAGAAAAATGGTGGTTGATAGGAAGGAGCAGTGAAGGCAGGCTCCTCTGCCGCGTAGGCAACACAGGTTTCATCGTCGTTCCATGAACACACCCTCAAACCTGAGAGGGGGGAAAGCGTGCAAAGGAGCAGCAGCGGAGGGAGGAAGGGGAGCACGTGCAATCGGTGGTTGTGTCAAGTCAATGCAACAATGCAGACGGGAGGGAGTGGGCAGGAGTGGGGGGGAAGAGAGGGGGGAGTTAAAGGGAAGAGAGGGGGGTCAAAGGAGAGAGAGGAGGGGGTGCAGGAGAGGGAGGTGGGGACTCAAACTCCCATAAGGTGATTTTTGAGGCCCCTCAAAAAGAGTAAAGGGAAGAGAGGGGGAGTCAAAGGAGAGTGAGGAGGGGGTCAAAGGAGAGAGAGGAAGGGGTCAAAGGAGAGAGAGGAAGGGTCAAAGGAGAGAGAGGAAGGGGTCAAAGTAGAGAGAGGAAGGGGCCAAAGGAGAGAGAGGAAGGGGTCAAAGAGAGAGAGGAATGGGTGAAGACTTTTGAGACGTCTCAAAAGGGAAGAGAGGGGGGTCAAAGGAGAGAGAGGAGGGGTGCAGGAGAGGGAGGTGGGGACTCAAACTCCCATACGCAACATGTGCATTGTCCGCGTTACATGACACGCCCACGAACGGATGCACATCCATGCAAACGGAACAAACCAACACATCCATCCGTGGATGGTAACCATCCACCATCCACCATCCACTCACCATCCATCGGCGTACACCCCCCCATGAACAGTAGCCGGCACATGCACCTCCCTCAGCAGCCGCCCCGCGCCCCACACCTCAAGCTTCACCGCTCCAGCCTCTTTCCCCCCCGCGCCCGCCTCCCCATTCCGCACCACCAGCAGCCGTCCCCCCGAGGGGAGGGCGCGATGAGGGTCACACCGGTGAGCTCGGTGGGGAAGGGCGACCAGTGGAAGGAGGAGAGGTCGCCTTGCGGGTCGGGCACATGCACGGTGGAGAGGTACTTGCGCATGGCGTTGGCAGGTAGGTTCTTCTGACTCATCTGCACCGTCACGTCTAGACTCGCCTTGCCTGTGGGTGATGTGAAGGAGAGCAGGGATGAGGAGGCAGGGGTAGGGGGAGGGATGAGGAGAGAGCGGGGAGCAGGGTGGAGTGAGGGTGTGCACGGTGGAGAGGAATTTGCGCATAGCGTTGGCCGGTAAACTCTTCTGACACATCTGCACCGTCACGTCTAGACTGGCTTTGCCTATGGGCAGGGAGCGAGAGCAAAACCGCGTGTGTGTGTGTGGGATTGGGTCGCCTAGTCTACACGACTGAATGCGTGAGAGGCACTGAGCACAGGACACACATGCGCAAAAATGGGAGGGAAATGACGAGGCCAGAGATAAAAAGAAAACCCAAAGGGGCATGAAAGAGAGAGAGAGAGAGTGAGAGAGAGAGAGAGAGAGAGAGAGAGAGAGAGAGAGAGAGAGAGAGAGAGAGAGAGAGAGAGAGAGAGAGAGAGAGACCCACTATCCCTCTCAGTGAGGGACAGCTGCATCAGTTGATTGAGGCCCCGTTCGACCAGTAGGGTCGGACAGGAGAGGGGGGGCTGAGTAGGTAGAGGACTGGAGGTAGTTAGGATGCCGGTTTGGATGTTTGTGGCGCTTGTATGCTTGCATCTTCCTTTGTACCACCCCTCAAAGTAATGCAAGGACCATTCGAGAGAGAGAGAGAGAGAGAGAGAGAGAGAGAGAGAGAGAGAGAGAGAGAGAGAGAGAGAGAGAGAGAGAGAGAGAGAGAGAGAGGGAGAGGGAGAGGGAGAGGGAGAGGGAGAGGGAGAGGGAGGCAGAGGGAGAGGGAGACGGACGGGGAGAGGGAGAAGGAGGGGGAGAGGCAAAGGGAGGGGGAGAGGTAGAAGAGGGAAGTGACGCACCTGGAGCACCCTTGCCCTTGGGTCCTGCATTTTGGCCTGCAGTGCCGCATGTGTTGAAATTCACATGCAAGGGAGACAAGACATTGGGAGGGGGAAGGCGCGGGGGAGCAAGGGTAAGCGGAACGAGTGAACAAAGGAGCCCTTGCCCTTGGTTCCTGCATTTTGGCCTGCAGTGCCGCATGCGTTGAATCAAAGTGACCATGCAGTGAAGACAATGGGAAGGAGAGAGGCACGGATGAGCACGAGTGAGGGACAAGTACGGGAGCGAAAGGACTCTTGCCCTTGGGTCCTGCAGTTGGGCCTGCCATGCCGCACGCGTTGGATTAGTGAGGGCATGCGGGGGAGAGATGTGGGGGGCGGGGGTGGGAAGAGCGGGGAGGCACAGATGCAGATGCACAAAGGGAGGGGTACGGGGAAAGAGAGGGAGCGCTGGCGTCGTTGCACTTGAGTCGAGCAGCTTGGCCTGTAGTGCCGCCCCTCTTCCCAACCCCCTTTCCAACCCATCTCAACCCAGTCGCACAAGCACCCACCGACGTGAGAGACTCGGCACCAGGCCTTGTCGATGCTGGCGATGAGAGAGAACGACTCGAGAAGCTCTTCCTCCTAGCCCACCCTCTTCCTCCCAACCCCCCGCTCTCAATCCATCTCCACCCATGTCAACCAATCTCCACCCATGTCAACCCATCTGCACCCACCGACGGGAGACACTCGGCACCAGGCCTCGTCGAAGCTGGCGATGAGCGAGAACGACTCGAGCAGCTGCTCCTCCTCCATCTCCTAACCCACCCCTCTTGCTCCTAGCCCACATTCTCAACCCATATGGAACCATCTCAAACCATAGCAACCCATGTCCACCCATCTGCACCCACCGACGGGCGACACTCGGCACCAGGCCTTGTCAATGCTGGCGATGAGCGAGAACGACTCAAGCAGCTCCTCCTCCTCCACCGTCGCCGCGCGGTCGATCAGACCGCCGCCCTCCGCGCCTGTCGCCATGGCCCGTGCGACTGTAGACGACGATCGGAGTCGTGAGCTGAGCCGCGTCGGCGCGGATACGACAGGCACGCCGCAGCTGAAAGAGCCAAACAGGGAGTACAAGGATCACGTTTTCGTTTAAGCGCGACAACGGCAAGGAACGGTTACGAAGGCGAGTAAACGGCTAAGAGCGACGATTCAGCAGGGGTAACAAAGATCAGACCAGAGTTATGATGAGTGACCAGATGGCTAGAGTTCTGATGAGCGACTAGATGGCTAGAGCTCTGACGAGCGGTCAGATGGATTCCAGAGCTCTGACGAGCGGCCAGATGGATTCCAGAGCTCTGACGAGCGGCCAGATGGATTCCAAAGCTCTGACGAGCGGTTAGAAGGATTCCAGAGCTCTGGTATGGAGACTGGGTGCATGAGATGCCTCCAGACCAGGATTTGGTCTTAAACCAGCGGCGCAGTGATGGATTAGGTAGGAAATTATGTCGTTCAGAGCTCAACCCATCAGGCCACTACACAACCGAACTCCTCTAGACCTATTTTCCAGTATAGCAGTAAACAAAGCAAACTGCCGAAGTTTCGACCTCTGGGATGTCGGGAATTTGACAACCTTCGAAATAATCACCTACCAGATATTCACTATCCAACGGTAACCGGACTCGCGTTCCGAATTAACAATCGATAAACTGATAGTAGCCACTGGAGGATCTGTCATGTTCGCACGCTTGCACCGGGAGATCCTGTTGCAAGGGTGCGAGCATTTGTTCATCCTAGCTTTCGCAGCGGTGACGGTCTGCGACAATCTGCGGTTTTTGCACCGTTGCATCTGGACACACTCGATAAGTCTGAAATCGCATTCGAATATTCTCATTCCAAATCTAAGGCAACGCTTGAGCCTTTGCAGCTATAAATAGTGACCAAGCACGAACGTGAGCGCCAGCCGTACGGAGGGATAATCTAACAGTGTCGGGCCGTTACGATGCCCATTGACGGGACAAGATCATCAGCCGGTAAATAAACAGCCTGAATACCAGTACTGGACATGCACCGTCAGGAATTGACAGAATAAAGGACTCAAGACTATCACGCACTCCTGGGAACACTACAGCAGGACGCGCGAACACCTTAGTAAGCTTACTCCTGGGTATGCGGTGAATCAACGGTAGGGCGAAATGATGAAATGTTCACTCACATACGAAACGATCGGGCTGAGAGCAAACGGTGACAGCCAAGTCCTGTATCTCGCCGCGCAACGGTCAAATTCCCAGAGCGATTACTCAGAAGCGCTACGCGTCTACTATCGACTCCAGTTATCAAAGCAGATCGCAAGCGATCTGTGGGGAGGGTACGTGAAACCACGCGCAAACGAGCAGAAACCGCAACGTGCATAAGTGCCGCTTCGTAGGATCGAGAGTGAAGCCGGAGCACGAAGAATGCTTTAGCGACCTCCACTTATGGCGGAAATCGAGGATGCGAATGTAGGACCTGAATCTAGTTGGCAGAAGCCGTTGGATCTAGGTGGAAGGGGTGATGCTGGCTCTAGAATCTAGATCCAATGAATGGCCAGGATCTGTTGAACAAGTGAAGTAGTGCTGGTCCTCGGGATTGCCAAATACTAGATGATCTTTCACAGAAACCAAGCATGGCCTGTACCCGTTTGAAGCCCTTCAAGCTTCAGGACACCGTCGGAACATACGGTAGTGTATGCGTGTTGTGTTTCTCGTAAAACACATGCCTTACAAGCTTTGTATGAGTTGGAGTTCGCGAATCGCGACTGACGACGAATTGCGACGAGTTACACAAATAGGCAACATATCTGCCGCGTCGCCCCATCTCTGGCGTTACGCACCAGTGCTCGTCCAGCTGACAGTGCGTTGCTCCTGACAAGCCGTCAGATCGACCAATGGTGAGACACCGTTTTCCCTGGTCGGAGGGGCAAATTCGACACGTCAGTCACTGCCTTGCATATTCACGAAATCTTTGTAACCAGCCAGCTTCTTCGTCCAATTCCAAACCATTCCAGCATGCCAGCGAAACCTGGTTTCTCCTAGCCGTCGTGATTGTGTCGGTGCCAGGTCATCAGGTGTGCCAGAGATACATCCTGTTCTCGATAATTTCACGCCCCCAAATCCCGAACCGCGTTTTCTTTTGCCCGAGAGGGTGTGAAATTAAGGGGGCAAATATTTGTCCCTGATAATTTCACGCTCGAGGCGCGGTACAGGTGTGCTGACAGGGAACGAAAAATGACTTGAAGAGATCCAGGGAGTGTTGACGATCTTGAAAAATCTTCGCATCCAATGAAAATCAGTCACGTCAGGATTGCGTTTATCGTAACCCTGACCACAAATTCAGCTCTGAATTTCAGCTCCCAAAAATTGAAGACGTATTTACAATTGGGTTCGACTTCGACACATTCGCGACTTTCGAAAGTAACATGCCTTTGTAGCAAAAGCAGTCCAATCGCTGGAAACCTACGGTTTGCAACAAAATTTGAAACTTTGCAATTTTACGATTTAAGACGCGACAACTGGACACTAAACTTCCCCAGTTCTCTGGGTTGCTGACAGTATAAAAAGAGTTCATTTCTGCATCTCTCAGTTCAAGATCCTTCATGGTTCGCCAGCTCGGCAGCCCAAAGCCTTTGCTGGCGATCCCGAGTCGAGGTGCAAAATTAAAGGGTGTAAAATTATCGAGAACAGGGTGTACTGGCAGGAAAAATGGCACAGCGCAGCCGTCGAGATTGGCACCAAGATTTTCCCGCGCGTCACGTCGCACAATCCCCAAGACAATTCGACTTCGCGGGACTTTCAAGAGGTCATCATCATCGTATCACCGTTCACCGCGCCAGACCTCGGGATTGCCACCGCTAAATCCTCTGTACCTGATCCTTCCTCTACCTGGCCTCCTTGGACTCCCTCACCAGCCACCCTCCCTTTCCTACCTCACCTCCCCTTCTCAACCATCCTTGTATCCCTTCCCCTACACTCTCATACGGTATCGTATCCCTCTATCTCTCGTACACCTTGTTCTCGATAATTGTACACCCCCTACCCTTTTTTTTCGTAGGCACCCTTTACGGGCTTTGACTTGATGCGACGGACACCCAGAGATTGAGGGACCATAAAGATACAACGGGCAGGTACCCTCTAGAAAGGACTCGCACTTAATGTTCAGGGTGAAGGGTTTAGTCAGGGTTGGGTTCTCTTTTATATTCCTGGTCCACTCTGACCAAACACGAAAGTCGTCGGACCCTCCTCCGCGGTTTTCCTGAACGCTGGGAACTGCCCTACGATAACGATTGACCTAGGGTAAATACCCTAGGGTGTAATATTAAGGGGTTTAAAATAATCGAGAACAGGATGTACCTCTCCTTCTGCAACCTTCAAGCTGCATGATTTCTGCGTACTGACACCTCTCTCCTCTTCCTCGCAGTCGCCAACAATCCCGCCAATCTGCCCCGCCATGCTCCATCCGTCAACCTCCAGGCTCCACCACCGCACCAAACACCTAGGCAATTTCTCAGGCGCCTCAAATCTGGCCCCAGTCGACAACCTCTAGGTCGCACGGCCTCTGTCGCACAACTTTCGTCACGGCATTTTCCAGAACAGTTCAGCTCAGAGCAGAACCATCTCCTGATCCCTGAGTGGCCAGGCCGAGATCGTGACACCATCACGGCCTGGGCTCATGACGCCACCTGTCAGGATCTCCGACGGGAAACAACCGTGCAACGCTTTGACCAAATTTAGACTGCATCTCTGACTGTTTCTGTGGAACGGCCATCTCCACAAACTCTTCGCCACAGTGACCATTCAAGCCTTCCGTAACCAGGCCTGGTGAGGCCAGTGACCTCACACGCCTGGTTCGGCTTTAGAAGGGATAGCTCTACATATATTCGAGTTGGAAACCAGGCGACGGGAAGTGGGGGAGGGCGACGGACATACAAGCCTGTTCGCCGAAACGCGAACTAGGGTTCACTTGCGTCCTCCTCGTGCGCATTTGTACTTACTTCCCTTCGCGGAACGAGCCGTTGTAGGCTTCTCGCCGTTTCGCGCCGTCCGGTGTGTCTCCTCGGCGCACAGCAGACGCGCGGACCAGCCACCTTACACCCTCGTACCACAGCCATTCGCAGTCTTGACCGTTCATTTCTTAGAAAACAAACCGCTCTTAGAAAGTTAGGCCGTGTACTGACACGTTATCACCGGTAGCGTTGACGGAATCCGTCAAAATGAACGAACCCTGGCTGGAACCGTCGCCAGGCGGCGCGTTCACAGATACGCCGTGCCCAGACGATCTCATCCCGCAAATGGGCGGCTTAAGTGCAATGGATTCAAATCTGAATCCGATCCAACATGCATCCCTTACACACTCCGCCGGCGTCTTCCGCGTCCTTCAACAGTCGACTCATGAAACCGAAACGCCGCACAGATCTGTCCGCGCGCTGCAGGATTTGACGACCTCCGCAACCCCCGACTCTGCCGCAACCGCGCTATCCGCTCCGCCTCCCGCGCCTCTCCCCCCGCCGCCCCCGCGCATGGCCACTGTGCGCCAAGGTGCCCCCCCGCTGTCCGCGCCTAAGCTGGGCGTTCTCTCGGGCTCCGTCGCTCCCGCGGCGGCCCCCGACGCGCCGCTCATCGATGCGCCTCCCCCGCTACCGCCCAACGCGCCTCCGCCTGTCGCAGCGCAACCGCCGCCAGCTATGGTGCCGAAACCGCCGTCTTTTAAGGGCAGACCGCCGCCGGCGGTGAAGCCACCGAGGCTCGGCAAGCCGCCATCTCCGGTACTGCAAGTTCCCCCTAATGCGCCGCCGCCGCTTCCGCCCGTCATAGATGCGCCTCCGCCTGTTCTCCCCGATCCCCCTCCGCCGATGATCGATATCCAGCCTGCGCCCCCTCCGGAGATCCTTTTCCCCCCTCCTGTGTTTCCGCCGCCAAAGCCTCCCCCGAAGCCGCTGGCGCGGCCGCCGCCAAAGCCGCCAACCCTCCCCCCACCAGTGCCGTCACCTCCGCCTAAAAAACCTCCGCCGCCCCCTGTAATCATTAAACGACCTCCGAAACCCCTTATAGCGAGACCTCCGCCCCCTGCTGAGCCTCCCGCCGCACCTCCCGTTCTGCCTCCCGCGGAACCCCCCGCGGACCCCCCCGCGGACCCCCCCGCGGAGCCCCCCGCGGAACCCCCCGCGCCCCCCCCCGCAGAGCCCCCAGCTCTTCCGCCTGCTGCTCCCCCAATCGATCCCCCCGCGCCTGCGCCTGCGCCAGTCGTTGATCCTCCGCCTAAGCCTGCGCCCGCGCCTTCCCCGATCGCTTCTCCCCCGCCGCCCCCGAAAGCACCAGCGCTCGTGCGCCCGCCAAGGCCAAAGCTGCGCAACCCGCCACCGCCGCGGGCGCCTCCGCCGCGTGGGGAAGCTCCCGCCCCCGCGCCTACGTTTATCCCAACCCCGCCGCCTCTCTCCCCCCCTTTCAACAATATGCCGTCTCCGCCAGTCAATTACATGTCGCCGCCCCCGCCGCAAGCGACGGCGCCCGCGCCGGCGCCGGAAGCGGGGGTGAGCGCGGCGGTAGTGGCGGGCGCGGTGGCGGGGGGAGCGCTGTTGCTGGTGACGCTGGTGGTGGGGCTGCTGTGCTTTTTCTATTTCGTAGTTAATCGGCGGGAGGAGGAGGAGGACGAGCGATACCCGCGAGGCAGCACTTCCGACTTCTACGCGCTGAAAGGTGAGCTCAGGTAGTGCGCGGTGGTGCGTGGTGGGCGCGTGGTGGTGTGCGGTGAGGTGCGGTGTACCGTTTATGGCGTGTCACAACTCCCCCTCCCCTCAGCTACCCCCTCGTTTTCCGTTCCTCCCCTTCTTCCCGTCCGCCTCTTTTCCACTTCCTCCTCCTCTCACCCTTCATCTCCTCTCATTCTCCCCCTCCACTCACCCTCCCGGTTATCCCCTTCCTCCTCTCCTCCTTCTCCCCTTTGCCCCCTCTCCCCGTCCTCTCACCCTCCCCCTCCTCTGGCCCTCCCCGTCTTCTCGTCTATCCCTCCTCTCATTCTCCCTCTTCTCTCCTCATCACATTCTCCCTCTTCTCTCCTCCTCTCATTCTCCCTCTTCTCTCCTCCACCTTCTCATCTTTCCCCTTCCGCTCACGCTATCTATCCTTCCCTGCCTCTCCCCCTACCTACCCCTCCCTCTCCTCTCGTCCTTCACTGCTCCTCACCACTCCCAACCACTTGCAATCTATGCACTTCCCTCACCACTAGCTGCCTCCGCATGATTCTGTTCCGCAACGTTAAACCCCGCTGCTCCTACCCCCCCATCATCCCCATCACCTAATCTCCTCCCCTCCCGCCAACACACTTTGCCCCTCCCTCTCCCCATCTCTCCCCTCCCCCCCCCTCTTCCCTCCACCTTCCCTCCTGTCCTCACCACTCTCCCTCCCCATCAGGCAACGGCATGGACGCAGGGAGCTTCTATACTGAGTATGTTTTTGAGAAATTTCAAAAAACATCCTCCTCATCAGGCGACGGCATGTGCGCTAGGAGCTTCTACACAACGGCATCAGGCCAGGGAGGATCAGATGCTCCTGAGTCAACTCCTTCCTTTACTCAACAGACGCTTCCTTTCCCCAACCAACGCTCCTTCCTCTTCGTCACTACCCACGCCCTGCACCAGGCAACGGCATGTGCGAATGGAGCTTCTATGCCACAGCATCCGACCAGGGAGGGTCGGATGGTTCTTGAGTCTACTCCTTCCTTAACTCCGAACTTTTTCCCCTTTTTTCCACCAACACTCCCTCCTCTCCTCACCACACCCTCCCCTCCTCCAGGCAACGGCATGTACGGATAGAGCTTCGCCACAGCATCCGACCAGGGAGGGTCGGAGCAATTTAATTATGAGATAATTTAATGACTTATTTCACCAACACCCTCGCTTCTCCACGACCCCGCCTCTCCCCTTCCCCCCCACCAGGCAACGGCATGTACGCTGAGAGCTTCTATACAACAGCGTCAGGCCAGGGAGGGTCGGGTTACCCTATGTTACCACCGCCCAACCCGTACGCCGTGGTCCCTATCGGTTCCCACATGATGCTCCCCCCAGACGACCCTTCCGCGGGCTCCGCCTCCGCAGCCGCCGCCGCCGCCGCCGCCGCGGGAATGGGCATGGGGATGGCCATGGGGGCAGTAGCAGCAGGCGCGGGGGGCGCAGGCGCGAGCAGCGGCGGGCAGGGAAACCAGAATAAAATGCAGTCGCAATCTTGGTTTTCTTATGAGGAGCTGGAGCAGGCGACAGGGGGATTCGCGCGGACGAATCTCCTAGGGGAGGGAGGGTTCGGGAAGGTGTACAAAGGGGTGGTGAGGGATGGGAAGGAAGTTGCGGTGAAGGTGCTGACGATCGGGGGCGGGCAGGGGGAAAAGGAATTCCGGGCAGAAGTGGAGATTATCAGTAGGGTGCACCATAGGCATCTGGTGACGCTGCTGGGGTACTGCATTGGAGGCGATCAGCGGCTACTAGTGTATGAGTTTGTGCCGAACGGGACGCTGGAGGCAGCGTTACATGGTGAGTCGATGATAATTGGGTTACATGGTAACTGATTTTGTGTGAAACCTGGCGTATCAGTAGGGTGCACCATAGGCATCTGGTGACGCTGCTGGGGTACTGCATTGGAGGCAATCAGCGGCTGTTGGTATGCAAGTTTGTGCCGAACGGGACGCTTGAAGCAGCATTACACGGTGGGTAAATAATATGGCAACCCTATTTGTATGTGAAACCTGGTTGCAATGTCTGGGGGTATAACATTGGCTGCTGGGGATGGAGATTTGGCAGGAAGAGTTTGTGCAGAATGATTATTTGGCAGGAAGAGTTTGTGCAGAATGAATATTTGGCAGGAAGAGTTTGTGCAGAATAAATATTTGCTCACCTCCCTTCTCTCACCTCCCTTCTCTCACCTCCCTTCTCTCCCCCCGTATTTTTCTCCTGCAGGCAAGAACGCGCCGGTGATGAGCTGGGCTTTAAGAATGAAGGTGGCCATAGGAGCGGCTAAGGGGCTGGCCTACCTGCACGAGGACTGTGAGTCGCCTGACCCTTCGTTACAGTCACAGTCACTCTGTGTGGGTTACAGTTACAGTCACTCCGTGTGGGTTTAAGTCATTCGTGCTGCGCCTTGCATCCAATGAACAAGGTGGCCACAGGAGCGCCTAAGGGGCTGGCTGGCATACCTGCACGAGGACTGTGACTTTTGAGTCGACTCACGAGTCATAGTCATTCGACCCTGTCTTTTAGTCGCCTGTGTGTTATCCTCACTCGTGTTGTGCCTCGTATCCAATGAGTAAGGTGGCCATGGGGGCGGCTAAGGATGAAGGTGGCCGTAGGAGCGGCTAAGGGGCTGGCCTACCTGCACGAGGACTGTGAGTCACTCCAAGTGTCGTATGCGTTACAGTCACTCCAAGTGTCGTATGCGTTACAGTCACTCCAAGTGTCGTATGCGTTACAGTCACTCCATGTGTCATATGCGTTACAGTCACTCCAAGTGTCGTATGCGTTACAGTCACTCCAAGTGTCGTATGCGTTACAGTCACTCCATGTGTCATATGCGTTACAGTCACTCCAAGTGTCGTATGCGTTACAGTCACTCCATGTGTCATACTCATTCCGTGGATTATAATCATCCCACGTGGTACAAGTCACTCGTGCTATGCGATGCGCATCCAAGGAGTGAGGTGGCCATGGGGGCGGCTAAGGGGCTGGCCTACCTGCACGAGGACTGTGAGTCAACTGACCCTTCGTTTCAGTCACTCTGTGTGGGTTGAATTCATTTGTGCTGCGACGTGCACCCAAGGAGTGAGGTGGCCATAGGTAGGAGCGGCTAAGGGGCTGGCCACGTGATTGAAGAAGTGTTTTGAGACGTCTCAAAACACTTCTTCAATCAGGTGAGGTGGCCATAGGTAGTAGCGGCTAAGGGGCTGGCCTACCTGCATGTGGGCTCAAGTCATTCGTGCTGCGCCTTGCATCCAGTGAGTAAGGCGGTCAAATTGGCAGCTACAGGGCTGGCCTACCTACCTGCACGAGGACTGAGTCACTCGACCCACCCTGTGTCACAGTCACTCACTCCGTGCATTATAGGTCACTCCATACGTGTGTTGTTGCCACTCCATACGTTATAGTCACTAGATGAGTTAGTCACTGCCTACGCGAGGACCATGAGTCAACCGCCCTTCTGGTATAGTCAAATTCATTTCTCCTTTTGAGCCCCCCGTTTTTCCGTGTGCTACGGGACTGGCTTACTTGCTTCACGTTGCCCCTCCGCTTTATTCATGATGGCCGTGCCGTTTTGAGACGTCTCAAAACACTTTTACTTGCGTACTTGCTCATACTATCATTTTTGAGGTGACTCAAAAGTCACCTCGTACTTGACTCATGCATCACTTTTGAGTCGACTCAAAAGTCACCTCGTACTTGCTCATACTATCACGTGGCTTACTTGCTTCACACCGCCCCTCCGTTTCATTCATGATGGTCGTGCCGTCTGTTATGGCATCCCGTCCCACCCAATCCCACCGCATTCTATCTTAACCAATCCCACTACATACCATCCCGTCCCACCACGCTCCACCGCGCGCGTCCCACCGCACCAGGCCATCCGCGCATCATCCACCGCGACATCAAGTCGTCCAACATCCTGCTCGACCAGCAGTACGAGGCTCAGGTGAGTGTCTTATCCTCGCTAGAAGGCTTAGTCCTTGTCATAAGGTAGAATCCTTGATATTAGCGTGATGTTGAAACAACATTGAGTCGCCCATCGTTCTGTGTGACTAGCATTACGAGGCACATGTAAGTGTGTTATTCTTCTTATATAGTTAAATCATTATAAGCAATTTCCTGGTCGTAAGGTAGTATCCTTGTTGTAAACGTGATGTCCAACCAGTGTCGAGTCATAGATTATCCTTGGAACTTACAAAAAGAGTATCCTTTTTTTGAACTTGAGAAGTAAATATATCCTCATTATCTTCGCTAAACGAGGTGAGAAAAGCTCCGTTATCCTCATTACCCATTGTTGCCTTTGTTACCCCTTTTTGCCCCTCCTTACCCATCATTGCCCCTCCTTACCCCTCATTGCCCCTCCTTACCCCTCGTTGCCCCTTATTGCCCCTCGTCACCACTCTACTCCCCCATTCGACTATCACAGGTGGCGGATTTCGGACTGGCCAAGCTGGCAACTGAGGGAGCCACTCACGTGTCGACACGTGTCATGGGGACGTTCGGGTGAGTGGCATGGGGTAGGTGATGAGAGTGCTTCGCAAGTGGTTGCATTGTGTGAGGCGTTTATTTGTACATGCATCCTATGCAGGCAGGGCACGTTTGAGATTTTTTTAGTCGACTCAAAAGTCACCTCTTTGCAAGTGGTTGCACTGCATGAGGCGTTTATTGAGGATATGCATCATGTGCTGGCAGTGTGCATCATGTGCCGGCAGGGTGCATCATGTGCCGGCAGGGTACGTTTGAGAATTCTCAAGATACCCTCACTGCTCTGCTTGCACCAGGGTACGTTTGAGAATTCTCAAGAATACCCTCACTGCTCTGCTTGCACCAGGGCATGCCATGAGTGTCGAGCGCGCTGACTGACACACGCAGCACGTCCGCCATGCGTGGCAAGCAGTGGTGTCAGCGACACGACACCAGCAGTGGTGGCACACAGCGACACCAGCAGTGGTGGCACACAGCGACACCAGCATTGGTGGCACACAGCAGTGCTGACACCCAGCAGTGGTGTTTGCCCAATAACCATGAGCGAGTTTTGAGAATTCACAAAAATCGCTACCCAGCATTGCTGGGGGGGGGGCGATAGCCATCCATGAGTGATTCCATTTGAAGCCGTGCTGGTGGAGCTGGTAACCACCCCTCACCCAACCCCACCCCTTCTCCCTCCTCTATCCCCAACAACCCACCACAGCTACCTGCCACCAGAGTACGCAATGAGTAGCAAGCTCACAGACAAGTCGGGGTGGTACTGTGGCAGCTGTAAACCACCCATCTGCCCATCTGCCCATCTGCCCTTCTGCCCTTCTGCCCATCTGCCCATCTGCCCTTCTGCCCTTCTGCCCTTCTGCCCATCTGCCCATCTGCCCTTCTGCCCTTCTGCCCTTCTGCCCTTCTGCCCATCTGCCCATCCGCCCTTCTGCCCTTCTGCCCTTCTGCCCTTCTGCCCATCTGCCCTTCTGCCCTTCTGCCCTTCTGCCCTTCTGCCCTTCTGCCCATCTGCCCATCTGCCCTTCTGCCCTTCTGCCCTTCTGCCCTTCTGCCCTTCTGCCCTTCCGCCCATCTGCCCTTCTGCCCTTCTGCCCTTCTGCCCATCTGCCCTTCTGCCCATCTGCCCTTCTGCCCTTCTGCCCTTCTGCCCTTCTGCCCTTCTGCCCATCTGCCCTTCTGCCCTTCTGCCCTTCTGCCCATCTGCCCTTCTGCCCTTCTGCCCTTCTGCCCATCTGCCCTTCTGCCCTTCTGCCCTTCTGCCCTTCTGCCCTTCTGCCCTTCTGCCCATCTGCCCTTCTGTCCTTCTGCCCTTCTGCCCATCTGCCCTTCTGCCCTTCTGCCCTTCTGCCCTTCTGCCCTTCTGCCCATCTGCCCTTCTGCCCTTCTGCCCTTCTGCCCATCTGCCCTTCTGCCCATCTGCCCTTCTGCCCTTCTGCCCTTCTGCCCTTCTGCCCTTCTACCCATCTGCCCTTCTGCCCTTCTGCCCTTCTGCCCTTCTGCCCTTCTGCCCTTCTGCCCATCTGCCCTTCTGCCCTTCTGCCCTTCTGCCCTTCTGCCCTTCTGCCCTTCTGCCCATCTGCCCTTCTGCCCTTCTGCCCTTCTGCCCTTCTGCCCTTCTGCCCTTCTGCCCTTCTGCCCTTCTGCCCATCTGCCCTTCTGCCCTGCCCTCTGCCCTTCTGCCCTTCTGCCCTTCTGCCCTTCTGCCCTTCTGCCCTTGCCCTGCCCTTCTGCCCTTCTGCCCATCTGCCCTTCTGCCCTTCTGCCCTTCTGCCCATCTGCCCTTCTGCCCTTCTGCCCTTCTGCCCTTCTGCCCTTCTGCCCTTCTGCCCTTCTGCCCTTCTGCCCTTCTGCCCTTCTGCCCTTCTGCCCTTCTGCCCTTCTGCCCTTCTGCCCTTCTGCCCTTCTGTTCCCCTATCCCCTCTCCTCCAACCCCCTCAGCTACCTGGCACCAGACCAGAGTACGCAATGAGTGGCAAGCAAGGACAAGTCGGACGTGTTCTCCTTCGGACTAGCAGACTAGTGCTATAGATCGTTACTCTTAGCAGGCTTGCTGCGTTTCGAACCCAACGAATTTCAACGCTAAAGGACAAGCCGGATGTGTTCTCCTTTGGAGTGGTGTGGCTGGAGCTCGTGACAACCCTCTCAATTGATGTTTTTTGAGAATCCAAAAAAAACACACGCTGCATCATATCTCCTTGGGAGTGGTGCGGCTGCAGCTCGTGACAACCCTCTCAATTTCTCCTCTCCTCCCTCCTTCCCATGCCCCGTGTTGCGCTTATATTCCCCTCCTCCCTCCCCTCCCCCACACAGCTACCTGGCACCAGAGTACGCTATGAGCGGAAAACTGACTGACAAATCAGACGTGTTCTCCTTCGGAGTGGTGCTGCTGGAGCTGGTGACAGGCCGCAAGCCGGTGGACGCCTCACAGCCGCCTGGCCAGGAGAGCCTTGTCGAATGGGTGAGTGTGGTGGTATGTGTGCACTCGTATGAGCCTCATCTCTTCTCTGCCTTGTCGAATGGGTGAGTGTGGTGGTATGTGTGCACTCGTATGAGCCTCATCTCTTCTCTGCCTTGTCGAATGGGTGAGTGTGGTGGTATGTGTGCACTCGTATGAGCCTCATCTCTTCTCTGCCTTGTCGAATGGGTGAGTGTGGTGGTATGTGTGCACTCGTATGAGCCTCATCTCTTCTCTGCCTTGTCGAATGGGTGAGTGTGGTGGTATGTGTGCACTCGTATGAGCCTCATCTCTTCTCTGCCTTGTCGAATGGGTGAGTGTGGTGGTATGTGTGCACTCGTATGAGCCTCATCTCTTCTCTGCCTTGTCGAATGGGTGAGTGTGGTGGTATGTGTGCACTCGTATGAGCCTCATCTCTTCTCTGCCTTGTCGAATGGGTGAGTGTGGTGGTATGTGTGCACTCGTATGAGCCTCATCTCTTCTCTGCCTTGTCGAATGGGTGAGTGTGGTGGTATGTGTGCACTCGTATGAGCCTCATCTCTTCTCTGCCTTGTCGAATGGGTGAGTGTGGTGGTATGTGTGCACTCGTATGAGCCTCATCTCTTCTCTGCCTTGTCGAATGGGTGAGTGTGGTGGTATGTGTGCACTCGTATGAGCCTCATCTCTTCTCTGCCTTGTCGAATGGGTGAGTGTGGTGGTATGTGTGCACTCGTATGAGCCTCATCTCGTCTCTGCCTTGTCGAATGGGTGAGTGTGGTGGTATGTGTGCACTCGTATGAGCCTCATCTCTTCTCTGCCTTGTCGAATGGGTGAGTGTGGTGGTATGTGTGCACTCGTATGAGCCTCATCTCTTCTCTGCCTTGTCGAATGGGTGAGTGTGGTGGTATGTGTGCACTCGTATGAGCCTCATCTCTTCTCTGCCTTGTCGAATGGGTGAGTGTGGTGGTATGTGTGCACTCGTATGAGCCTCATCTCTTCTCTGCCTTGTCGAATGGGTGAGTGTGGTGGTATGTGTGCTCTCGTATGAGCCTCATCTCTTCTCTGCCTTGTCGAATGGGTGAGTGTGGTGGTATGTGTGCACTCGTATGAGCCTCATCTCTTCTCTGCCTTGTCGAATGGGTGAGTGTGGTGGTATGTGTGCACTCGTATGAGCCTCATCTCTTCTCTGCCTTGTCGAATGGGTGAGTGTGGTGGTATGTGTGCTCTCGTATGAGCCTCATCGCTTCTCTGCCTTGTCGAATGGGTGAGTGTGGTGGTATGTGTGCACTCGTATGAGCCTCATCTCTTCTCTGCCTTGTCGAATGGGTGAGTGTGGTGGTATGTGTGCACTCGTATGAGCCTCATCTCGTCTCTGCCTTGTCGAATGGGTGAGTGACTTCTGGGGTGCTTCCTCCTCTTCCTCTTGGTTCACTTGAGTGCCGCTGCTGGAGCTGGGCACCGGGTGCAAGCCGGTGGGTGGACATGACACATTCACCACGCAAGGAGAGTCTTGTGGAGTGTGGAGGGGCAGTACTATGAGAAGGAGAGGGAGGAGGGGAGGGGGAAGAGATGGAAGGCACTGCTTTTGAGTCGACTAAAAAGCAGACTCATTACACGCAGTCTTGTGGAATGTGGAGGGGCGGTACGATGAGGAGGAGATGGAAGAGGGGGATGGGGAAAGAGTTGGAGGGCAGGAAGGAGACAGAGACAATTGTGTCATGTAACCGGCTCAGACATAATTCTTAGGGAGCCTAGATTCACTACTGCTGCTCCCTGAGAGTTATGTCTGAAGAGATGGACGGCAGGAAGGAAACAGAGACAATCGTGTCATGTGACCAGTTCCTTCTGTCTTATTTTCCCTTGTCGCTCGTCCCCTAGGAGGGCCGGTGCGACGAGGGCCGGTGCGATGAGGGCCGGTGTGACGAGGGCTGGTGTGACGAGGGCTGGTGTGACGAGGGCTGGTGTGATGAGGGCCGGTGTGATGAGGGGCGGTGTGATGAGGGGCGGTACGATGAGACGAGGAGATAAAGACATTTGTGTCATTCAACCCGTGCCTGTTTCTGCCCACAATTCTTAGTGCTTCCTTCTTGTTCCTGCCTCCCCATCCACCCAGTCCCGCCCACTGCTAGCCAGCAACCAGGTGGAGGTGCTGGTGGATGCACGGCTGGAGGGGCGGCATGATGGGGAGGAGATGGGGAAGGGGGGAGAGATGGACGCAATAGTGTTGCTCAACCCCTTCCTTCTCTCTTGTTGTCCCTTGCTGTTTCCCTGCCTCCCCATGCCCCCAGTCCTGCCCACTGCTAGCCAGTAACCAGGTGGAAGTGCTGGTGGATGCTCGGCTAGAGGGGTGGTACGACGAGGAGGAGATAAGGGAAGGGAAGGAGGCGGTTGCATCTGTGGACACTCAACCCCTCCACGTTATCCCTTGTTTCTGCCATAACCCTTCAACCCTACTCATCCCCCCCAGTCCCGCCCGCTGCTAGCCAGCAACCAGGTGGACGTGCTGGTGGAGGCTGGCTGGAGGGGCAGTACGAGGAGGAGGAGATGAAGGAGGAGGGAGGGGATAGTGTAGGAGATGAAGGAGGAGGGAGGGGGCAGTATGAAAACATTAGTGTCCCTCTCAATCCCTGCCTCCTCCTTTCCTACTTTCGCTCTCTTCCCTGTCCCCCCAGTCCCGCCCGCTGCTAGCCAGCAACCAGGTGGATGTGCTGGTGGATGCACGGCTGGAGAGGGGGCGGTACAACAAGGAGGAAGAGGATGAGTCTGGGTCCCTTCAACCCCTTCCCGCCCTTTGCCTTCCCTTGCTCCCCTCCCCACAGTCCCGCCCGCTGCTAGCCAGCAACCAGGTAGATGTGCTGGTGGATGCTCGGCTAGAGGGGCGGTACGAGGAGGAGGAGATGGAGCGAGCGATTGCCACTGCCGCTCTCTGTGTTCGACACTCCGCCAATCTGCGGCCCAAGATGGGGCAGGTGAGGAATGGGGAGCGGGTGATGGAAGGGCATAGAAGGGCATGGAAGGTCATGGAAGGGCATGGTTGGGAGGGGCGGTACGATGAAGAGGAGATGGAGCGAGCCATCGCAACCGCTGCTCTCTGCGTTGGGCACTCGGCAAACCTGCGACCCAAGATGGAGCAGGTGAGAGGGAGGAAGAGGGGAGCAAGTACGATGAGGAGGGTGTTAGACGCTCGGCCAATCTGCGACCCAAGATGGGGCAGGTGAGAGAGGAGGGAGGGCGTGGGAGTATGAGGAGGGGGTGAAGGGCGGTGAAGGGCGGTGAAGGGAGGGATGAGGACGAGATGGAGCGAGCGATTGCAACCGCTGCTCTCTCTGTGTTCGGCACTCGGCCTATCTGCGACCCAAGATGGGGCAGGTGAGTTAGGGGAAGAGCAGGCTTTGAGAGGGGCGTTGATGGGAGGGGAGGGACCAAAGAGGGGGCGATGGGGTTGAGAGGGAGGGACGGTACAAGTAAGAGGAGATGGAGCGAGCGATCGCAACCGCTGCTCTCTGTGTTGGGCACTTGGCCAATCTGCGACCCTAGATGGGGCAGGTGAGTGAAAGGACGAGCAGGCTTTGAAAAGGGGGGATGGGAGGGAGGGGCGGCGAGGGGGCAATGGGCTAAGAGGGAACGGCGGAACGAGGAGGGGGAGATGAAGCGAGCGATTGCAACCGCTGCTCTCTGTGTGCAGCACTCGGTCAATCGGTAGCCACGTGATATAGGAAGTGTTTTGACACGTCTCAAAATATTGTAGCTGCTGCTCTCTGTGTCAGGCGCTTGGACGATGGACAACCCCAGATGGGGGGCAGGTGAGAGCAAGGAAGGAGCGACAGGATGGCATGTTGGTATGAGGAAGCGGTGAAGGGAGGTGGCAGGAGGGGACGAGAGGTGGTGGAGCAGGCAAGTGCAACAGTTGCTGCGTGCGTACGGCACTCTGAGAGGCATCCCATCTACCCTCTGCGAGGCATCCCATCTACCCTCTGCTTTTGCCCCTTACCACTCTGAGAGGCATACCAGACCGTATCCTGTGCCTGCCTATCTATCCCATCTACCCTCCGCTTTTGCCCCTTACCACTCTGTTTTTGAGGTGCTTCAACAACAGCGGCTGCAGTCGGTGTTCGAGACTCTGCGAACGTTATCCGCGCCTTATCCCGTGCCTGCCTTGCTACTCTACGCCTTTCCCCCTTAACAATCCCTCAGGTAGTGCGGATGTTGGAGGGCAGTGGCAGTGTGAATGACATGCGGACAGCATCAGCACCGGGGCAGAGCACCATGTTCAACGACCACCCCTTCGGCGGGCCCACGCAGGACTTTGACTCAGCCATGTACTCTGCTGAGATGCGCCAGCAGTACATGATGCCACATCAGCAGTCGCTGACTCATCAGTCGACCTCGCTGACTCATCAGCAGTCGTTCGAGCATGAGCAGCAGTACGGGGGAGCGAGTGGGTATGGTACGGATAGCGGGTTTGACGATGGCTATGCCGGTGGTTCGGCGGGAGGTTCGGTGGGAGGCTCGGCAGCGGGAGGTTCGGCGAGTGGGAGGGGGTTCGTCCCCGGAAGCAGCCGATTTGTAGGCCAGCCTTTAGAAACGGTGAGTCTCCCTGTAACCGTGTGGTGTAACCATGTGGTGTAACCATGTGGTGTAACCGTGTGGTGTAACCATGAGGTGTTTCTTATAACGTTGTAAAAACACTGTGCAACATCGAGGGCTCATGCCTGGAAGCAGTTGATTTGTCGGCCAGCCTTCGGAAACGGTGAGTCTCCATGTAACCTTGTGGCGCAACCGCGTGGTGTTTTCTGTATACACACATATAGCCATCTTCCATATATAATCCGAGCAGTGGGGAGTTCAGTGACAAAAGCAGAGAGCCTTTAGTTGTCGTGAACTTGCAACAGTGGAAAGGAGACCCACTCTGTCAGTTTGTTTAGTTTGTTCTTCCCTCCCTTGCTTGTTTTCTTTCTTGCCCGACTCCTGGTCTCCCTGCTAGCGGATTCCGTCCAACCCTAACAGTGCAGAATTCACCAACGACACGATAGCAAGAGAGCCAATGGTTGCGACAGTGGAAGGGCGAACCTGCTGGTCTCCTCCCTTGGCTTCCTCCTTGTCTCACTCTTGTTCTTCTCCCTCCCTTGGCTTCCGACTTGCCCCACTCCTGGGTCTCCCCACTCCTGGGTCTCCCCACTCCTGGGTCTCCCCACTCCTGGGTCTCCCCACTCCTGGGTCTCCCCACTCCTGGGTCTCCCCACTCCTGGGTCTCCCCACTCCTGGGTCTCCCCACTCCAGATTCCTTCCAATCCCAACAGTGCAGAGTTCACGGACAGAAGCAGAGAGCCTTAGATTGTGACAGAGGAAGGGAGGTAGCTACCTTGTCTCACTCTTGTTCTTCTTCCTCCCTTGGTTTCTGTCTTGCCCCACTCCTGGGATTGTCCACTCGTGGCAGATTCCTTCCAATCCCAACAGTGCAGAGTTCACGGACAGAAGCAGGGAGCAGTTCTGAGGCACCTTTTGAGGTGCCTCCAGGTGACAAAAAAAATCCCATCCCAACAGCGCAGAGTTCACTGACAGAAGCAGAGAGCAGTACTGAGGTACCTCAGGGGAAGTGCAGTGGGACGACACAAGCGGGGCTTGTAGAGGCGGATTTAGTGTACCGTAACTAGAAAAGAAAACGAATCAAACAAAATGCACATGTGTGGGGGGAGGTAATTTGGTGAGTTCAGAATGGTGGGGTTTTTTGTGAGGCAGTGGCAGGGAAGTGTGGAACAGTCTGAACAATATGATGGTCGGATGTTTACTCACATCGGAAGCTACCTTGTGCTGTATTAATCGGATCTTCCTGCGTGTAATGGATTAATGAGAGCAGAACCTGGGGGTTGAATGGGGAGGTGTGGATCATGCGTCGGCTGGTGTGGCATGTGGTTGGCGGGGGACAGCCCTGAAGGTGGGAAATTAGATGCTCCTAATGCCAGAAGCCTTGGCACACAACATAAATTATTTATTTGCTTGTTCCAAGCTGTTCAGAGACAAGGCAGATAGGAACTAGTGTTGACTCTAGAGTTACTGCAGCATCTGTGTGGCAATTAAACTGTTCAGGGTGGTGAAGCTGGTGGCCAGGAAGTTGACCTCATAGGTATATTATGTTTGTCGACGTTAGTGGCAAAGATGAAGCGCCACAAAAGAGCGCGGTGTTCAAAGCTTGTAGGCATCCTCACACCCAACCACTAACGGGGTGTTGTGCTGAACATAATGTTGGAAACAATTGATTTAACGCGCTTCTGTCGTGTCGAAACACCAAGTTAGAAGCGAAGCGAAGCATATCGAAACACTGGCGAGTCAACCCTCGGAGGTTGAAAGTAACTGTTGGAGGTTACGCGAAAGTCAAAGGTGGTGGCTCGACCAGGAGACTGCGGCTCCTCCGTAGACGAACACGTAGCCGCCCGTGCTCGTCTTGTTCTGCTTGTCGCCGGCATCGTCGGCGTCCACGTAGCCGACCAGCTCCAGCGACTCAGGTCCACCGCCGAACTCCAGGGCGGTGTCACGCGTGTTGGCGAGGTAGGCAAGGCAGCGGTCGACCTCGCGCCAGTGCTGGTCGCTCCTCACCGTGAGGCCGCTCCCCAGCTTGCTGCAGGCGAAGGCGATGTCCGGCCTCGTCGTCGTCGCCGCGAACTGCAGCGAGCCGACCTTCTGCCAGTACTCCTCCTCCTGTCGCTCCTGCGCCTCCTCGTCGTCGAAGGTGAGCTCGGCGTAGGCGTTGACCGAGACCGGCGTCTTCGGGGTCCGACCGCCCTGCTCCTCATCGATGAAACGCCTACGCAGCTTGTCGGCGTAGCCCTGCTGGTGCAGCCACAGCTTCCCCGCCGACCTGTCGCGCACGATCTCCAGCCCGAGGTACTTCTGCACCGGCGAGATCTCGCGCAGCTCGAAGGCGGCCTCCAGCAGCTCCTTCAGCTCCTTCAGCATCTCGGGGCTGCTGCTGGCGGCGAGCAGGTCGTCGACGTAGACCAGCACCCAACAGGTCACCTTGTCGACGCCGACCTTGAAGTAGAGAGCCTCGTCGACCTGACTCTTCTTCCAGCCAGCGCCGACCAGCACGTCGTTGAGAGCCTTGTACCACAGCAGCAGCGACTGCTTCAGCCCGTACAGGCTCTTCAGCAGCTTGCACACCCGGCCGGTCCCGTCATTGAAGTAGTCCGGCTGGTACATGTACAGCACGCGGTCGAGCTTGCTCTGCAGGAAGGCATTCTTCATGTCAAGCTGCATCAGGTTGAGGTCGAAGACGGCGACGATGCTGAGGAAAATCCGCAGCGTGACGTAGCTGCTCACCGGCGCGTACGTCTCGTCGTAGTCGGCGCCATACACCTGCGTGAAGCCCTTCACGACCAGCCTCGCCTTCTCGCGCTCGACGGTGTCGTCGATGTGGTACTTCGTCATCAGCACCCACCGGTTCTTCATGATGTTGACCCCGGGTGGGCGTTCGACCAGCTCCCACGTCCCCATGCCGATGAGGCTGCGGATCTCCTCCTCCAGGGTGCTTCAGCTTCCCACCACGCTGCTGCTCGGGGACGAGGAACTGCGCCATGCAGCCCCACACGCGCGCCAGCGACAAGTCGGGCTTCTTCCCGGTGAGCAACTGGTACGGTGTCGTCCCCGGCGTCGCCGACCTCTCCAGGCAGTTGCGGACCCAGACAGCCTGCCGCAAAGCGAGGTGCCACCAGTGGTGCTGGACGCCCATGTGCAGCAGCATCGTCCGCACCGACTCCACCACCGTCCTCATCTCCCGCTCCACCATGCCGTTCTGCTGCGGAGTGTATGGGCAGGTGAGGTCGTGGAGGATCCCCTTGCCGTCCACGAGGGCGGTGAAGTCCTTTCCGAGGAACTCCCCTCCCCGGTCAGATCGCAGCATTAGCACCGACTTCTTGGTCTGTCGCTCCGCCATCACCAGCCACTGCTCGAACTCTCGCAGCACGTCGGACTTCTTGGCGACCGGCCGCACCCACACGTAGCGAGTCTTGCGGTCCTTTAGCAGCAAGAAGTACAGGCTGCCGTCCTTGGCAGCCACGCGGAATGGCCCGCACAAGTCGATGTGTACGACGGCCAACACGTCGTCGGCGTCGGAGCCGTGGTCGGGGAAGGTGTGCCTCGCCAGCTTCCCGCCGACACACGAGACACACGGTGAGTCGGCGCCCGTCGCCGACTTGAGGTCTAGCCCAATGGCGACCTCGTTCTTCGCCGAGCGCCTGATGGTGTCCATGCCAATGTGTGCAAGCCGAGCATGCAGCCTGTCCGGCGTCGACCTCGTCTTCGAGACGATCGCCCGCAGGGCCACAACCTCCGGCGTGGGTGACGTCGACTTCGTCGAGCAGGGACGCAGGTCGGTGCAGAGGACTCGCCCGACCAAGTACCTCTCCTGCTGCCGAGACGAGCAGCATCCCGTCGCCGTCCTCGTGCAGCTTCACGCCGTGCTCCTTCAGCTGGCCAGACGACAGCAGGTTTGCCCGCACACCCGGGACGTACAGTACGTCGGGGATGAGCACCTGCTTCCCGGCCTCGCCTTGCAAGGCGACGGTGCCGTGGCCTTGGACGTCCTGCAGCGCCCCATTGAAGCCACGCACGTGCTTCACGTCGCCGCTTGGCCCCAAGTCGACGAAGGCGTCCTTCGTCCCCATCAGGTGGTGGGAGCAACCGCTGTCGAGCAGGACCACCGCCGGATTCGCCTGCACAGCTGCCGCCACCGCCTGGAAGTCCTCGCCGGCCTCCGGCGCCAGCGAGACGGTCGGCTCCACGACGCCGACCAGAGAGCACGACGCCGACTTGTCGTCCTTCCCCTTGCCGCCAGCAGAGGAGTCGGCGTCCTTCGCCGAGGTCGACGACTTGGTCGACGTCTTCTCATTGCGTGACTGGTTTCCTCCTCGCCGAGGACGACGACTGCCCGACCTCCCGCGGCCACCCTTGGCGTCGTCGTCGTCGGAGTCACTGCGGTCGGGGCACTCGAAGGAGAGATGGTCGGGGTCGCCACACAGCCAGCACTCCCGACGTCGACTTCCTCCTCCTCGACCGCTGTCCTTGGTCGACTTCTTCTTGTCGACTTCCTTGGCCAGCTTCCAGCCACTGCTACCACCGCCGCCAGGCTGTCCGCGCTGCCCCGGTCGACTTCCTTGCTTCGCCGGGGCGACGAGGTTCGCCTGTGCCAAGAGCTCCTGTGACCGCTCTGCCTCCTGCATCGCCTCGTCCTGCAGGATGTACGAGGTCAAGTTGTCCTCGTTGAGCGTCGTCCTGGTGCTCGGCGCCATTGACAGCCGCTTCAGAAGGTTGTAGCTACTCGAGAGTCCCTGCATGACGTGGGTGACGTACGACGCCGTCGAGTACTGCGCGCCAGCCATCCTGATGGTGGCGAGAATTCGCCGGGCCCGATTGCAGTAGTCGGTCGCCGTCTCCTCGTCGCCCATACGCAGGTGCGTCAGCTGCCCCTCCAGCTGTGCGATGAACAAGTCGTCGGTGACTTGGTAGGTCGACTCGATGAAGTGCCACGCCCGGTGGCCGGCGTCGAGGTACTCTCGGCACCACTTCAAGGCGATCTGCACGCCCGGCGAGCAGCACCGGGAGATGACTGTGAAGGTCAACAGCTGCACGGCACGAAACTCCGCACGCAAGTCGGGATCGTCCGGCGTCGCCACGGTGCCTCGAGCAAAGCTGATCAGCCCGGCCATTTCCAGCTGGGGCTCGATGGCTTCCTTCCAGGTGAGTATGTCGGGTCGACCAGTGAGCGGCGGAGTGACCAAGATCCTGTCCGGCGTGAACTTGAAGTAGCCGTAGCTCGGTGCAATCCCGCCTGCTGTCACCTGGGTCGCCGACATCGGCACAGATCCACTTCGTCGACCTCTGACGTCACCCTGCAAGGAGCCTGCAGCCGCCGACGACCGCATCCCTCGCGCCTGAACGACGCCGACTTCATCGGCGTGAATCACACCACGCTGCCTTGACGTGCCTCCCGCACTGCTGCCGACTTGACCACCATCGACGTTGATGCCCATGTCGACGCCGCCTTCGTCGTTCACCGGTCGAGGAGAGGCAGGTCGAGAAGGGTGCTCCGTCGCCCACATGGTGCGGAGTCCAGCCTCGACGACCGCCCAGGGTATTGCTCCGTACTCCTGGGCGTCATGGCGTCTCCTCGCGTCCTCCAGCCGTGCCTCCAGGGTGTCCACCACCCCTGCGTCACCTACGGCTCCTACCATAGTGACCAACGTGTCAGAAATAACTGAGCAGGAATGAATGAACTAGAACAGAGTTTGGTACAAGTAGTAAACCCTAACTTTGTGTACCCCCTAAGGTGTAACCCACTACAGCCTAGACAATATAAACATGCAATGTTTGACACACCCCCATAGGCGCAGTGGGAGACAACCACAGGGTCACAAGACCAGTCAAAGCAAAGTAAAGCAAGCTCAGGGTGGATCTCAAGGATTCCACACAAATTCCGAGCACAAGCAAGTGGTCTCAAGACCAGTTCACATGCAGGTTTATAACAAAGCAAGAGATACAGTGATCACAACCTAGCAAAAGTAAACAAGTAGGCATATATATATAGTGATCACAGTACAAGCAAGGTCAAGAGGTAAGCAAGTGAGGCCCAGTAGGTACAAGGCCTAGTAGAGTGCAAAAGCGCTGATGGTCACAAGGCTGAAGCGCCTTGGTGAACACATCAGCAGTGTTGGCCTCCGTGGCCACGTAACGCAGACAAAGCTGACCACGCTGCTGCAGCTCTCGAGCAAGGAAGTACCGCAGAGCGATGTGCTTCGTTCTGTGCTCCAGTCTGTGCTCCTCACACAAGGCAATGGCAGCCTTGTTGTCAACGTACAGCACTGGAGGAGAACGAGGCCGCTCTCCGAGGTCGGTCAGCAGGTAGGTCAGCCAGCGTAGCTCCTGAGCAGCCATGGCTGTGGCGTAGATCTCAGCCTCACAACTGGAGCTGAGAACAGAAGAAGAGCGAGTAGAACGCCAAGAAACTGAGCCAGAGCCAAGGCTGAAGGTGTAACCCTGGGACGACCGCTGAGTAGCCTGGTCGTCTGCCCAAGAAGCGTCTGAGTGCCCTGTGAGAACAACCCGGTCTCGCCCTCCAAGCACAAGCCCCATGCCCGACGTACTGCACAAGTAGCGCAACACCCTCTTAGCAGCATCCATGTGCTCCTTCCGGTGACGGCCAGGAGCGACATAGCGTGCTAGGATGCTAAGAGGGTATGCAAGGTCAGGTCGAGTGCAGGTCATCAGGTACATGAGGCAGCCCACAAGCTCTGGATACGGGCCACTCGGCTCTACGGACTCATCCGAAGGCAGAGCTGAGAGCGAGTGACCGGTAGGCAGAGGAGTGGACTGAGGCGAGGAGTACGTGAAGCGGAAGCGCTGGAGAACTTGCTGCACCATGTGTGACTGAGTCAGGGTGATGGTGCGCCGCGCTCTGTCCCGGGTGATCCGCAAGCCAAGATAGCTCGTCAGCTCACCCAGGTCTGTGCAAGTGTGTCTCTTCTGCAGCTCCGACTTCACGTGAGCGAGTGCCGCGGTGTCAGCAGTGGCAAAGACCAAGTCGTCGACGTACACGAGGATGTAGAACGGCGACAGCGAGGTGTCGGTGCGTAGAAACAGCGACGGGTCAGCAGTAGAGGGAGCGAACCCAAGAGCCGCAAGTGTCGTCCTCAGTGTGTCGTGCCACTCACGTGGCGCCTGGCGGAGACCGTAGACCGGCCGCTGAAGCCTCCACTGGGTGCCAGGAGGAAATGACCCAGTGAAGCCAGGGGGGCGGCGCAGCCAGATCTCCTCGTGCAGACTGCCCTGCAAGAAAGCAGTGCTGAAGTCAAGAGAGTGAAGCTCATAGTCACGGTGAGCGGCTATGTGCAGCAGCACCCGAAGAGTAGTCATCTTCGGGGTGGGGGAGAAGGTCTGAAAGAAGTCTACTCCCTCTCGCTGACTGAAGCCTCGAGCCACGTAGCGCGCCTTGAAGACAGGTGGAGAACCCGGCGGCCGCTTCACCCTGAAAATCCACATGCCACTGACGATGTTCGCCCCAGGAGGGGGAACCTCGTCTACGTAGGTGCCTGTGGACTTCCAGGAGGCCATCTCTGCGTCCATGGCTGTCTGCCACTGAGAGGAGTAGGGACCCGCCATCGCCTCAGCGTAAGAGCGTGGGGTCGGGATGTCTGGTGCATCCGGGTCTCCCTCAGGGGCAACTAGCAAGGACACGAGACGGGGCAAAGCAGCAGCAAGGCAGTGGAACTCCTCCTGTCTGTCCTCAAGGACGTCCGTGCCGAGGGCACACTCACCCCCGACGGACGGAGGACAGGCAGACGCAGACTCAGACCTAGCGACAAGGCTGGCAGCGTAGTCTAGGCGACAGCGAGCAGCAAAGTCAACCAACTCAGCGACCAGAGCAGACGCAGCAGAGGACTCAAAGGTCGGGTCAGTGACAACTGTAGCGAGGAGACGCGTAACAGTGGGACTGGCAGCACGACGGGAGTCAGACTCCGGGTCAGGAAGAGTAGGAAGAGAGGACGCAGGAGGAGACGGCAGCGGGACACGCTGCGGAGCAGTGGAGGGACGCAGAGTCATGTAGTGAGTGCCAGGGACAGGAGGAGGACGCTCACGTGGGACACGACGACCAGTGCGAGCAGTACGAACAGGCGACGCAGGACGAGACTCAGGCTCACGACGCTCTGTAAGACCTCCTGTGGGACCAGCGTAAGGGGAGGGAGCAGGGAGAGGCGAGACAGGCGGTAACTGTGACTGCGGCTGGACAGGCAGAGGACACTCGACGGAGGAAGGAGGACAAGGAGGAGGAGCCTGACCAAGAACCTGCTGAAGGAGCGGTACGAAGTACGGTCGCGGCCGCGCAGCGTCTCCAGAAGCAGCAGGGACACCAGTGGCAGCCCCAACGTCCGAGTCCCCAGCACCAGCAGCAGCTCCAACGCCCGAGTCCTCAGCACCAGCAGCAGCACCACCGGTCGGGTCCTCAGCACGAGCAGCAGCTCCAACGCCCGGGTCCTCAGCACCAGCAGCAGGGGCACTGGTCAGGTCCTCAGCACCAGCAGCCGCGCCACCGGTCGGGTCCTCAGCACCAGCAGCAGCTCCAACGCCCGGGTCCTCAGCACCAGCCGCAGCTCCAGTATCCGGGTCCTCAGCACCAGCAACAGCACCACCGCTCGGGTCCGCAGCACCAGGAGTACCACTACGAAGACTGCAGCGCCGCGTGTACCACTCGCGGATCACCTGAATGGGGGGGAGCTCCTGGGTAGGAGGGGAAGTACCGGGACGAGCTCCAGAAGCACCTCTCCGGAGGCGGCAGTACTCGAGGTACCTCTCCTGCAGCTGCTGGGAGGAGAGGGCTCCTCCAGATGGAGTACCCCCAGACTCAGCACCCCCAGACTCAGCACGTCCAAACTCAGCACCACCAGGCTCCGCACCTCCAGGCTCCGCACCTCCAGGCTCAGCACCCCCAGGCTCCGCACCTCCAGGCTCAGTACCTCCAGGCTCCGTACCTCCAGGCTCAGCACCCCCAGGCTCCGCACCTCCAGGCTCAGCACCCCCAGGCTCCGCACCTCCAGGCTCAGCACCCCCAGGCTCAGCACCCCCAGGCTCAGCACCCTCAGACGCAGCACTACCAGGCTCAGCACCCCCAGACGCAGGACGCGAGTCAACAGCTACCTCGACAGGCTCACTCGGGTCTACCTGGGACACACCTGAGGGAGCGGCACCCTGAGGGGGGAGGGGGTCTGGTACCTCAGCACCTGGAGCGAGGAAGAGAGGCGGGGGGGGGAGCGGGGCAGTGCGGTAGGGGAAGAGGCGGTAGAAGGGGACGGACTCGTCAAAAGTGACGTCCTGAGAGGCCAGAACCCGGCGCGAGGTGACGTGGTAAAACTGCCATCCAGGCGCGTCGGGAACAAAGCCAAGAAAGACACAGGGAACAGCGCGACGCGAGAGCTTGTCCGCGGACGTGTCGCGGACAAAAGCTCGAGATCCCCAGACCCGGAAACGCGACGCATCGCCAACCTCTCCCGTCCACCGTAGAGTCGGGGAAGTCTCCGGCAAGGAGACACGGGGCCAGAGGTTGAGCTGGTGCGCGGCGTACCGGACTGCAAACGGCCACAGAAAGTGGGGAGCAGCCGCATGGGTCAGGGAGGTACGAGCGACCTCCATGACTAAGCCAATGCGGCGCTCAGCAACCCCATTCTGCTGTGGAGAGGCCGGAAGCGTGTACGACTGCTCAATGCCGTGCTCAGCACAGTAGGCTGCCAAGAGGTCGGAGGCGAACTCACCACCCCTGTCAGAGTGCAAGCGCAGGACAGGAAAGTCCGAGTGAAAGCGCTCGCCTAGCTGGAGACGGGCTCGGCTGATCCAGGGGATCAAAGCACCAGGGACGTCACCCTTGGCGCGCAAGGGGAAGACCGTGGTGTAGCGCGAGTAGTCGTCAACAACTATCAGGAAGTACCTCTCCTGACCCTGACCACGGACGCGGGCTGGGCCCCACACGTCCATGTGGAGCGTCTGCAGGGGAGCGGTCGTCGGGGGAAAGGAGGAGGAGTGAGGAGCGGCGCGCTGCCGCCCCTCGACACAGGGAATGCAGTCAGGAGCAGGGGAGTCAGGAAGGGGAGGGAGCACCCTGGGAAGACCAGCAACAAGGTCCCGTTTGTGCATGGCCCGCAGGCGCTGCACAGACGGGTGACCAAGGCGGTGGTGCCAGAGGACGGTGTCGTTCGCCAGAGAGCGACACGAGCAGGGGGCGGACAGCTGACCTGACGCTGACGCAGACGCAGCTACCTGAGGGGACTCAGTGGTCAGTGTGTACAGGTCAGACCCCGGCTCTCGAGTGAAAGTAGCCAGGTGGCGGCCCGTCCGAGCACACGTGCAGTGAGTCACACGCTCGTAGGCAGGGGTGAACTGGTGAACACCCGAGTCCTGGAGCGCACTACCTGCCACCAAGTTCGTGGAGAACGAGGGGAGGTAGAGACCTGAGAGCTTGCCGGACGGAACCGCTGGACACGGAAGGGTGGTGGAGGAGGTCGCAAGGACCGGACCCCCAGAGGGGTCAGCAAGAGAGACAGCAACCGGCCGAGCTAGAGGCTCAAGGACAGTGCGGTCACGAAAGAAAGAGCGAGAAGCACCTGAGTCAAGTGTGAAGGTGTGCAGTGCTGCAGTCGACTCAGTACCAGGGGGCACAGACGCAGAAGCACCTAGAGCAGCAGCTGCAGTAGTACCTGTGGAAGCAGACACACTAGCACCTAGTGCAGCAGCAGGGCTGGCCTGAATGCCCGGGTCGGGCGGAACACGCAAGTACTGAGCACCCTCTCCACTAATAGACATCGCATACATGGCAGTGAGAATAGCATCAAAGTCAAGTGCCCAAATATCAACACCCTTCCTGAGCAGATCAGCCCAGCGCGGCAGCTCACCCCCACCAGGAAACTGAGTGCGCCACGCATCGTTGAGGCGGGCGAAGCAGCGCTCCGTCTGGTGCGGCCCCCCACACGTCTGGCCAGTGCGGTCACCTGTACGAATAACGTACTGGCAGGTGACGCTGCGCCGCGCATACCACTCACGGGCGGCCTGAAGGGTCGGGGCAGGCTGCTGACTCTGACCGCCCGCCGGGCCTCCACGACCACCACCCCCTCCGCCTCCGCCCCGGCCACCTCCACCCCTGCCGCTGCCACGACCACCTCCGCCTCCGCTGCCACCTCCGCCCCTGTCACCACTCCCAACACCGCTGTCACCTCCACCACTGCCGCCACTAGCCTCTCCAGTCGCACCTCCACCGCCACCACCTCCACCCCCGCCTCCTCCGCCACCACCCCCACTCCTGCCACTCCTGCCCCTGCGTCGTCCGCCTGAAGCAGACGCAGCCCCGACCTTCTCAGCACCAAGGAGGTCGACAGCAGCAGCAGAGGCGACAGAGGGGAGGAGGGGGGAAGGGGAGCACCCCTCGAAGAAGGGGCCGCGGGGGTCGCCACGAGAGGTGCCTACAGCGACGATACTAGCCTCGGCTGCAAGCAGTTCCTTCTCGAGGAGGGCTATGGTGAGTTCAGTGGGGGAGCGAGAGAGGAACTGGTCCCTGACAGGGCGCAGAGAGTCAGGGAGGCGGGTGACAACGTGGTAGAGAGTGATCCAGAGCGGGGGGGGGTTGCTAGCGAGGAACTCATCAGGCATGGCAGCGCGAAAGCGAGCCTCACTAGTCTTAAGGTGGGTGATGAGGTCTGCGACAGTGTGAAAAGAGGCTAGGTCGGGGAACAGGTAGGGGAGAGTGAGGCGGCCTAGTGTGGCAGAAGCGGGTGAGGAGTAGCGGGCCACTACAGCTGTGTAGAGGTCCTTAGCAGTCTTGCACTGGCCGAAGTGCTCGCGCTCATCTAGCGGCAGGGAGTTGCGAATAGCAAAGCGAGCGTGTGCGTCACGGGTCTGCCACTGTGAGCGCTCAGTTGGGGGGGCAGTAGCGAGTGGGGCGGTCGCATGGCCGAGAGCGTGGTCGTACAGTGTAATATCTTCCTTGGCAGTGAGCTGTAGGAAAAGGTGCAGATCATCTAGCCAGGTTTCGAATTTGACCGGACGGCCCTCGGCGTCGAAAGCTAGAACAGGAGGACTAGCCATAGCGACAGCGGCAGTAGTAGAAGCAGTAAAGTCACTGAACAGGCGTGCGCAGGGTCAGCAGGGCCGGTGGGGCCTACAGACTGTAGTGGCGCACAAGCAGCAGTAGCAGGAAGTGTAGTAGTAGGATCTGCAGTGGTGCACAGGCGCAGCAGGCGGCAGCGAGAGCCGGCGCAGCAGGGGCGGGCTCAGCAGCGGTGATACGCGGGCGGCAGCGGGCGCAGCAGCGGCGGTGCGCGGGCGGCGGCGAGCTCAGCAGCGGCGGTGCGCGGGCGGCTGCGGGCTCAGCAGCGGCGGGCCGGGAGCAGTGCGGGCAGCGTGCGGGCCGGCGGCGGTCAGCGCACGAGCCGCGCAGGCTCAGCGCGGGCTGCGCGGGCTGCTCGCGGGCTGCGTAAGCGGGTCGCGGGCGGCTCGCGGGGGTTCGCGGGCAGGTCGCGGGCTGCTCGCGGGCAGTTCGCGGGCTGTGCGCGGGCTGCGCGGGCTGGTCGCGGGCTGCGCAGGCGGGTCGCGGGCTGTGCGCGGGCGGTTCGCGGGCTGTGAGCGCGGCGCGCTGTGCGGTTCGCGGGCGGCGTGACGGGGCCGATCGGGGCGCTAAGGGGCGACGCGACGGGGGCCGTGAGAGGCCGCTAAAAAAAAAATTTCGACGGGGCCGCAGGGCCGCTAGATCTTGCTAGATCGACGGGGCCAGCGGGGCCGGAAACAAGCGAAGGTAAGCAGGTAGGTAAGTCGGTGGGCCCTAAGAACAGTCCTAGCGAAGGACCTGCTCTGAAACCATGTCAGAAATAACTGAGCAGGAATGAATGAACTAGAACAGAGTTTGGTACAAGTAGTAAACCCTAACTTTGTGTACCCCCTAAGGTGTAACCCACTACAGCCTAGACAATATAAACATGCAATGTTTGACACAACGCACAGCTACCGACCAACAACGACGAATTAGGTCAGTGATGTCTACTTCGACCCGACTGAAAAGTAAGTCGTGTGCCGTCCACGCTCACCGCACCATGCGGAGATAACTACTACAACGGGAGCTAGACTACGGGCTAGGCACGGGTGCTCGTGTGATCTCTGCGTTCGTTGGTCCTTAGTCGTTTTCCTAGTGTACACACTGCTTGCTAGTTCACAAGGTAATTTGGCAAGAGTTTTACTAGAGAAAGTTGACAACAATGATACAATGAAGTTGGCAAGGCAAGACTACATCAGAGCTAGCATGCAAGCAGGATGACTGCCAGCGCAGCACGGTCGACCGCGTGCCAGCACGACCTGGTCGACCGCGCCCCAGCAGTGCAGAGTCGCGGCTTGCCAACACTGCAGGTCGACGGCGTGCCAACGTCGCAGGTTGACGGCGCGCCGACGTTGCTCCCGCAGGACAGCAGCGCACCTACTTCGCAGATGATTGGCATGCAGTGCCTCGTCACCTGCACAGCGCACACACCACATCAACTACGTGCTGACGACTGCCTCTGATGCACCACGTCGACCTCGGGATACCATCACCGAGGTCGTCCTCGCCAAAACCACCCGGGCGAACGTCGCATGCCTCCGCAGAACCTCGTCACCCAGGTAACCTGGTCGACCGAGCAACCAGGTCGACCAGAGGCTCCTGTGCGTGCCCGTCGACCACCCAGGTCGACGACCACTTCCGGTCGACCTCCCCAGGTCGACCACTGCCTCTGGTATGTGCCGGTCGACCTCCCAAGTCGACGGCCACCTCCAGTCGACCTCCCCAGGTCGACCACTACCCCCTGGTCGACCAGCTCCAAGTCGACGTCACTCCAGGTCGACCAGAAGGTCTGGTCGACTCCTCAGGTCGACCAGAAGGGCTGGTCGACTTACCGGGTCGACCAGAAGGTCTGGTCGACTTCCCAGGTCGACCAGAAGGGCTGGTCGACTTACCAGGTCGACCAGAAGGTCTGGTCGACTTCCCAGGTCGACCAGAAGGGCTGGTCGACTTACCAGGTCGACCAGAAGGTCTGGTCGACTTCCCAGGTCGACCAGAAGGTCTGGTCGACTTCCTAGGTCGACCAGAGGGGCTGGTCGACTTACCAGGTCGACCAGAAGGTCTGGTCGACTTCCCAGGTCGACCAGAAGGTCTGGTCGACTGCCCAGGTCGACCACCCGAAGTTGGCGCCCTCACGAAGTCGGCGCCCATGCAGTGGCTCCCCGTGCAGGTCGACCAACCTCGTCGACCAACTCGCCCACTGCTGCAGGTCGGCTGCACCCTACACCCGACCATGAAGTCGGCTCCGCCCAAGCGAGGACGGGGCCAACATACAACTCTCGTTGACACACCACACTCCCCCGCTACACACAGAGTGGACTCCAGATACTTGGACTCGTCACCGCAGTCCACGGCGCAGCCATTCCTAAGGAGCCTCTAATAGTTCAGCAGGCTCTGGGGGGGGAGCATAAGGAAAAATGGCGTGAAGCCATGGACAGAGAACTGAAGGCATTAGAGGAGCGCAACACGTGGAAAATTGTCCCTATCGGCGTAGCACGGAAAAAGACCATTCTCACCGGGAAATGGGTCTTCCGTGTGAAGACAAAAGCCGATGGAACCATCGACAAATTCAAGGCGCGCTGGGTCGTACGTGGCTTCGACCAAGAGCACGGACGCGACTTCACCGAAACATTCGCTCCGGTCAGCCGACACACGTCGTTGCGGATTCTTCTTGCGATCGCCGCCATGAAGAAAAAGAAGCTGCGACAAATTGACGTTGCGAACGCCTTTCTCTACGCACCTGTTGACGTTGCATAGATCTTCGTTGAGCTACCGCACGGCTCCAACGGAGAACCTAACCACGTCTGTCAGCTACTCAAATCGCTCTACGGCATCAAGCAAGCCCCACGGCTATGGCAGCAGTATCTGCACACTCGCCTCATTCGCATCGGCTTCAAGCAACTACCGTGTGATCAGGGGATGTACCGGCTCACGAAAGGCGCAGATTATATCCTGCTAATCGTCTACGTAGACGATCTCCTCTACATCGGCTCAACCGACAGCGTCACTACCTGGTTCGAAGGGGAGCTGCAGCAGGACCTCACGCTCAATAGCAGTCTCATCTACCGTTACACCGTACCTCGGCCTCAACATTCGGGAAGAAGAAGACGCGATCTACCTCAGCGCCGCGAAATACGCCGACACCATCGCCAAACGCTTCGCTCTCACGCCGACCGCCATCTCCACGCCGTACCGCTATACGGCAGGAAATACTAAAGAAGGCTCTACTCTACTCAAACCCGCCGGCATACGCGACTACCAGAGGAAACTGGGCTGCCTCCTATTTGCAGCCGTCACCTGCCGCCCGGACTTATCATACTCCGCAAGCCAGCTCGCCACCTACCTCAAGAAGCCTGAAGCAGAACATCTGGCGGAACTCGACCGCGCTCTTCACTACCTCGTCAGTACTCCAACGATCGGTCTCACCTACCACAAGAACGCAACTACAACACCTAGACTAATCGGTTACGTCGATGCAGATCACGCCGGCGATCCCGACAACAGGCGCTCACGCACCGGCTACATCTACCGCCTCGAACCTATCGGTCCTATCTCCTGGCAGTCGAGCAAACAGGAACTAATTGCTCTCTCCTCTGCTGAGGCAGAATACATCGCACTCTGCTCAGCCACCAAGGAAGGACTCTATCTTCGCGAACTACTGGAAGAAGCAAAATTGGCTCAGTTACCCAGCTTCACCCTGTTCTGCGACAACCAGTCGGCAATTCGTATAGCCAACAAAAGCGGCTTCGCGAACAGGACGAAACATATCGCCCTGCGATACTTCTTCGTGAAGGACGAGATCGAAAAAGGAAGGCTCGAACTGTCATACTGCCCCACATCCGAGATGGCAGCTGACTATTTGACCAAGAAGCTCGGAAAACAGAAATTCGAGTACTGCATGCTGCTGACTGGACAGAGCCACGTCACCAGCAGCGACACTCCAGAAGCGAAGGGGAGTGTTGGAAACAATTGATTTAACGCGCTTTTGTCGTGTCGAAACACCAAGTTAGAAGCGAAGCATAGCATATCGAAACACCGGCGAGTCAACCCTCGGAGGTTGAAAGTAACTGTTGGAGGTTACGCGAAAGTCAAAGGTCAGCGACCTTTGACTTGACAAGTACAGCGCGACAGCAAGGACACACAACTGACTCGCTACAGAGCAGTTGCCCGAGTCGCACTGTATCGAACCGCAACAGCAACAGCAAAGTAGTTATAACTATATCTCTTCATATTCCTTGTACTCTTATATAAATGCTTGTATCTCTTTGCTTTAATTAACTTACTTTGCCCTCACATACCAGCGCAAGGTGGTTCAAGATCTCTTCATTAAACACTTCCGCTATTACACCATCTCTACCCAGAGTTTACCCTTGCAAAAGATCCTAAGGGCTGTCTCAGCCCAACACATAACACGCCTGCCCCGATAGGAGCATGATGCCCGGAAATTAGGGCTTTCCGTCGTCCAATCAGTGCTTTCGGGCAATCTACAGAGCCGGCCGAAGCAGCCTAGCCTAGCTGCTCATCGATGTGACATGACGGCCAGCGACTTGTGGGGTACTATACTGTACAGTGCAGTACACACGATGCCCAACCAATGCACGCGAATTTGCCTTGCGCAGGATGGAAACCCTGCACCCGTGTATTTTGTGCCAGCCAGTTGCACCCCATCTACAAGCACCCCAAACTGAAGAGACCGGGGTCAAATTGTCAACGCTTAGTTACAATTCTCCATCTGCCCTTTTATAAGCCCTTTTTTGCTAAGAGCGAATTGACGAAATCTAGACGAAATCCAAAATCACTTAAAAGCCCAGAGAGAGAGGCAAGGTCGGGGGGCCTGTGTGGCATGCCCCATAGTGCTGCGAAGCCGTTTGACCACCGCCAGCTTCTGCCCTCCACTACACGGACGCGATTCAACAGATGTTGTTCTGTTTCTGTCAGTTTGCGCCACCTGGCCTGTTGTTGTGTGCCACGCTGCTGCAGTTTAACTGCCGAGGCACGCACG